TCCCTATCGCGAGCAGCCGCTGCTGCATTCTCAAGAAAACCGGCTGTCGTCCGCAAACCTTACCTTTCTCCTGCCACTCATGAGGAGATTGCAGCACTCAACTCTTTAGATTTATCATCCTCTGATCTGGAGACCTTGCGCCGGCGTATTCGCTCACATGCACGGCGAGACCGCAAACGCTGGACTCTACGCCAGCTGGAAGTTGACCACAGGGCCTCGCCAGCTGACCGATGGAAAACAATCAAACGGGTCCGATCCAAGTACCAGCCGCAAACTCAATCAGTGTCTTGGCCCTCAGGGCGCCCATCTACCGCCACAGAAAAGGCCGAAGTATTGGCCCAACATCTCCGAGATGAAGTATGGAAACCTGCCTTATGTCCCCCTCCCTCCCAGACTCCCATTTACCCTTGCGTCTTTGAAGCTTTCACAACCTTCACAATGACCGACTTACACATAGCACTCCGACGGTTAAAATCGCGCAAGGCGCCTGGCCCTGACCGCGTTGGTGCTGACTTGTACAAGCTTCTCCCGTTTGCAATGCGCCGCCTTCTGCTCGAGTATTTCAATTCCTGCTTCCTGTCTGCTTCAGCTCCAGACCATTGGAAATTGGCAAGGGTGGTTATGATCTTCAAAGGCGGGTCAAAGAACAGCCGTTTGCCCTCTTCATATCGGCCAATAAGCTTGGCGAACTCTATTTACAAAGTTTATGCTGCTTTGCTCCAAAGCAGGTTGGCTCTCCACTTCGATCACCGCATCAGCGACTTCCAATATGGCTTTTGAGCTCGCCGATCCACAAGTGCACCTCTCTTCCTGATCCGTTGAATGGTCGAACTGTTTGAGCGTCATACCACATCCTTGTATATTCTCTTCCTGGACTGGTCTCAGGCTTTTGACAGTGTTAGCCACGAGCACTTGGCTGCTTCCCTTGTCCGTATTGGCGTGCCTCTCCCTTTTGTGCATGCTATAGCAGCACTCTATGTTGACAGCAAATTTTTTGTCTCCTCCTCTTCTTATGTCTCCGCCACGTACTCCCTTTCACGTGGGATCCGCCAGGGATGCCCTCTCAGCCCATATCTGTTTATCATAGTTCTGACGGTTTTAATGCATGATGTCCAATTCTCCTTCGAAACCCGGTTCCACTTCACCCCGTGGACCTTCTCTTCTCGTTCTCCCATGACTGATGTTGAGTATGCTGACGACACAGTTCTAGTTTCCCGCACCCAGCTTACATTACACCGCCTCCTTCACAGTCTCCAGCATGAAGCTAGCAAGCGCGGCTTGCTTCTCAACCCCGATAAATGCCAACTTCTGCGCCTCCATTCCAATCTCTCCATTCATCTCTCACCTCATGTCACCCCACTTTCCCCTTGCTCCTGCCTACATTGCATGGGAACAGATGATCTCGGTGTTCAAATCCCACCCCTGCACTCAGCCAAATATCTTGGGGCCTACGTAGCTGCAAATGCATCTTCTGCACCGGACTGCAATTATCGCTACTCTCAAGCGATGGGCGCGTTTCGCTGCCTCTTTCCCGTCTTCACTAATCCGTCCCTCCCTTCGCGCCGTAAATTGCAGGTGTATGCGCAAATTGTGCTTGCCATTTTACTTTATGGCTGTGAATCTCAAGTTTTCACCCCTGCGCAGATCACAAGGTTCAATTCTCTTCACTATAAAGTTCTGCGACAAATCTTTCAAGTTAAAAGCTCTTATTACCATCGGGTCCTTCACCCCTCTCAGGAGGACTGTTCCAATGAATACTTGCTGTCCCTTGCCTACCGTCATGCCCCCCGTCTCCTGATACCCAGTCAGCGTATTTCTGTCCAGCGATTGCGTTACCTCGGTCATATTCTTCGGCATTTTGAAGCCTTAGAGCATAGGATAATCTTCCATACCTCCCACGCCCTCCGCCGCCTCTCTTCTCCATTTCGTCTTGGTAGACCTCGGGCGCATTGGCCTGAAATTGCTCTCTCAGAAGCTTTTCACCGTTCTGAACAACTTAGAAGAAATCAGCATCCCACCACACAAGAAATTTCCCATCCAATGTATGCCACAGGCACTCAGTCCATGGTTCACATATATTTTGGACCTTCCCTTGCAGACTGGTATGATACTACGGCGATCTGGAACACGCCCTCCCCAATAGCAATGGACCGCGACGAATGGGATCAAATTGTTTTTCCGGGGAATTTGATAGTTCACTCGAACACTGCTGACGTGTAGTTCATACAGCCGCTGCTTGGACTGCATTTCGCTTGACAAAAAAAGAAAACTGGAACCTCGGCGTTTCTCAAGCTTTCCTTACACCAATCGAATGAGCTACGGCGTACCACATTGAGTTGTGGATGGCCGTCTCGGCCAGTTTATGTCATAGGTCTTCGGTGTTGCAAACAAAAGTTGAGCTTGAAACGGGTTGAACCTGGTTCCATTTCATCACTTTAATATACTTCAAAAATAAACAGGGTGGCACGTGACATTCGGCGTTTTACGGAGTTCACATGTATTTTGGTGATGTTTCCTCGGTTCAATTGAAAATGTGGGTCTTATGACCAACCAGATGTTGTGTGAGGGGTGACCAACCAATGGACCAATCGTATCCAAACAAATGCTACAATGGCCCCTACCTTGGGTAATTATTCCAGGGGGGCATGTCACATCAGGAATAATTGATTTGGAATAAATAGTTTTAGGGCCTATTTTTAATTATTCTGCTAAGGGGGTCTATTCTATGTCAGATCTTGTATGGAATAATTTGTGTCAACATACCTCAGAATAATTAGCTATTGATGGGCATATAAACTCAGATGATAAGTTATGATAGATTTTGAACCATCACTTGAAAAATAGATGACAATATATGACAATAGATGAACGGTGATGACATGTGCATACATGTGCTGTTATGATCTGTTATCTGCTGTTTCATCGCCCGTGATAGAGTGCCAGAAAGAATGTCAGAAGATATCAGAAGATATGCCAGATAGAATGTCAGAAGATATGCCAGATAGAATGTCAGAAGATATGCCAGATAGAATGTCAGAAGATATGCCAGATAGAGTGCCAGAAAGAATGTCAGAAGATATCAGAAGATATGCCAGATAGAATGTCAGAAGATATGCCAGATAGAATGTCAGAAGATATGCCAGATAGAGTGCCAGAAAGAATGTCAGAAGATATCAGAAGATATGCCAGATAGAATGTCAGACGATATGCCAGATAGAATGTCAGAAGATGTCAGAAGATATGCCAGATAGAAAAGCACAGGGGCCCCAAGGAAATTATTTATCTTGACTCATGTGTCATATTTATTCCAGAGGCACCCACAAATGTCAAAATACCCAGGAATAATTGGGCATCACCAGGAAACACCCAGGGATTCTTCAAACCATGCATTGGGTCACCAATGTTCACTCAGGGGCCCATTGGTCTTTGGCTAAGTTACCATAAGTTACCCATATGTCTTCCACAGGTCACCCACATATGTCGGAATAATTAGGCATCACCAGGAAAATCCAGAAAAAAACCCAGGGATTCTTCAAACCATTCATTGGGTCACCAATGTTCACTCAGTGGGATTCAGTGGGTCCATTGGTCTTTGGCTAAGTTACCATAAGTTACCCATATGTCTTCCACAGGGCACCCACATATGTCAAACCACCCAAGGGAAATTGGGCATCACCAGGAAACACCTAGGAATTCTTCAAACCATGCATTGGGTCACCAATGTTCATTCAGTGGGCCCATTGGTCTTTGGCTAAAGTACCCATATTTTAACCACAGGTCACCCAAATAATTAGGCATCACCAGGAAAATCCAGAAAAAACCCAGGGATTCTTCAAACCATTCATTGGGTCACCAATGTTCACTCAGTGGGTCCATTGGTCTTTGGCTAAGTTACCATAAGTTACCCATATGTCTTCCGCTAAAGCAAGGGAAGAAGAAGCGAGGAACATTCTGGCCCGTGCCAACAAAAATCAAGCCGACGACGGTCCAAGCACGAGAAAAGCCGCCATACGGGCTTATAGATACCTGCACATCATGGCGACACAGCATAGAGCGCTGATTCAACAAGCCTACGTAGCAGCCAAAACTCATGCGGCACGTAGTAAGGGACCCATTGATCCCAAGGACACTGCAGGATACTATCCTCTTCCAGATGAGCTTCCGACAGTACCCCCAGAGCTCACCTCTGGACTGTTACACTGTCTCTCCACTCTAAACCACCCAGGGGAAATTGGGCATCACCAGGAAACACCTAGGAATTCTTCACAGGTTGAGATAGGTTGAGCATTGCCGGAGCACATCTTTGAAACCAGGAACGAGCAAAACTTTCAGGATCCCAATAAACTTTTGAGCTTAATTTGAAAAGGTTTTCTGACACTAGGTTTCTAGTGGTTTGTGGCAATACAACCTCAATCAACACATGCCAATATACCAAATTTGATTACAACTTGTATTTTTATATGAATGGAGAGGGGGGGGTTGCCCTAAATTTACGCTAATTATTCCCGATGTCGTGTGACATACTGGAATGTTTTCCCAGAACATGTGCAATGGGGCTGGAATAATATCCAATTATTCCAAGGTATGCTGGCATGGGGGGGGGGCTATGGCAGGGATCATATGCTACATGGATGATCTTATGGGCGATGGAGAGGGAGTCAATCCAGTCACAGCTGGCCGGTGGCTTCGGATTTTTTTTTGCATCCCTAGCTGATGATTCACAAGCCTAAAGGTTTATATTCTCCGAGGGATTGAGCCAACAACCAAACGGTGTTTTCCGAGGTGTTTTGATGATTTTTTCGATGATTTTGATGAAATTCTGATTAGTTCTGTATGGTTATCCTAGTCTGGGGCCAATGTTTGTAATTGCTGTGCTGGAAATGTGACGTTTCTATGTCAGCGACTCCAAACTAGTTTGATTAATAGGTTCTGTGTGTAATGACCTGACATTGCATGGCTACCTGGGTCCTTGTTGAAATCAGCAGATTTCGGCATTTGAGGTCGAGAAAGAAAGCAAAGAATTCTACGTTGACTTCCAAGAGGCTTTAGGTAGTCAGCATGGACGCGTCAGCGTGAAAGGCATGAGCCCTGAAATCAAGGCCGGAGCCGGAGCCGTTCCGAAATGCTGTTGTAGTATCGACATATATGCAGTGCAACGAACAGATTCCAAATTAGCCTCCCCCAATCATCTAACATCATCCAACATATTGATGCTTTTGCAGGCAGATGCCATGGCTGGATGCGAGCACGTGTTGAAAAAGTATGACAAACATCTTCTGAAGCAGGCAAGTGCATGGGTCTGTTTTTTTTTTTGATGCCGGTTTTTGTCTCACATTTTGCATGCGGGTTTGACTGAAATGGGAAATTACCCAATTCCATCCGCTGCTGAATCATCATTTGCCCAATTAAACAAACATAAACAAAGAATTTTCTGGGTATACCCCATTTTCATTATTTTTCATGAACAGTTTGGGGTATCCCCATGTTTGGCACCAGGTCTTGTCGATTCCCAAGAGCGGTCGCGGCTCCGATCTGGACTTCGGCAGACTTCTCTGTGGCCGAAACATGGCGCATGAAACTTGGCTGCAGCCGGTGCCAGGTGAAACTGGAACATGGTTTATTCATAGGTTTACCACATAGAATTTGACTATATGTAGCCAGTATTGTTTTCAACTTTGTGATTTTTGTAGCTGGGGGATATTGTGAGCAAAGCATCCGAGTGAGGTGTGAAGGTGAGTTTCTCTCACTCAAGACCTTGAGGATTGCCAAAAAAAACATAATCAATCACAATCTGCCCTGAAAGTCAGGTTTGTGACGATGAGTCTGATGATGACATGGACGAGCTGTAGCAGAAGATGCAGCGAACAAGGAGCTTGTTTGCCAAAGAGCAAAGCAAGCCTTTTAAATGGCTTTGAGGAAAACATTGATCGCCTAGCCCCGTGTGCAGGTAGAAACTGGCTACAGCGACATTTGAGTTTTGACAAAAAAACAATCCCTCACACATGTTTTGCGATGCATGTTTGGTCGATTTTGATCAACATGTTCCGATTGTTTTTTTTTGGACACCACTTACACATGATGTGTCATCCTACCTGATGGCCGCTCCAATGCCAGGTCCAGTTGCCGCAAGAGCTCATCATTCTGACCGTTTGTGCGACCTGTGCCGCCGTGCAGTTTTCGGTGGCTCGGTATGAAAGGCGGTGTTGATATGGGATGTTGTGGGTATCCCCCACCAACCCCAACAAAATCCAACAATCCCAAGTGCGCATGTATTTGATATGATTTGATGATATTTGATAATTACAGTATTTCATGTACTGTATATATAAATTTATGATATTGCTGGTCGGCAAATGAGTGACTGACCTTTCAGCTATCATCATGATTTATCATGCTTCATCAGCCAGGGCTCAAGAGGGGACATGGCCATGGGATGCCATGTGGCTGCAGTGCCATGTCGTTGGCTGCACAGATAGGTTGCAGTGGCCACTGGCCAAAAGCCATCGCCACCTTGCATCAAGCCCAGCTGTCGGCACCCGTGGAAGAGAGGGATTATGCAGCAGCCATCACATCATGCATACGAAGCCTTCAATGGACCTGGGCTTTGCGACTTTTAGCAGAGGCAGCTTCTACTGGCTTAAAGCTGGGAGAACCTACGTGGAACAAAATTGTGAGTGCAGCTGGTCGAAAAAAGGCATGGCAAGCAGCCCTTGCACTATTTGAGCAATACCTTGAGAACGGAGCGGCTTGGCAATTCAACTTGTCAGTTTTCGATGATGACAACTTTGAGACGAAGATGATGGTGAAAAGGATGGCGACTAAGATTCCGAGAAAGATGACGACGAATATCATGAGGAGATGATAAAATATGATGAGGAAGATGACGACAAAAATTATTAACAATTTATAGATGCAAAGTGCAGGCAGATGAAGATGGTGAATATTTAGTGTTGTTGAGGTCACACGCAGCGATATCAAGTACATGCTACACTACATATGAACATCAAGCTTAATCAAGCGGCTAATGCCTATATTCTGGGTATGGCCTTGGATGTCAGCAATGCCAACTGATGCCTCACCAAATTTGAAAGTTGAACTCCTTCTTGTTTCGAAATGGTCCGAATGCGTCTTTTATTGTGCTCACCACCACCATCATCATCATCACCACCACCACCACCACCACCACAATTACCACCACCATCATCACCATCATCACCATCCTCATCGTCACCGTCATCGTCATCCTCCCTTAACACCTCCTTTCTGCGTCTTCGTTGTACAAATGGCCATGTTGAGACCGAGGTCCGTCCCACGATTATTGCCTACAGCGCGGCCATGAGTGCTTGTGACAAGGGTCAGCAGTGGCAGCTGGCGCTCTCGATGTTGCGCCGTCTCTCATCCGCTCAAATGCAGGACAAGTGACAAATGCTCCAAAAAATCGTCATAAATCGTTGATGGCTGGTTCATTGATTATTTACGGGGCTAGTATATTCGGATATATTCGGTACTTGACAAAAATGGATATATCGAATGGGTTGTATATTGTGTGGAGTCAAATATGCTAGCTACAAGCGACGCTGTCGGGACAACGGTGCACGTACAATATCTCGGGTTTGATGCGGCAATAATTATGCGAAGTTGTTTTGTCATGTTTTGTCACTATTTCTCGTATGGCATCGCTGATGAAATCATAATTTTCCAGAATTGATGTGTTCCTGCATGTTCTTGCCAAATCCCGGCATAGACTGTCACCTCCTATCCACATGAATATCTCACGATATCTCACGATATTTCGGTCTTCCCTAATGCAGGCTGACCTGATTTTGCTGAACACAGCCATTAGTGTTTGCGCCTGGGGCTCTTGGCAGTACTCCTTATCTCTGCTGTTTGGTTTGGATATGTGGAAGCTACAAGCAGATGAGATCTCTTTCAACTCTGCTCTTAATGCTTTGGAGAAGAGTGCGAGCTGGGAGCATGCGCTGGTGTTGCTATTCTCCATGGCCAGACGTGACTTGATTTCATACAACACTGCCATTAGTGCCTGTGGGAAGGGCACTAACTGGCAAGGCGCCCTGTCATTGATGAGTCACCTTGAAACTGAGACGTTGCAACCAGATTTGGTGACCATGAACTCTGCAATGAGCGCATGTGAAAAGGCAGGCCAGTGGGAAGGTGCCTTCCATTTGCTGGGCTCCCTTCCCACCAGACAGCTAAGTGGAAATGCCATCTCACATACTGCAGCAATCAGCTCATGCAATGAGATGAGAAAGTGGCAGCTGGCATTGGATTACTTCACTAGTCTCCAGAACGAAGACTTGGCACTTGACATTGTCACCTTCAATGCTGTCATCACTACCTGTGCCAAAGCAGTGCAATGGAAAGAAGCCTTGGCGTTGCTTGCCCCGGCAATCTATATAATTTTGACTTGTTTGCCCTGCGGTTGCTAATGCTTGCCAACAGGTATTCTAATTCTTGTTCATATCATTGTATAAAGACTTGCACAAGCATAGGTTTTGCTATGGGTTGCTGAGGAAGCTGAGCCGATGGGAACGGTTAAAGATGGTTTTAAAAAATATTCACACACACACATTTATATATTATATACATACATAATTATATATAATATAATTACTCAGTAGCACCGTTTCGCTGAGAGAGCGCACGGGACGTATCGGGACGTATACTATATATATATCCACAAAATACATCAATCTACGTTACGCGCTATGTGACACTTATTTTTAGATATGATGCTGCACATCATGACATCATCCTTTTTGGGTGAGTTTTGTTCTTTTCAAGCTTCATAGGTCGGCCATACCAGGTTGTTGTTCGGATCTCCTTCGGCAGCCTGGTCGCTGCAGCCCAACTTGGTGTCTTTCAATTCTGCCATCAGCGGCTGCGAAGCTGCTGGGGAATGGCAAGTGGCGGTGTCACTCCTGGAATCCATTGGGTCTTCCCCATACCAAGCAGACTTGTTGACCTACAACTCGCTCATTAGTGCCTCAGGCAAAAGCGAGCAATGGCAGGTGGCTCTCTTTTTGTTCCACCAACTGCCTCGCAAAGGTTTGACACCTGATGTTGTCACATTCAGTGCAGCTATTAGCGCAATGGAAAAAATTGCCAATGGACAACACGCCTTGGCTTTGCTGGCACGTGCCAAACAGGTGTTGGCAGCTGCTGGGTCATTTGGGTCGGGTCCCAACATGATTTTGTACAGTGCTGCAATCAGTGCCTGTGAAAAGAGCAACCTTTGGAAAGAAGCTTTGTCTCTATTATCAGAAGCCAAAAACGAATCTTTGGCTGGTGTGGTGGCATACAACTCAGCCATAAGTGCCTGTGGGAATGCTTCTCAGTGGGAGACCGCCTTGTTGCTCCTATACGATTTGGATAGTTTGTTGTTGCAGCCAGATGTGGTCACCTTCAGTGCTGCAATCAGTGCCTGTGAAAGCAGCCGCCAATGGGAAGTGGCCTTGAGTTTGTTCACAACACTGCGGGAGTGGCAAAGTCAGCTTGACACAATCACATACGGTTCAATCATCAGTGCATGTGAAAAGGGTAAAGCTTGGGAAGAGGCACTTCTATTGTTTCAGTACATGCTGGAGGATGGGATACCTCTAAAACCATTGGTTTATCATAATTTTCCTTACCAAAAAATGCTATTTTAGGATGGGTCATATCCCCTATTTTCAGCCATAGCCACATGCAGGATCGACTGCATCCAGACATCATTGTTTGCAACTCTTTGATCAGCTCCTGCTACATGTCTGCTCGCTGGACAGTGGCCTTGAATGCGTTGCAGACTCTCCAGGAGTTGGTTCTGCATGCCAGTGTCCTTTGGCCGTCACAGGGGGGGTCCACGGAAATTTGGACAACTTGAATGTGGCAATGCCAATAATAAACCACTCCCAATGTTACCATATATTATCATATATTCATATATTACATTATATTACCATAAATGGGTGGTAAACATCAAATGGTAGCTTTCCTATTGCTTTTGCCCGTGCGCCTCGTAAGATTGCACATGGACATGGCAAAACTGGACCGTAGGTTCAGCCAGACACCTGGGCCTCTATCTTCTTTGATGGTTTTTAGATGTTTTTAGTCTATTTGTCCTCAATCTATCTAAATCCGACATTTCTGGACAACCTTCTCATATTCTTAGCTACATCCCACAGCCATCAACTACAGTACATCTCACTTTATCAGTATCACATGATTTACCATTTCCCCAACAAACATAGACCTGGCCAGATAGGGGATTTGGAAGACATTGGAAAACTCTTTTCCTCGAAAACTGGCGAATTCTCAGGCTCAAACATGTTTTTGAATGTGGGATGGGTGGGATGGTAAAATCCATGGTTTCTGCCTTCTTTTGTCATGATTTTCAGCCCTAGGTTATCACCTACAATTCTGCCATTAGCAGCTGTGAACGCAGTGGCCAGTGGCAAGTGGCCCTGCTGTTGTTTCAGAGCCTTCGTCAGAAGCATCTGGAAGCCACCAACGTGACCTGCAGCGTCATCACCAGGCAGAACTGGACCGCCTTTGGCGCTAAAAATGGTTGGTGGGTGACTTTTTAAATGCAGACAGTTCTACCATGTGCTACCAGAAAATGAAAACCAACATGGTGCTACCAAGATGAGTTCGCAGAAGTTTGTGGGTCTTTGAGTGGCAAGATTTTGAGCCGTAGCCCACTGCTCATGATACAGAGTTTGCTGGCTTTGTCGTTGAAATTGTGTATATAATTGTATATACCTGTGCTTGTTCTCAAAGTCGTGAAAATGCTGTTTAAACACTGAGTTTGAGTTTGAAGTCGTTACTAAAGATGACTGGCCATTGTTTGTTTCTTTTGGCCCCAGTTGTTGTGCCACAATTGAACTCTACCAGGCTCTCTGTAAGAAGCAGTAAAACTAGATTGAGCTTGAAAGAAACAGTTTCGTGGATACAATATAATATATATATATAATTATATATATATATATTGTAAAAGAAATGATCATCAAATGCTCATTGTTTGAACATGGTTGAACTTAAGTTTTTCTGAAACTTGGCGCATTCTGCCCAGGGCATGCCAGGCGAGTTTACAATGGCCGATGGTTCTGTTTCTGCTTGGTACTTTGTGTCCTGACCTGGGGGCTTACAGCACTGCAGTGGCGGCAGCGGAGTATGGCCAGCAGCCTCAACATGCTGCAGAGCTGTTGTCACAGATTGAAAGATTGGGCCTGGCTGCGCATTCGCAGCAAAAGGTGTCATGCACGACTGAAGCAGATGTAGAGGTGAGTTCTTCATAATAGAGCAGAGCTTTTCATTGTTTCATGTTTTCTCACCCATGTACATTCTGGTAATCAAACATGGCAATGGAAATCCCATGAAATCCCCCTATATTATAGATTCTAGATGATTTTTCCCATTGTAATGCACATTTATCATTCATAGTATAGTGGATTTCCCAGCCAGCCATGTTTGATTCCCTGAGGGTACCCATTCAATACTGTAGACGCTTTTGGTTGCAAAGTCGACCGGCGGACTTGACCGGCTTCGCTTGGTCGCCTTGCCAGAAGCCATGAGCCCCACGTGAGAATTTCTCAGCGGGTGCATCCGACAGTCGTGGGTTTAAACCATTTGGAAATCATTTGGATCGCAATCTAAAAGCCCAAGAAACAGTTGTGTGGGTCATTGTTGGATATCCCATATGCTCCATGTATGGTATATTTACCAACATTTGCCCTAAAAATCACCCAGTTTTGTAGGTTTTCATATACCAGCACCATGGAGCATATGGGTATATTTAGCATTAGACTTGTTAGACCATCAACGGCTAGCCGCAATGGTGATCGATTTTGATGGATACTGGAACCGTCCAATCGGAGGCACTCTGAACCAGGTCCAACTTCTGGCATTTCCACTGCTGGTGCCTGAAGTTGATGAACGCAGGCGGCTGATCTCTGCCGGGTTCCCCAGTTTTGCTTTCTGCATGGAAGAGTTTGTAAGATGTAATTTGATGTAATGATGTAGGGCCTGTGTTTATGTTCATCATGCTGATTTTGAATTTGTTGATCTCTGTGTTGCGCATTGTCATTCCTGGTTTTCGTAGAGTTGCCATTCTCATACAGCCCGCAGCTGTAGCAAAGGCTGCAGCCCGCGCAGCCATGGCTGAGCCTGTCCTGAAGAGGCAAAAAACCATTGGCAGTCAAACCTTTGATGAAGCACGACAAGGTGTTCTGAAAGACTATGATAGAGAAGAAATGCTTGATGGAATCTTTGATGCTTGGGATTATGATGGCAACGGTGCTTTGACATTAGAAGAGATTTTGCCCTTTTACATGAAGAGCAGCAAGTCCAATGATGTTCTGGAGCCCCAGGTCCGTGCGGGATTCGAAAAGTTTTGCACGTCTCAGGGCTTGCAAGCTACCGATGGCCTTACCAAATCAGCTTTCAAGACATGGCTCAGCAAGTTGACCAATGAACAACTGGCATCCCATTTCGTTCGCGTCAAGGGCTGGACCAGTGAAGCCTACAAGATGAACTTGAACCTGGCCATTGTCAAAGAGTACCGTGGGAAGACGATCAAGGAGATCTTAGATTCTCCAGTAGATGCCCTCAGAGGACTCTCTGACATCGGTGAGGAAGCCTTGCAGAAGCTTGGCGTGAAAACCGTGCGGGAAGTGGCTGTCTGGCGACCATTCCTTCTGGCCCGAGCTATTGTCACCTTGGCTCCAACCGAAAGTAGCGACAAAGATGCAGAGAGTGACGCTCCAGCAGGTGGCATTCTCAAAAAGATGAACATTCGAAACATGCTCGACAAGGAGTTTGAGGCCTTGCCACTGAAGCAAGTGCCTGACCTCCCTGTCTCAGCACTGAGCATTTTGCCGCCTGAGTGTGTGGAGGTGCTTCACACCATGCGAATTAGGACCATAAAGCACCTTGGCCAGCGGAAATATTTCCATTGGGCCAATTCTATGCTGGAGCTGGAGCAGTATGAAGCATGAGCTGGAAGGCCATGGAAAGCCATCATGCCACACCTCTCTGTAAAGGTTCGCCTTGTCCACCAAGCAGGGTGGCTTTTGAAAATCCGGAGCCATTCTGTAGGTGGAAATTGCGTTAAATTGGTTGATTTAATGTGCTGAAGCTTTCGATGAAAAGTTGCCAGGTGGTGGCTGTCAGCATTTGGCAGCGTCAAACTGTTGGAACAACACAAGTTTTCAGTCTGAGAATGAAATGGGCAGTATCTACCTGTCACCATCCTGTCACCAGGCGCAATTGCCATTCAAGATATTCAAGTACTCAAATAATCCGCATGTCCGGTCTGACTTCATTTGCGATTTAAGGAAAATCGCCATGTTTCTTAAAAAACATGTTTGCATACCCATAGGATCCATGCATGGTATATATGCTAATATTGGGGGGGTATATTTATGGTAAATGTTACCATATATAGCATACATGGATCCTATGGGATATAGAAAAGTTTGTTTGGAAATCGGGTACCCGAAACCATTGCTTTGTCATTGGGCACCCTGAGGCTGGCTGGCGCTGCCTCCAAGGAGCAGCTGCTCCGGCTGCGCCGTGGCACGATCCTCGAGGGGTTTTATTAAAAAATTGGAAGATCCCCAAAATCACGGGTTTCAACTCCCATATGCTCCATGTATGGTATATTTACCTACATTTGAGTGATTTTTAGGGCAAATGTTGGTAAATATACCATACATGGAGCATATGGCACTATGGGTTTCAATGATTTTCAATGTTTCAATACTATCGGGGTTCCTCCATTTTAGGAAATCTCCAAATATCATATATTCTTGCTATACGTCGTATGTTTGTCGACTTCTGACTTTTGGATGATGATTGTTTTGAGACAAGTTGTCACCACCCCGTTCCTGGTGGCTTTGCTGCTCAGGATTGCGTTGACATACTGGGTGTCTTTGGCTCAGTGGCTGTTTTTGCCTGCGGAGTGCACACTACAGCGCCATAGTTTATGTTACCTTTTGACCGTACAGTGTAGATACATTGTACTAGAGCAATCTAGAGCACATTTGTAAACCAGATCAAACCAGTTATTCAGCTACTGTACCTGAACCTACATGTGCTGCTGACCAGACGCGTGTTTTCAAGTTGAGCAGTGACAATGTTTCTACACGAGGTGTGTGTTTGTTTGTTTGTTTGTGCGTCACATTGCCTCAAGTAATCTGAAATCAGAGGACAAAGAACATATCAAGTCATCATGAACAGCATATGACAGCTCTTTGCCAGCTTGTTTTTTTGGCAGCCCTTGTCAACGCTTCACAGGTGCAACGTTGTCTTCAGCCTCACGACACTACGACTCGTACGAAAAGCCTCCGCAGCCACAGTGGTCTTGGCCAATGTCAGAGACCCACAGATTCTGCAGCGCAAAATTGGGTCAACTTCTGCTTTGATCCTGGAAAAATGGGAAGTATGGGAAGTTTTTTATAGGCATTGCAGTCTTCAAATTGGAATTTCTGAGAAGTTACCAAGGGAATTATAATGCATTCTATTTATTATTATGATCATTGGTATGCTTATTGGGAAATGTTGGGATTATAGTTATTGAAAAGTCCAACGATGCTTTTAAGATAAAAATCATTGGGGTGATAAATGATAAACCGGTGGAGCACCAATTGTTCAATATGAATTGCTCACCGATTCATAACCGCCAAACAATTTGACAGCAAAGGCCATGATTTCTGTGGATTTTGCCTCAAAACAATCCATTGACTAAAATTCTGGAAATCTTCAACTCCATCAATCTCCATTCCCATTTTTTGCGCGAATCATGCGGGTTCATACAGTAACGCATTTACGACAGGTGATACAACCAATATACTCTGCAAATGGGTTGAGTGGGCAATGCAGGGCCTCGCAACTCATTGGTGATACCAAATCGGTCACGCTTTTCCCAAGGTTGCAGCCTTACCACTCAGTGTTGGGCACTCAGAATTTGGTGTGATGTTTCTTCGAACCCCAGACTCTTGCTGGGGTTGGCCGGCAGCTCCTCCTCCTCCTCCTTCTCATGATGATGATGATGATGATGATCATCATCATCATCATCACCACATATTGGTTCATATTGTATTATGTTTTCATAGTAACAGTTTATTATGTATATGTACATATGAAAGTACACAAATAACAATAATAACATTTATTTTACATGTCTAATACAGTGATATTATGATTGTATATTACTAAATGTCTCACATATTTTGTATCACTAAGGCGCTGGTATTTTGCTGCCCACTTCCGTTGTTGCAGCTTGGGCCCCAGGCTCTATCGCCCTTGGATTCCCATGGGATATCACCGGATCCGCGATTGGTTTCCGTACAACCCTAAGGCGGCAGCCTTTCCAATGGTCATTTGCCGTCAGCTTGATATTGGCTGCGGCCTTAAATGAATGAATCGAAATAAAATGCGCGAACATGCATAAAACATTATAAAGCGACGTGAAATTGATGTGAAACGAGGTGAAACGTTGTGACACTTGTTAAACACGGAGTGCGTGTGATGTGATGTAAATGTAAGCAGGCCACATGTGGCCATATGGTCCCTCATGCATTGCGAGACACGCCAGCAAACTGTGCTGCTTGTCACGGTGGAAGTATATTTGGTACAACTTTGGAGCCCATTGGAACAAACATCTTCTCTCGCAATCGCAAGTCGGACAACCCGAGGTTGTGGTGGGAAACCTTCTATATGGCCACTGCCCTATAAGAACGGTGTCAGTTTCAAGCTCGCTGATCAGAGCCATTAAAATGGGCCATTCCTGATGAATAAGTTTTATAGTCACTTTTTAGTCCAATCTTCCAGACATGTTGAAACCAACACTTAGACAGCTCAATATATTGACCGGACTTGGAGATTGCAATGATATTCCAACGGCCTGCAAATTGGAAGGAACTTCATGCCATGCCCTTCCCGAAAGGTGCTACGTCATGGCGAAATTCAGTGCGGTTCAAGCGCTGAGAAAGACCCAAGGGCCCATGGGCTTGGGTATCTGTACATTATGTAATTATGCGGGTTGTTGTCGTGTCAGTCATAGCCTGACAGGTTGTAAATTGATGTCATTTTCCCGAATGCGTAGCGAAGGGTTCTTGTTTTCTTGGTAGGGGGTCTGGGGGTGGTGGACTGTTTGCGGGTCGTTTTCGTGTCGCGGGTCTCTAATCCCGTCGTCGCCGCTGTCTATGGGGAAAGTGAGACAAGGTGATGGTTTGTGTGAAAGTGGATTGTGAAGTGTGAAGTGTGGAGTCTGAAGAGTGGTGTGTGAAGTGTGGAGTCTGAAGAGTGGTATGTGAAGTGTGGAGTCTGAAGAGTGTGAAGTGAGAAGTGTGAAGTGGAGAGTGTGCAGTGTGAAGTGAGAAGTGTGAAGTGGAAAGTGTGCAGTGTGAAGTGAGAAGTGTGAAGTGGAGAGTGTGCAGTGTGAAGTGTGAAGTGAGAAGTGTGAAGTGGAGAGTGTGAAGTGTGAAGTGAGAAGTGTGAAGTGTGGAGTGTGACGTGTGAAGTGTGGAGTGAGAAGTGTGAAGTGTGGAGTGTGAAGTGTGAAGTGTGGAGTGTGAAGTGTGAAGTGTGGAGTGTGAAGTGTGAAGTGTGAAGTGTGGAGTGTGAAGTGCGGAGTGTGAAGTTTGGAGTGTGGAGGGGAGAGTGGAGAGTCTGCAGTGTGAAGTTTTTGGATTGTGGAGTATGACGTGTTGATTGTGAAGTGTGAAGTGTGGAGTCTGAAGAGTGGTGTGTGAAGTGTGGAGTGTGGAGTGGAGAGTCTGAAGTGTGAAGTGAGAAGTGTGAAGTGGAGAGTGTGCAGTGTGAAGTGTGAAGTGAGAAGTGTGAAGTGGAGAGTGAGTGTGCAGTGTGAAGTGTGAAGTGAGAAGTGTGAAGTGTGGAGTGTGACGTGTGAAGTGTGGAGTGAGAAGTGTGAAGTGTGGAGTGTGAAGTGTGAAGTGTGGAGTGTGAAGTGTGAAGTGTGAAGTGTGGAGTGTGAAGTGCGGAGTGTGAAGTTTGGAGTGTGGAGGGGAGAGTGGAGAGTCTGCAGTGTGAAGTTTTTGGATTGTGGAGTATGACGTGTTGATTGTGAAGTGTGAAGTGTGGAGTCTGAAGAGTGGTGTGTGAAGTGTGGAGTGTGGAGTGGAGAGTGTGAAGTGTGAAGTGAGAAGTGTGAAGTGGAGAGTGTGCAGTGTGAAGAGTGAAGTGAGAAGTGTGAAGTGTGGAGTGTGACGTGTGAAGTGTGGAGTGAGAAGTGTGAAGTGTGGAGTGTGAAGTGTGAAGTGTGGAGTTTGAAGTGTGAAGTGTGAAGTGTGGAGTGTGAAGTGCGGAGTGTGAAGTTTGGAGTGTGGAGGGGGGAGTGGAGAGTCTGCAGTGTGAAGTTTTTGGATTGTGCAGTGTGACGTGTGGATTGTGAAGTGTGAAGTGAGGAGTCTGAAGAGTGGTGTGTGAAGTGTGGAGTGTGGAGTGGAGAGTGTGAAGTGTGAAGTGAGAAGTGTGAAGTGGAGAGTGCGCAGTGTGAAGTGTGAAGTGAGAAGTGTGAAGTGTGGAGTGTGACGTGTGAAGTGTGGAGTGAGAAGTGTGAAGTGTGGAGTGTGAAGTGTGAAGTGTGGAAGTGTGAAGTGTGGAGTGTGAAGTGCGGAGTGCGGAGTGTGAAGTTTGGAGTGTGGAGGGGAGAGTGGAGAGTCTGCAGTGTGAAGTTTTTGGATTGTGGAGTGTGACGTGTGGATTGTGAAGTGTGAAGTGTGCAGTGTGAAGTGTGGAGTGTGCAGTGTGAAGTGTGGAGTGTGAAGTGTGGAGTGTGAAGCGTCCAATTCATACATTGAACACAGTAAGACAATTTGCATCTTGAGATATCTTGAGTCCTTTTTGCAATTTACAACCCCTGGACCCTACAAAATAAAACGTTTAGCATACGGAGAAAGTTTACATGTCGCGTCAGTGTTCAAATTTACCCTTTTCGACCCTACAAAGAAAATAGGTGAACATTGTGGAATTTTACCAACCCCTCGGCCCTACAAATCAATACGTTCAACATACAGATCAAGTTGACATGTTGATTCATTCTTTTGGATTTACCTGCCCTGTCCCCTACAAAACTTACAAAACATTATGTTTAACGTATGAACCAGCATGGCATCTTGACTTATGTCAAAATTGCCCTTGCCTTCCCCTACAACAAAACAATACGTTGAACACATGGGAAAAAAGGCATCTTGAGTCATTTTTGAAATTTACAGCCCCTCGACCCTACAAAGCAATACGTTGAACATACGGAGAGATTTTGCATGTCGAGTGATGCTTGGAATTTCCGCCCCTTCGACCCTACCAGACAAACGGTTTAAGATATGAAGAAAGTTGCCATGCGTGGTCATTTTTGAAATTTACATCTCCTCGACCCTACCTAGCACCCCCTTCAACGAATGAACGAACTTGGCATGTTGAGTCATTGTTAAAGATCTACTCCCCTGTGCCCTACAAATTCACGTTCAAAGTCGTTCAACAAACAGACCAGTTTTGGCATCTTGAGCCGTGTTTAACATGTCCTTTCCCATGCAAATCAGAACCTTGAATATAGGAACAAAGTTGAAACCTTAAGTCATCTTTTGTCATCCACCCTCCCCCACAAAAACCATATCTTGAACACATGAGGGCAATTCTCAGCTTGAGTCATGTCGCAACTTACCCATTTTTCAATTTACGCCCCTTTTTCGGCCCTACCAAGCAATATGTTCAACATTGGAAGAAAGTTGACATGTGTTGCAAATTTACCCCCCTCGAACCTTCAAAACCATACGGTCGATTCAACATATGAAGAAAGTTGACATGTTGAGTCATTGCTATAGATTTATCTCCCGGCCCCCTACAAAACACTTTGTCCAACATATTAACCAACTTGGCATCCTGAGTCATGATAGTCATGTTTGAAATGTCCTTTTCTTGCCCTACAACAAAGCAAGACGTTGAACAAATGAACAAAATTGGAACCTCGAGTTATGTTTGGAATTTACGCCCGCTGGACTATACACAGCAATACATTCAACATATGAATCAAGTTGACATGTAGAGTCTTTTGGATTTACCTGCCCTGTCCCCTACGAAACGCTATGTTTAACGTATGAACCAGCATGGCATCGTGACTTATGTCAAAATTGTCCTTGCCTTCCCCTACAACAAAACAATACGTTGAACACATGGAAAAAAAGGCATCTTGAGCCATTTTTGAAATTTACAGCCCCTCGACCCTACAAAGCAATACGTTCAAAAAAACGGAGAAAGTTGACATGTAGTCATGTCGAGTCATTTTTAAAACTTTGCCCCCCTCGACCCTACAAAGCAAACGGTTGAACAAGTGCAGAAAATTGACATGTGGGGTTATTTTTGAAATTTATAACGTCTCGATACCTCTCGTCGACTCCACCATGCAGTACCGGCAGTATATGAGCAAAGTTGACATGTTGAGTCGTTGTTGTGAATGTGCTCCCCCCATCCCTTTTAAAACGCAACGCTCAACATATCAACCAATTTGGAATCTTGAGTGATTGTTATGTTTTTCCCCCGCTGTCCCCTACAAAAACACTACGTTCAACATATATATATATATAAAACAACTGGGCATCATGAACCATGTTTAAGATGTCTTTTCATTCCCCTGGAAATTATTACGTTGAAATTGAATATATGAACAAAATGAAATGTAATCATCCTTATATTTGTTAATTCCTTCTCCTACACCAAGCCAATATGTTGAACATGTGAAGAACATTGGCATCTTGAGCCATTTTGAAACTTACCTCCCTCGACCCTACAAAGCAATAGGTTTAGCATATGAAGAAAGTTGACATGTTGAGTCATTGTTGTAGATTTAACCCCTGTCCCCTGCAACAAAAACAATACGGTCAACATATGAACCACCTTCGCCTTTAAAATCATTTTTGGAATGTATATTTTTTGACCCTACAAAGCCATGGTTCAACTTGTTGGGAAATTTGACATGTCGCTGTTATAGATTTAACCCCTTCTCCTACAAAAAACATTATTTTCAGCACATGAACCACCTCGGCATCTTGAGTCATGTTGAACATCTCGTTCCATGCCTACAGAACAATGCGTTGAGTCATTTTTAACATTTACCACCCCTTCGACTACAAAACAATATGTTCAACATTTTTCAACATGTCCCCTGCAATACAAAACAATATGTTGAGCGCATGAAAAAAATGGCATCTTGAGTCAGTTTTGATTAAACCCCTTCGACCTCACGAAGCAATACGCTCAACAGAATATGTGGGGTAAATTGTTGAAATTTCCCGCCCATCCACCCTACAAACCAATACGTTCAACACACGAACAAAGGTCAGAGACAGGGGCGTCAAAACAGACAAAGATTTCCTGTGGCAGTCGTGCGGGGTCGTCAGGGGTCGTAGGGGTCGTCAGGGGCGTCACGGGTCGTCAGGGTCGTCAGGGGTCGTCAGGGTCGTCGGCAGACTTTAGATCGAGGTCGTCAGGGTCGTCAGAGGTCGTCAGCTGAAATTGGGCAACTGCTGTTGCCATCTCTGGTGGAGTGTGAAGTGTGGAGTGTGAAGTGTGGAGTGTGCAGTGTGAAGCGCAGAGTGGAGTGGCAAGTGTGGAGTGTGATGTGGCAAGTGTGGAGTGTTGAGTGTGGAGTGTGAAGTGTGGAGTGTGACGTGTGAAGTGTGGAGTGAGAAGTGTGAAGTGTGGAGTCTGAAGTGTGAAGTTCAGGGTGCAAAGTGTGAAATGGAGTGTGAAGTGTGGAGTGTGGAGTGCGAAGTGTGGCGTGGAGAGTGTGAAGTGTGAAGTGTGAAGTGGAGTGCGAAGTGTGGAGTGTGAAGTCTGATGTGTGTGGAGAGTGTGGACTGTGGAGTTAGAGTCTGAAGTGTTGAGTCTGAAGTGTGCAGTGTTGAGTGTGAAGTGTGAAGTATGAAGTGTGAACTGCGGAGTGTGGAGTGTGAATTGTGGAGTGGAGAGTGTGGAGTGTGATGTGGGAAGTGTGGAGCGTTGAGTGTGAAGTGTGAAGCGCAGAGTGTGGAGTGTGGAGTGTGAAGTGTGGAGTGGAGAGTGGGGAGTGTGATGTGGAAAGTGTGGAGTGTTGAGTGTGGAGTGTGCAGTGCAGTGGAAAGTGTGGAGTGTGAAGTGTGGAGCGGAGAGTGCGAAGTGTTGAGTGTGAAGTGTGGAGTGGAGGGTGCAAAGTGTGAATTGGAGTGTGAAGTGTGTGGAGTGTGGAGTGTGGAGGGTGAAGTGTGGAGTGGAGAGTGTGAAGTGTGAAGTCTAAAGTGGAGTGTGAAGTGTGGAGTGTGAAGTCTGAAGTGTGTGGAGTGTGAAGTGTGAAGTGTGGAGTGCGAAGTGTGGTGTGGAGTGTTGAGTGTGAAGTGTGGACTGTGGAATGTGGAGTGTGAAGTGTGGAGTTGGAAGTGTGGAGTGCGGAGTGTGGAGTGTGAAGTCTGGAGTGCGAAGTAGTACTGGGAAGTGCCTTGCGCAAACTTTGTAGTACAAAGTAGTACTGGGAAGTGCCTTGTGCAAGATTTGTAGTACAAAGTACTGGGAATTAGTCTGTGCAAGATTTGCAGTATAATGTAATACTGTGAGGTGCTGTGTGGACGCTTCGTAGTACAAAGTAGTAATGCGAGGTGTTCCAGATGTGTCAAGGAAGAGTGTCCAACAAGAGTGTCTTACAAGAGTGTTTCAGAGAGAGTGTCTTACTAGAGTGTGCCACAAGAGTGTCGAGCAAGAGTGTCAGGCAAGAGTGGCTTATAATGCGGTCAAGCATCTCCTGTTCGCTTTGCACTGTCCTGTAGGAACCTTTTTTCTACGTGAGCTTTGAAAAGATGCATTCAGGTCCGTGGATTCTATCAGGTTTTTCCAGTCAATTCTAATTTCCTTTCGAACCCATTGGTTTTTCCTTACGGTGGTGCGTGCAATTGTGTGCCTATTGGGCGTTCCAAGGGGCGTTGAGCGAAATGCTCAGCAAATTGCCATTCCAAGAGTTTTCATTGTCTAGGCCAAAGCTGCTTGCGTTTGCCATCTCTATACAGAGGCAGACCTCCTCAATGTTTGCCGTCCTGATTTGCTTGAAGACCTAGAAAAGGAGAAAAAAAAATTACTTTACTTCGTGTGATCCCCACCATGACATTTATACATTTTGTTACTGGCAAATCTTCTGGCATTCTATCTGACATATTTTCTGGCATTCTATCTGGCATATCTTCTGGCATTCTACCTGGCATATCTTCTGGCAGATGTTCTGGCATATCTTCTGGCAGATGTTCTGGCATATCTTCTGGCATATCTTCTTGCATATGTTCTGGCATATCTTCTGGCATTCCATCTGGCATTCTATCTGGCATATCTTCTGGCATATTATCTGGCAAATCTTCTGGCATTCCATCTGGCATTCTATCTAGCATATCTTCTGGCATATTATCTGGCAAATCTGCTGGCATTCTATCTGGCAAACATTCTGGCACTTTATCTGGCATATCTTCTGGCATTCTAGCTGACATTCTATCTGGCATTCTATCTGGCATACCTTCTGGCATTCTATCTGGCATATCTTCTAACATTCTATCTGGCATATCTTCGGGCACTCTATGTGGCATATCTTTTGGCGTGGATACTCGCGGTTGAGGTCCGGCAGGGAACACTGGGCGTGGATGGTCGTGGTTGAGGTCCGGCAGGGAACACTGGGCGGGGATACTCGCGGTTGAGGTCCGGCAGGGAACACTGGGCGTGGATGGTCGTGGTTGAGGTCCGGCAGGGAACACTGGGCGGGGATGGTCGTGGTTGAGGTCCGGAAGGGAACACTGGGCGTGGATGGTCGTGGTTGAGGTCCGACAGAGAACACTGTGCGTCGAGGGTCGCGGTTGAGCAGGAGGAGAGGAGAGGAGGAGAGGAGAGGAGAGGAGAGGAGGAGAGGAGGAGAGGAGAGGAGATGAGAGGAGAGGAGGAGCAGGCAACTGACATAAAATCTAACAACCCTCACCTGGCAGGTGGGGAACAAAGATCTTGTTTGCGCAATGACCTGATTCAGTCGTGTACTTGGAACTAGTTACATTGCAACGGTTACAGCATGTTTATGTGATATGCGGATACATGCGGCGCATCGGTCACGGGATGTCTGTGTAGCATTTGGTTTCAAGAAGATTTCTGGTTCGGCCGTCGGCGAAGTCCGCCTCAAAGGTGCCCCGGTGCCGCCCGGGTCCGCCATGGCGTCGCTGCTACATATCTTCAGGTTTATGTTGGGGCCTCCAGGGGTTGTAGCCTCAGGTCGACTGTGAGTCGACTGGGTCCCACTGGGTAGCCAGATCCGTGCAGCGTTTTGAGGTTCCCTTGTGGATAGTCATTTCCTTCGATAGCATCTTGCTGATCTTGCTCATAAGCACCATTCTCCTGTGCTGCCCCCAGGATATTGCTGACCCAGAATGACCCAGTCCTTTACGAGCCTTCATTCATTACATGCATGGTACCTTATGGTATGCGGGTTTTCACCTGTACTCGGTCGGTTTTTTTGAACTCCTCGAGCCTGGCAGGGTTGTAGCATTCACCATCGCAAATTCATGGGTTTTAGTTTTAGCATGTTTTGACCTGGCAAAGAATCAGGAACAAAAAGACAAGAAAAAGTATGATGCAACACGTGGCGGATTGGAGAAATTTGATGAGTTGCCGAACAGTGCTTTCTTCTGCCATTAGCCCACTTCCATCCCCAGGCTGCTCCCAAAGAAGGTGTGGTCCAAGTCCAAGTTGGTGCGGAGTGCTCGAAACCGGTTCTTACCTCAGCAAAGCTCATTTCATCTCATTTCAATGGGCGGTCTCTTTCCAGCAGCTTCTGGGCATACCACCACGATGGCTTCCACCGCAAGGGATCTAAAGAGATCTCAAGATGGATCCGGATATTGAAGCTACCGGCTACCAACACATGTGGGTGCGTAGGTTCATATCAGGTGCAAACCTGGTGCCTGTTCCCAAAATTCCCGAGGCTGGTCGGCTGGCTACGAAGAATGGTGGAGCCGCTCCGTTAGCAATCAGCAAATTGAACGGTCTATGCCTATGCAAGTATCTGAGGTACCTGTTGTTTTCATGTCATTCACATTGTTTTCAGTGCGAATGGACTGTTGTTTAAAAGGACGCGGCGTCCTCTTTCATCCCAGATGTTAGGCAACAGGTCGCCTGTTTGCCCTTTGCATGCCATGATTTCTCTCGTAAGCCACTGAGTCACTGTGAGGCTCTCCATTCAAGGTCCGCCTGCCACCCAGTTCAGTCTGAATTAGTCAAACGCTGTGTATGCTTTTCAAAGCGAGCAGCTTGCACGATAGACATTCACTGAGATTTATATGGTGATCGATCTCAAGGTCTTTGTAATAAGGAGTTTTAATTGCGAAAGCCGTGCATGTTATGTTGGAAACCCTCGCGAAAGTTTTTTCCGAGTTCGCGAAAGTAACATTTTTTTTCGCGAAAGTTTCGCGAAAGTTGGATATTATAATTTATTATGTAAAGGGCTGCCACCCACTGCCGCCCGGTGTCCGGCAGGAGAAGGGCACTGTTCTGGTTCAGTTCCCTGTGTGGTGATGCTTGTGGACAATCACACCCTTCATAGGTAGCAACCGAGCTTCCGAAGGCAAGGCTTCGCGACAGCCAAACGCCATGGTCCTGAAGCACATCCTTGCACCTGCTGCTGTCACTGCCTAATGATGCTTTTGAAGTCTCAAGAAGCAAGCTCCAAATGCAGTAGCCAAGTTTCCAAAAGTGAGGCTTTGCGAGAGCCAAACACCAAGGCCCCTGGTGTTCGCTTTTCCTTCAATGCACCCCCTGCTGATGGCCGGGGTCTGTGAATAGGGATATTTTCGCGAAAGTTATGCGAAAGAGCGGGCGAAAGTCAAAACGCATGTTGAAGGGGGTGGGCCAGTAAACCTTGCCAAAAAAACCTAGTCAGCAACAATCTGCACTGAGAAGGGATTCCGTGATGCTAGCTGCATGTTTAAAAGGCTATCAAGAAGTGATCCGTGATTCTCTGGCAAAATTTGGCAGGTGGTGAATCAATCTTCATAAGAGGTGTTGTTGGCCAACATGGGCCCCGGAAAGATAAACATGGAGTTCGCGCAAGTAAAACTTTTATTCGCGAAGAATGGCCGTTTTGGCGGATAAAGGAATTTTGATCAAAACCCATATATATAATATAATCTCTCTCTCTATATATATTTATTATATATATATATCATGAGAGATGGAATCGACATTGCTGTGTTGCATTGCGTTGCCCAGGTTGGTGTTGGGTAGCGTTTGGCTGGGTAGAAAGCTTGGAAGAGGTAGCTGCAGCCTCAGCTGAACAGGTGGCTTAGTGGATCACCATTCATTGCTTTTGGGACGCCTATGGGACGCCTATGGGACACCTATGGGACGCCTTGAAGGATGATAAGGATTCGCCTTCGGCCTTCGGCTCGATTTTTTGAGTCTGGTGTTTTCATCACATCCCAGGGCTTTCCTCGGTGGCAAAGGCTCCCCACGTGACTCGGTGGCAGGATTCGCCCTATTCGCCCTATTCCATGGCCTTTTGGTAGACATTGAACTGACTCATTTTGTGGGAACGGTCGGCCCGACACTTTGGAACCATAGTTAGTTTTTGCAGCCTAGCTTTAGGCCATCTCGGCTAAAGCTGACAGCATGTTTGATGTGAAGCACTCAGCTGGAAGTTTGTGGTCATGTGTGTGGTCAACACCTAGGCATTGTTATGCGAAATTGTTTCCGTGCTAGGTAACAATTAAGTTTTCTCCGACTCTTGGATGGAACCTATTTCACCAGGCTGGAAATTGATGGGAGGGACTTGATTCATTCCGTTTTTTCTCTTGTGATCTCTTGCAGAAGCCTCGAAGGAGAACTATGTGGTCTCCTTTGCCAGGGATGGCACTGACATTTGGGCAGAGCATTTGTCTGAGCGATCAGGCAATCAGGCTTGAGGTAGGATCCGTGCACCTTGATTATTCTTTTCTTTCTTGACGCCACCTAGGCGGTCGTTCAATAAGGACACGGACTGCGAAGATTTGAGTGGAGTCACTGGCAGATTTAGGGTATCTTCAACCACTTTGGCATACTTTGGCTATAAAGTCATCGAAGTCACTGCGCCAGGTAACCTGAAAAAGGGAGACCGTTTCAAGTTTGCACCTCAGTGGGGCAGGACCAGAGTTTGCCTCCCTTGCCTTGAAAAATCGGGTCCGCATGGCAGGGTGGTGATTCAAGAACTGTGTGGACCTCAATGGCTTCTCTCAAAGTATCGAAGGTGGATACTGGTTTTGTTCTTGCAGTATCTTCACAGTCGGTGGAACTTCTTGGAATTTTGAATAGTTTTGATCTCTAGAGACTCTAATGTCCAGGTTTACATCAGTGTTGTGCCTTGCATCAATAGCTCCATCATATTTCATAATTTTCCAAACGCCAACACTGAAAAATGGATAAATTGTTAGTATCCTACCATTCTGAGGCCAGCATCCACCCGCGTGAAGTTTCGGGTGGGTCTTTGACTCAAGCCGCCAGTGTCGAGCAGCTCCGACTCGTTAGGGATGACATGGGGTGACCGATTGGGGCCGTCATGTCCCAGGTGCTGTGTCTTATTGGGGCCGTGGTCCTTGGAGCAAGGAGGCCATCGTCACTTCGATGTCAACGTCAACAAATATTTTGGATACCATGACACAAATATCACACATATAACATAGACTAGACTTTATGTGTATGGCCGGCATATATAGATACACACATAATATACTTTGTATATGATATATATATATAATATTTATTTATTTATTTATTTATATTTTAGTGCGTGTGTGATCCTATGTCACACTATGTCATTGCAACCTTTGACTGGTTGGGAAGGTGTGCGTCACGACCATGGCTACACCCTCCAAGGATCTTGGCTTTACAGGCTGGCCATGGCTGGTCAACGTCATGCGGATTTTTTTTAAACGCTGCTGTCACAGTGGCAGGCCTCCTTGGCCCAGCTTGGGAGAAGACAGGAGCACAACTTGTCGCGCTTGTGGCATTTTGTGGTCTTGGGGCTTGGTGGTCAGCTATTCAGCTATGGCAAGTGGAGGAAGTGGGAAGAAAGAGTACACGTGGCTGCAGACCAGGAACGAGGCAACACCCTTTTTTTGAGAAGTTAAGTCATTATTTGAGTGTTTCGAGAAGAGTGGAGTGCCCAATGAAATGCCCATAGCATTTCACAAGGTCCCTTCCCTCTAATATTGATACGGCTCATACGGCCCCCAAAATGAACAGATCCAATACTAAATATACTAACTCTTAGGGTTTCTAGGGTGATAATATTTAAATTTAAATGTATTTAATATATTTTATATAATATTAGGGGGATGGGGGTTCATTGTGCTAATGATGAAACGGTAGGGAAAAAAAACCGGCTGAGCTGCCCTTTACCTGCAGGTGCATCTAAGGATAGCCATCGGCAAAGATCTCCGAGGCAAAGATGTCAGGCGCCCTTCATGGACGCTTCCGAAGCGCCTGGGCGGTTTGCACGGAGCGTGGATTGAATCCTGGTGGCCAGGTTCAAAGCTCAACCTCATCGGCTTCAAGTTGACCTGGCAGTCAGTTACTTATGAGATCTTATGAGCCATTAGTAAGTTATCTTGAAGGATGGGTCAAAGGAAAGCACCAGGAGCCAAATGCGTTTGGTCAGGTGTTTTGTTTGTGATTCAACGGTGAAATAATGACTGTGGCTAGGTTATCTATCTATCTATCTATATATATACAGGATGCACATGATTGAGCAAGCAAGGTCACAGTTCATTGAGAATATGTACTGACTCATAGATGCACAGCACGTTTGAAATGGTTTCCTTCACCAAGGTTGGTACAGAAGTTCTAGCACTTCTTCATGGCATCCTGCTGGTTACTGTTTGTTTTGCCAAAACCAAGTGTTCAGGAAAGTGTCGGAATTTGAGATTCATTCGCTTCTTGCACACTGTTCATCTAAAGAGCACATTAAAGTGTTTGAATCATCGATTTTGCAAGGTACCCTGGCGCACCGCATCAACTCAGATGATGCCACCTGGTACATCGATGAGTCCAAGGATGATGGCAGGCGACTGGTGGCTGACGTGCGTTCATCCCATGTTCATCTAGAAAATGGCTGTGATTTCATGTGATTTCCATGGATTTGGTCACTGGCAACTGGCAACCGATGTTAATCGCATATGCATGTAGAATATCGCAGACGGAGCATGTTTTGTGTGGCCTTTTTTTGGTGTTGCAGTATCAACTTTGCCGTGAAGTGCATTTCAAGATCTCCACTTTACAGTTTATAAAGCCCCTTCCAGATGCCTAACAAAACCGAGTTTCAAGTTGACAGCCTGACACGGTCCTGGAAGGTTCATCCAAATCACTATCTTCAAGCTCGAGGCTTTGGAGAGGCAAGAGCAGCCTATGGCTGCTGTTGAAGTTTTGAGCTGGTGAAGCAGTGGAAAATGCTGAGAGAGAGTGGAGATCAATTGGGTGTTTGACACATAACTATAGTCAAACTGTAGTCTGACTACAGCGGCCAATGGTTGGCCAATGGTTGGCCAATGGTTGGGACGCTTCGGCATGCTTCGGCACATGTTGAATGACTCACCGGCAAGTTTGACAGTGTCAGGTGGACGCGTGTCTTTGAAGGTGGGACAAGTCTGAGCAGTTGCAGTTGGAGTTTCTTTAAAAGCTAAGGTCTAAGGTCACAGCTGGGGATGGATCAAAACCTACCATGACTATATTTTGAGGGAATCATCATCATAATCATCATAATCATCATAATCATCCATTAACCATCATTAACCGGCTATTTTAAGGTACCAGCCGGATCTCGGCTGCCAGGGTTTTGACATGTTTTGACCCATAACCAGCCGAGTCGTCAACCAGGCGATGAGCATCCAGAGATCGACCCGCGATATGTGCAGTTCTTTGTGGATCCGCTGAATCCAGGCGCTGAAACCAATGGAAACCCATGGTTTTCCCAGGGAATGAAGTAAACTGTTAGTAAACCCATCTGAAAAAAAAAAACAATTGGATTTATATGGGTTTATGATGATTTATGATATTTATGCGGGACAAAAAATATGCTATAGCGCTAGGGTTAAGTCGTATCAGCTCGTAAAAGTCGTATCGGGAGGCCGTGCGCCTGGAAAAAGTTCAAGTTTGGCATCACCACAACTTTTAGTAATTGAACGATTTCATTGTTTGGGGCCGTGCGCCTGGAAAAAGTTCAATTTGTGTATTGCGTTGATTTTTAAAACTTATATTTGATCATTCTTTCAAGGGGGCAAACGCTGGTTGCTGCTTGCTTGCTGCTTGCCTGCTATTGTACCATTATATACCCCTATTGGGATGACCAACATGGTTTTATCGTTCGGCTGACTCCCATTGCTGTCAAATCAGTGATGAATTACCTAAAGCCTAAGCATCAAAAGACGATAGTTGAACATAGGCAGTTTCAATGTTTTCCAGCTTTTTTTTTCAGATTGGGTTTCCCTCCTTTCAGACACCATTGGAACATATTGGAACCATGGTGTCCCATGGCGTCGAATGTGTCAGGATCTCTTGGTGACCTGAATGAGTGTGGCACCCAGAATTCTAGTGTTACATGGAAGAACAAGGCTTGCCATTTCTGGAAGTATATAATGCAAGAATGGGCACTTTATACCTAAGATTGTTTTCAAAAGGCATCAGTACGTGCTTCCTGATATCCATCTTCAGTTTGCAAGGTAGCGTTTCGAATGAGCTCGTGATGGGCTTGGCTACTTCAACAGTCAGCATGGCAAGTGGATTAGTTCTTGTCTTGCTTCCTTTGCTAGTTGCGGGTAAGCACCCTGATACGCTTGACTTGAGACTTCAAAACGTTCCTTGGTCTTTTTCACACCTCGAACACCTTGAGATACTTGCCATGCCCTTAATCATTTAAATGCCTTCAATGCCTTGCAAGAGAATGCGGCAGTTTCAATAATTACCCACAGTGAATCAAAGGGGAGCTCGAGACGGGAGAACCCCATTCGAGACAAGGACTCTGACCTTTGTCCAGCAAAACAACCAGTCTCACGTTGGAAGCATCCGCTGTTGCAGTGTAACTCTGTGCGTATTGTGGCCAGTTTGGTGGCTTGTGGTGTTGTGAGCCTCCAAGTATGCAAGGTGCCCAATCCAGACTTGGTTGGTGGTTTCAAACATGTTCAAACAATTTTTATTGTCATCCCTATTTGGAATGATGATCCAAATTGACATGGCTCAATATGGATTGAAACCGTCATAACCAGAGAATAATTTTTGCCATGCAGCTGTCTTGGCTTCTTGGATTGCAGCTGAACCGGCAACATGTTGAACACTCGCAAGAAGCTCGTGAAGGACAAGCGGCCATATGTGCACATATTCCTGATGATGCAAGGGTTGACTCATGATGTTTGATGATGTGTCCTCACTGTCATAGTATGTCATAGTTTTAGTCATGCCCTGAACCAATGAACATTGGCAGGAGAAGGGCGCGACCCCCACGGAGCTGGACCAGGAAGTGGCCAAGGCCATTTTTGACATCGAGGTGTCTCCTTCGTGCGATATCAAGACTGAGCTGAAGGATGTCTACATCTCTGGTGCCAAGGATGTTGAGGTGGGCAAGGCTGGCATGGCCATGGTGGTCCACTTCCCTTTCCGTGTTTGGAAGGTTGTGAAGAAGATCCAGGGCCGTCTCATCAGAGAGTTGGAGAAGAAGTTCAACCGCAAGCATGTGGTGCTTGTGGCCAACAGGACCATCTTGGACAAGAACTTTAGGCGCAAGGGCCTGAAGGTCCGACCACGCAGCCGCACCCTGACAGCGGTGCACGAGTCCATTTTGGAAGATTTGGTGGGACCTACTGAGATTGTTGGCAAGCGCACACGCATCTCCCTTGATGGCAGCAAGCTGCTGAAGATCATTCTTGATCCCAAGGACAAGGACAAGGAGAACATTGAGAGCAAGCTGCCTGCATTCGCCGCAGTCTACAAGAAGCTTACCAACAAGGAGGCCCAGTTCATGTTCCCCACTGTTTGATCCCATCATGAGTGCGGCCGGCTGCTAGATTCTGCTAGATTGCACTTGAGCCCAAGACAGCAACGGCGAGACCAAAGAAGTGCGTTTGCCTGCATTCCGTTGGCAATCCGTTGGCATTCTTTTAATGTCTCTATGCATGGCTTTTCTTTTTTTTGGCTGAAGAAGGGCCATGCAAGTTCTTATTGTATTTGGAAGCGATTTGCCCCTTCAATAAACGCGGTGTTGCAGATTGGTTGCTTAGGAGCTTGTCATTTGCAATCATTTGTTTGTATTGTTCACTCCTCCCCAGAGACCCTGCCTGGCCCTGCCTCAAATCTGTGGCAGCACTTCGGATAGAGAAAGCTAAGTGCATTGCATGGAACCGCGGCCATCTTCACAGGATAGGGTTGGAACACCAAGCTGTCACCACACCACGGGAGCCATGTTGAACACACGCAAGAAGCTGGTGAAGGACAGAATTTATGGCCTCTTGCAGACACTGCAGCAGACCCACGACAGAGTTAACAAATGTTAGCAAATGTTGACAACTTGTTGATGGTCCTTGACGATGCAAAGCATGATTTGAACTTGCATTTTTGCTTACATAGACATCATAGACACGGACACAATGATCGCTATCGCCATTTCTTACTCCATGTTTCTGTGCAAGTATTGATTAACATGTAAACATGTTCCCGAGAGAGCATTTGTGACACACTGCGCAGTTTGGGACTTGATATTTTTGCGGGCTCACACAGGCCATATGGTAGTGAGGGGGGTTCAACAGACCATTGGAATACGATGATACTACATGAAGTCAGCTTCGCGCATCCTTTCTTTTGGCAAACTGGCAGGAGAAGGGCGCGACCCCCACGGAGCTGGACCAGGAAGTGGCCAAGGCCATTTTTGACATCGAGGTGTCTCCTTCGTGCGATATCAAGGCCGAGCTGAAGGATGTCTACATCTCTGGTGCCAAGGATGTTGAGGTGGGCAAGGCTGGCATGGCCATGGTGGTCCACTTCCCTTTCCGTGTTTGGAAGATTGTGAAGAAGATCCAGGGCCGTCTCATCAGAGAGTTGGAGAAGAAGTTCAACCGCAAGCATGTGGTGCTTGTGGCCAACAGGACCATCTTGGACAAGAACTTTAGGCGCAAGGGCCTGAAGGTCCGACCACGCAGCCGCACCCTGACAGCGGTGCACGAGTCCATTTTGGAAGATTTGGTGGGACCTACTGAGATTGTTGGCAAGCGCACACGCATCTCCCTTGATGGCAGCAAGCTGCTGAAGATCATTCTTGATCCCAAGGACAAGGACAAGGAGAACATTGAGAGCAAGCTGCCTGCATTCGCCGCAGTCTACAAGAAGCTTACCAACAAGGAGGCCCAGTTCATGTTCCCCACTGTTTGATCCCATCATGAGTGCGGCCGGCTGCTAGATTCTGCTAGATTGCACTTGAGCCCAAGACAGCATTGGTGACCACTTCAAAAAAGCTTTTTGACGGCGTTCCATTGGTTGGTGCTTGAAACTGCCAACGGCAAGAAGGTCGAGGAAACTCACAAGGCTTTGCATTTTTCATGCGTTGTCCATATCTCATATATCTAAAAGTCTTGTGTTTTCTCCGGCGGTCTTTTCATGCCTTTCTTTCGAACATGTTTTCATGTGCTGTCCCGTTCTGCTTTGGCATGGGAAAGGCCAAGGGGCCTAAATTTTTCAGATGCTCACGGAATGGTAAACTTCAAGCAAACTTGGATGGCATATATGCGCAGCATACGGCTCAAGAAATTGCAGACAGAGGTTAGGGTTGGTGGCGATCATGCTGAACACAAGGAAGAAGCTTGTGAAGGAGCTGCCGGGCCTGTTGTGAGGATCGTTCACTTCAACAGTATATATGTGAATAGGATAGGATATGGTCATTTGATGAGTGTTGAGTGAGATTGTGCGAAGAGGAAAACAGATTTTGATTTTCTCATTCGAAACGTCGCCCAAGCCTGCGTTTGATTCAAGAAGTTGAAATTCCATCCGGAAACCTTAAATGGTATACGTTGCAGGAGAAGGGCGCGATCCCCACGGAGCTGGACCAGGAAGTGGCCAAGGCCATTTTTGACATCGAGGTGTCTCCTTCGTGCGATATCAAGACTGAGCTGAAGGATGTCTACATCTCTGGTGCCAAGGATGTTGAGGTGGGCAAGGCTGGCATGGCCATGGTGGTCCACTTCCCTTTCCGTGTTTGGAAGGTTGTGAAGAAGATCCAGGGCCGTCTCATCAGAGAGTTGGAGAAGAAGTTCAACCGCAAGCATGTGGTGCTTGTGGCCAACAGGACCATCTTGGACAAGAACTTTAGGCGCAAGGGCCTGAAGGTCCGACCACGCAGCCGCACCCTGACAGCGGTGCACGAGTCCATTTTGGAAGATTTGGTGGGACCTACTGAGATTGTTGGCAAGCGCACACGCATCTCCCTTGATGGCAGCAAGCTGCTGAAGATCATTCTTGATCCCAAGGACAAGGACAAGGAGAACATTGAGAGCAAGCTGCCTGCATTCGCCGCAGTCTACAAGAAGCTTACCAACAAGGAGGCCCAGTTCATGTTCCCCACTGTCTAGAGGCTCTGTCCTGAGTAGCTGACCTTTGTGACCAGAGCTGATGCTGCCGTTGCTACGGGAGAGGTGACAAATAGCTCGTCGGCTTTGGTATTAGAAGCATTTAGTAGCTGGTCATCAGAGACGCGATGCCTGACACCTGTGCTTGTTGTGAGAGTGGCTTTGGACATTTTGACTATGTGTTCATTGTTTGTGCATGTTTGTGCTTAAGCAGGAATTTCTGCAGTGGACTGGAAATAATATGATTACACAGCACACGTGTATAAACAACATGAACACACACAAATACAAAGATATTATATATATATATATTATACAATATAATAATATATATATATGTAGAACTATGTAGATATGTGTGTGTATATGTATATATGTATGATTATGTATGTATGTACATAGAGGCTTCAACAGGCACCTACTCATGGATGTCGGAATTTAATGAACAATTTGTTCGAAACAGTCAAGAAAACACAGCGATGGTGCTCTCACATGAGCTTCCAACTCAACTAGAGCTTCAGTTTGTCACTCAACCCGCGGAGGGGTGCCATGATGCTGCACGAAACAGATGCTAAAGCGCATGAGGCAGAGGGCAGCAAAAAGGGCAGTCAAATTTGAGGGTCAGTACCTCACTTAGGCCCGCGTTTTGGCTCGCTTAGGCCTACATCACAGATAATTACATGATTATATTTGCAATAGAAAGATATATCGATATATCCGAACATGATTTCGACAGACTTGCACAAGTGCATTAAAGATGGTCATCGGAACATTCTGATTAATTAAGTAATATACTACTTACAAATGCATTCTATGCTCGCTCACAGGTGGACTGGCTGTTAGTCTTGGGACTGTATCCAGGGCCCTTTCAACTGGGGATTGCCACCTCACCCCAGTCCCCAGTCCCCACCCTAAATATAAGCCCTAAAGGTATGAATCCACATCCAAGATTGTCGGCCTAAGTGATCCAAAAAGTCGTCCTAAGTGATCCATGGACCAAATTTGAGGATGATTTTCAGACAAACTTTTCAGAATTTTCATGTAAATCACTCACTTCATATGTGTCAGTGACTGTCAGTGCTTGAAGCATGGAGTTGCATTGATCCCGAATAACCAGGGGTTATTAATTTTGTATGTGTTCCCCAAAAATGTGTTTGCCCTATATAGAATATGTTCGCATGTACAATGCGTGTACGGGCGCACCTTTCCGCACAAAGATGATAGCTGGTGTATAATTACATATCAAATGAATCGAATACATTGCAATGAATTGTACTTAGATTACTTAGGATTGTTTCTGTCAATTCTTGTTGATAAGTTCTTGATTCTGGTTGTATAGCCGCTGATGGTTTGCAGGACCGATGTGTGCTGCCCAAACCCAGCTTGGACAGGACCATCACCCCAGGACAGCTTCAATGCAAATGATCAGCATGGAGGTTTCCATCAATGGGGCCCAGTAGCAATCTGGATTCTGGATGGTTAATGGAAAATCCATGAAAATCCTGGAACATCCCATGAAACAGATCCCATTGCAAGTGGATGATGACTGGGGGTCCCCTCATGACTTCGGTTTCACTGTGGTTTCACACATTTTCACCTCCAGCGACTTGATGGTGACAGTCTCCAGGATATATGGCAGCAGTGATGTCGTCGCCGGAAGTCTTGTGCAACCTGTGCCAACAGTACTTCAGGCGCGCTTCAGGGCTTGGTCAATGTCTCTTTGTGATGATATCATGATGATATCCCCAATAGTTGGGTGATGTTTAGGACATTCAGCAGCGGCTTTACCAACCCCTGTTTTGCGTTTCTCCATGTCGAACCTCCGGGGACCATGGTTGACCCAAGGAGCCCGTGGGGTGAGGTATGGATTTTGGATTGATGTTCCATGATTCCGCAGTGACTTCAGTGACTTCCAACATTTTCCAACTCTCTTTGGCAAACAGCTGTTGCGAGATGTGGGTTTGACATGGTTTGACGGTTTGACTCAAAAGCAGGCTACCTCATCATCCTCATCCCATCAAATGGTTTATCAATCGTTTATCCATGTTGATCATTTTCCCAACAGAATTGCCATGAACAATGGTGCTCAATAAATCCACATCAGGCAGTACGACAAGAACAAGAATGGCTTCATGGAATGCCATGAGGCTGTAGAACTGGCCAAGGACATGGATGGATTGTTGATGAGTCAAGTATCAAGTTACCTAAGGCACATGTATATAATGATATATAATGACATTATATGACACACCATATGTGGGAAATTGTGGCAAAGCATATTTAAGGGCGCTATGAAGATCATTTGATCATCTATGAAGATCCATAAATCATCATAAATCCCGGCTATGAACTGAAACCCATTTTTCTTGGGGAAGAAAACATGTAGGTTCCAGTAGATTGGTCCCTTAAATCCGAGCATATAAACGATCAACAGCTCAACAAAAAAAAGTGATGCTTAAGCCCCACAATGGGGAACATACATGTACGTGAAAAAAAAACAACAACATGGAGACCCCTGACCACTAAATCCGAAGCGAAGCCAGAAGGACTTGGGCAGCACCCTGGCAGTTCCTCTCGGAAGCACAGAGGATGTATTGCGCCCATCGTTGAAAAGATTCAGCGAGGCGCGTACCTGCATTCCCAACAAACCGCAGTACGGGCAATGGGTCATGGTCAAACTTGGGAATGTATCCTAAGGATTCCTAAGGTGGCAATTTCAATGGCGACACTAAACAAAAAAATCGAGAACCCATTGGGCCAATAGCTCGCCCTCAGCCTTAAGTGAACCTTCGGGATGGCGATGGAGAGAGAGATTGGGAGAAACCGGGTTTCAAATTTTGAAACAAAGCTACATCAATGTTTTGCTTAGATTTTCCGCATTTTTCCTTGCAACTCCAACTATTGTGATATGGTGAGGATGGGCGGGACGCCTTGAACTTGGAAGAGTTCTGCCGGTGGTTCCCCACTGTTCTGGGCTTGGAACCTTTGTCACCGCAGCACATTGAGGAGTCACTTGGCACCCGTGGCACCATTCGTCATCCGAAATCGATAGGCTTTCCATGGGTTTCCTCAGTTTCCTCCCAGCTGCGCTGGTGATACTGGTGCAATCTGGTGCATCTTACAGCCATCCCAAGCAATTTGACCGAGGATCAAAGGTGGCACCAAGGAAAACCAACCACCAGCTGCAGGGCGGGCACCCAGCTTGCAACGGACCATTTCACCAGGCAGGGTACCCCTCCCCAAATAAATAGGGAACACCAATATGAAAACATGGGAAAATGATAAACCGAGAACCATGCCATGTCTTCAGGCAAACTTTCAAACCCAATTGCGCTGGTCTCATTTCTGGGTGGTTTGACGTTGCTCATCCAGTTTGATTGGCACTTTTGATCCACGATGGTATTTTGACAATTTGACACGCTGACATCCAGCGCCAGCTCCCACATTGCAGGCTATGTTGCAGCGCTGGGTTCATCACCACAGACGATGCGAACATTCTGCAAACAGTTCTTGGGCGCAATGGCAATATTCTTCTTGCCACAGGGTTCAGGGTAATGTCAGAGATCCCGCTGGACCTACTTAAGCATATTATTAATACGTACAAGGTTGATTGATCATAAAGTTTGTACCAAGGGATGTGGGAAGCATGCTTTTGCAGGCTGGGTGATGTTTGGTGCAACTACTCACAGGCACGTCGTACCAGATGTACCAGAGCCTTCCCAGACATTCCCATTGACATCAGGTTTTTCAAGCAGTATGACACCAATGGCAACGGAGTTTTAGAATATGCGGAGGTGGAGAGGTTGGCAAATGACTTGTTTCTCACACTTGGCATCTCTCTCGAGGAGGGGCGTTTGAAGGAGTGTTTCCTGGCTCAACAAATTGGCGTTTTTGTTCTTCAAGATTTGGGTTGGAACTTGGAACATGTTGGCCATGACATGTTTTCTGAAAAGGCCATGACAGATTGAAAATGACTGAAAGACCTTGAAATAATTCCCTTCCCGAAACAGGATCTATTCAGTTTGGAATATCATGGTTACAGTATATATAAACTCTATAGCAACCCCCCTATAGCACCCACCGAAACAAGACCTGGTGATAGATAACTTAGATAACAGTTTTTCCAAGTTAGTTGTGCTTCTATACTTCTATCGATCTATAATACAACATAATACAGGAATTGCATTTTAATATTCCCATCTATTCTGACCAACCTTGGTTGCCCCAAGGTCTGGACACGTCCAACCACCAGGGTGATGCGGCTCTATCCTTGGACGCCTTTTGTGACTGGCTGCCGGCGCTGTTTGAAGCCAAGCTCCCGAAGCTCCCGGGGGCTTCGAAGTCGGAAGGTGAAGCCTTGGCTGCCAACAAGGGATACCTCCACGCACTGAAGAGTTCCCCCAGGAGATTGCGGAAGATGGGGATGTGAAATGATGTGAAACATGTTTTTTTTTTCTGAGGTTTTGATGTTTTTTGTATATGTGGAAGGATGTGGATGGGGGTCCAATTTTGAACATCCAGTTCTATCCGAACAGGTTTAGGGTGAAAACTTGCAACCCAGAGCAGAGTAGATCAACAAATGCATTGCTGCTTTGCTGGACCAGGTGGTTCGATTGATGTCGTACACTGACTGAGACAAATGTTTCTACAGTGATGGGCCCTACCATGTCTAACACAGATTATATATAATACTTATCCCTGATTGTGACTGTACCCTAGTTGCAACTAGTGGTTATAGACTGCAACAGTTATAGTTTTATAGTTGCTTCGTTTTCATACGAACTCGTTTCGACATCTTTGGCATTTCTGGTGCCTTAAAGGACGTTGGTGCAGTTGTGTCGCCAGTATTTTCGCGACTACGACTTCAACAAGAACTCCTTCCTGGATGATGCGGAGGTGATGGCCCTGGCACGCGATCTGAGCGAGAGATTGGAGGTCCCCCTGAAGTCATCCAAGGAGCTCAAGGAATCCATAGGCCAATTCAGCGACAATGGCAGTGATTGCCTGTCCTTTGGAGAGTTTGCTCGATGGTTTGCGACCATGATGGGGCTTGAGGAGCCAATGATGAAGGAAATTGTGCAGATGGCTTCGGAGGACTGAGAATTTGCTGCGCTCCATGTGGCCCAGGCTTTTGTACAGTGTGCCATTGTAGGATTCGCATTGGACAGCAGCCTTTAGACTGATCTCTATCAACTTTTGGAGTGTTATATTTCTGGCCAAGTTGATGGACAAACAGCAAAGAAGTCTGGGTGTATTGTGGCATTGGTGAAATTGGAGGTTTTCTGTTACTGTAAAGCCACGTGACTGGACTTCAGGCTCACAGGTTGGAAACTGACCTGCATAAGGCCAAAGTCAGAGTAACGAGAGAGAGAGAGAGAGGGGACAGAGTCCGTGTGGTCGGAATCATCGTGAGGGATGCTTGAAGATTGCTTTCTGCCGCCTGCTGAATCGGGCTTCACTCGCTTGTCTTGTTGGGCTCAAGCCTTGTGCTGCTGTATTTGTAGGTAGTTTGTCTTTAATTATCATTAGGTTCTTGAACTGCATGTTGGATATGTTGGTCGTCAGAACCCGGGGCTAATTCGTGTTGTACCAGTTGTACCATCTCCAGCAGGCTCGCAAATTGAATCCCAAGATGGTTTGCAGATGTTTGCAGACACAATTACGGTGATCCTCACTCGTATTCTTGAGACCTGCAAGGCGCGGATTTGGTGGTCAGCAAGTTTGATCCTCAGCCGTTAACGCGACATGTTATGGAATGTTACTATAATATTAATATAATCTAATCTATGTAATATATCATATATCATAAAATGCACTTGTGAAGAGGCTAGTGGGTGAGAATTCGCTTGAATCGACAGTACTGAGTTGACAACATGTGAGATTTGGGTTCAGCCGCTGAAACACATTCCTTGAAGTCAGGGGTGAATGTAGCCAGGCGGCATAGCAACGTGCGTGCTTCGATTTGTTCCTGCCAAAATATGCACTAACATATACTAAAATACCCTTCACCAGTGTCCCGACTGGAATCAGTCCCAATGTTTGCATCATGGTGCATCATGGGAACACATGCAGCTCCCTGGGCTCAAAAAAAAAGCCGTCGTTTTTTCATGGTTAGACCATGGCGTGAAGGTCCTGCAGAGGTCCCACCCGTCCAAGCCGATGCTGAAGTGATTGGGGCACCGGCAACCGAAGATCTTCCATTTCTGGGACGAACCTTTGAATCCGTACTGAGTCTTGGCGCAATTTTGGCGCCATACCGGGACCTCCATTTGATGCATTAAAGGATCTTAAATGTAGGCTACGATGTTTTGGGTTACTGTTCCCAAGGTGTTCCAACTTCAAAAACTCATTCGAATAAGGTCCACATATGTCCACATGCAATCCCCATTCAAAGTAGCCCCTTGTGAAATTTGTGCTCGCTGACTTTTTTGCGTGTGTTTGTGTGATCAGATGCGAAACTGTGATATTGCCATTTGGCATGCGCTCCAAGCTGCAGCACAATCTCCCAAGGCCATCAAGGCCTGATGTTGATGGGCAAGCGATCCACTGGTGCAAGTATCGGTTATGTCGAATTCTGCTGCTGATGCTGGTGGCGCTGGTGATGCTCATTTGTTTCTGGGTAGTGGGTTCAAACCTATTTCGTTCATTGTCATACCTGCAATTTGATATAGTTAATGCCTATTTATAAGTATACGTAGAAGCTCCGCATGTATATATGCATACATACACGCATTTATATTATATATGGGTCCCCATATGTACATGGAGTGTTATATGGCATATAAGATCAGCACATGACATGCATCCATATGCACATTGCATCCATCCCTGATTACTGACTACTTGTTGGTGGTGATTACTGAGCCGCCCAGATCCAGGTTGTTTAGCCTTCCCTGTGACCCTGACTGTTCTGGCCATTCAGCGCGTGTTTGGTCACCGTGAACACCTTTGCCCTTTCTGGATGCATCATGCCCTGTGTAACTGGCCCCGACTTCATGGAGGCTCCGCCGGGCCACTTCCGGAGCTTCCCATCTCTGAAGCTTGGCGATTTGCGTCGGTCATTTTGTGTTTTGGAGTCGGATAAATCTACCAGGGAATCAAGTTTTGCCTATTGATCTTAGGGAACATATAATATAGTAATCATAGTGGCTGCAATGGTAGTAGTTCATCCACCAATGGCAATTTTTATCCACCAGATTATTGTTTGTATATTGTTTAAGACCTTCTTTGGCGGTCCCCCCAAGGCAGACAACGTTCTGTGGATGGATCCCAACATCTCAGAGTCCCAAGATGCCATGGCGGAGGCCGTAGAAGTGTTGCGACATGCCAAGGTGCAAGCACTTCATGAGGACTGATGGATTTGGTGACTGGGATCATAGAGGACTCCAAAAAAACCCTCCAGGAATTTCACATTGCGAAACAATGGAGGAAAAAGAATGCCCATTCTAATAGATGATTTACCCGGAAAAAAAAAGATGATTTTCCGTATGGCTATATGTCAAATTACCAGCAGATAGTCGGTTTTTAATGTTTCTGATGGCGTTTTTGTTTGCTCCATCCATACCTGAGCCTGGGATGATGACCCCCACAGGATTTGTGCAGTTTTCTGGAAAATTGGCTGCCAAAACTGGGCTTCAACGGCCTCATCGCTATGCTTAGGGCCTTCGAAATAGTCAGAGAGGCTGAACAAGAGCAGGACGATGAGGACTGCTTGGTGGTTTGATTTTTGTTGGTTTCGATTGAAGCGAATGATGATACCCATTGACAGTCCCATATTTTAGAGGGATTGAAACCACAAACCGGAGGATGTCGACGCGTGGGGCATCCAATTGGATGACTTTTCAGAAGATTTGATTGAGATCTCAGAGGATTGGAAACACGACCTTGGCGCCTATATCATGGCCAGACTGAAGCTGCATCCTGTGATGCAGCTCGATGGCAAGAAAGGAATTTCCTCAGGTGTTTCCAAGATGTTGAGTTCCAAACAATCCACGGATGGCACAGATGTTCAGGTTTATTTGGCTGTTTCCCCCTGTCTCAGGAACCGGAGCGAGTATTTGAGATATGCAGTACCTTGGCATGTGGAAGTATCATGACCAGGAAAAACTAGGCTTCAAGCTGTTAGGGCTTAAGCTTGGAAGATTCATTAAATTTCATTCAGATTCCCGAGAGTTCAGGACTTTTTCACAGCCAACAAGCATTTCTATCCTTTCTATTCCTTTCTCTGAATATAGTTCTATGAAAAGTTCTATGAAATGTTGTGACCAAATATGACCAAGGTTGAAGTGGCAGGTTCATTGAGGCTCGGGGGAGGGCCCTTGCATGCGATCACCTGGACCGAGATGATCTACTTCCTCCGATGCTTGGCTGCATGGCCAGATGGCTCCGGCGCGTTGCGTTGAAGTTGGTTTGGTGAGGATCCAATGGCTGGAGAAACACCAATGGACTATGGAACTTCGTGCTTGCGAACATTTGCGCTGCCTTCCAGGATCGCTGGAAAAGAGTTTAAATGAGTTTAAGCCTTAAGCATCAATTTGCATCACTTGTGCTGTGTTGACAGTTTAACATGTGTGCCATGGTGAAAGTTAAGGTGCATTATTTATAATTAGCTATTTTTTAAAAATACATGTTTATATATATATATACATATATTTATTGAATTATGAATAGTATTATCCCTCACTGGAGAATGGTCATCAATCCATTAACAAGTAGTTTCATAGCCATTCCAGGATGCCTTTTATTGGGGTGACCAGTTCAAGTTGTGCCAGGAGCTGCCAGGCCTTTTCGTTCACTGCATCCATGGGCTCGGCCACGGCGCCATGGCATCAGGTGTTCTTTTGGCGATGAGTCATGGAGCCTCGGCGATAACGACACGATACGAAACGGCTGGTGTATATTTGGCAGGTGAAGTTTGGAAGTGTATGATATAATTACGGTAATTATAATATATATATACTATAATATATATATATATGTATGTATAGTACAATTGTACTATATGTGATATTCATCGATGTGTATATATAGCCTCGTGCAGGCTTCTGGAACTACCTAAACCTGAATTAGGTTGGTAAAACTTGTCCATTCCGTGACGAAATTTCGTCGCGGAATTAACAAGTTTCATTAGGGTCATTATCATCATCATCATCATCATCATCATCATCACATCATCATCAACTGCTGCCGCAAGTTCACATGAATGTTAACATCGAGCCGCAAGTTCACATGAACGTTAACATCCCACCCCCCCCCCCCCACCCCGCGTGTGCGTAGCATCAACTGCTGCCGCAAGTTCACATGAACGTTAACATCCTGCCGCAAGTTCACATGAACGTTAACATCCCACCCCACCCCCCCCCACCCCGCGTGTGCGTAGCATCAACTGCTGCCGCAAGTTCACATGAACGTTAACATCCCACCCCACCCCTTTACCCCAAGGTTTAGGTAGTTCCAGAAGCCTGGACGAGCCTATATATACATTTACATATATACATTTACTGGTCAATTTGGCAGGAGGATATGTATTATCCATTTTAGACGTATTCTGGTGGATTCCCCCACTTGGAACATGTTGGCTCTCGAACTGGACATGCCTTTCAGGGCAGCGCGATGCGTACGAGAAGCTGGATCTGTGCGTGCAGATACGCAAAGGAACTGCCGGCCATCGAATTACCCAGAGGAATCGCCGTGCTATTTTCTTCTCTTGATTCTTTGACCAGTCTCCAGCATGTAATCAGAGGAAGCATCAGCTGTGACCCCCAGTTTGACGGTTTTGAAGTGGTCCTTGACTGCATATGATGCAGTTTGCACTTGTCACTTTTCAGACGCGGTGGGTGTCACTAATTCATCGCATTTCATCGCTATGCAGGATGCTGGATATTGCCCTGGGAATTTGCAACGATGCGCCGGACAAGCAGCTGGGTTTCTTGGACAGTACGGCAGTGGTATGACACATGCCGACAATTCATGGATGATGCATTGCCATGCTTTGCTTTAGGTGCAACCAGAAACCATTTTCCTTGTCAGTTCCTGCCCCTATTAGCTTCGGCGCGTGATATGCATCGCTGGCAGCAGGTGTGTGTGTGTATTTCAGAGGATACGCTAAAAAATGCACAAAGGGCGTGCATACTGCTAGATTCGCCTCAAAAGGGCTGTATGACGTGACATGATATGATATCGCTAAACATGCTAAACAAACTGAAATCTATTCATCTTCCAACCTCAGATCTCATGGCAGATCTCTCAGGCTATGTTTGTGCTGGCGGGGTGTACATGGAGTACTGGAAGTCCAGGGGTGACAACTGGCGACCCAAATATGACTATGGCGCTGCACTATCCGCACTATCCAGCTCCAGGTCAGTCATCCACCAGGACTGGGCGAAGAAAGCGACGGATGGTCCTTTATCTGACCCAGCTTGGCTGTTGCTCAGCCACAAAGTCTGGAATCCTCGGAGGTGTTTGGAGTTATTGGAGATGTTTGGAGTTTGAGTTTGTGAACAGGATGACCAATGATTTCTAAAAACTGAGCTTTCAAAACGTTTGACAACGCATCGCTGCGATCCTTTCCGCATTCTCATTCCCACATTCGACTTTTGAGAAACTATGTGGCAGGGACTTGTTGCAAGGAGTGGTGGGTGGTCGTGCCAAGGTTTGAGCATATTTGTTTATTTACCGACTTTCCAGCGACGTGCTTTCGCTTCGAACCTGGCTTGGGTGTGCAAGGGGAGAATCTTGGCTCAAAAAAATCATACATTTGATCAGTCCTGCTACCAAGTATAGTCCTCACACACCACCCATGTACTGTACTGTACAAACATGCGCAGACAGGAAAGGGAGAAGAATATGAAAAATACAGTTAAATCGCTTTGTCTCCTGTTCTGGGTAGGGGGTGTAATGAGTCTAATGTCGCCCATCTCAGGCGAGACTCCTTCAGAGAGTTCGAACATTTTGCAATCTTCGAACCCTGTACTCAAAGCTACTGGAGTTCCAATATCACTTGGACACAAAAGCCTTTGCGTGGCTGCATCCTTGGTCGCTCGGCTCGTTTCATCTCTACCAGGAGCCAACGTTGAGCTGCTGTTCGTACATCGCATGGGTGTGAGAATTAGTCAGTGGCGTTGGTAGTGGTACGCAGTGCAGTGCTAGCTTTGCAATGTGAAAGTGCTACTTTGAGATCGAAAGCATTCGAAAGCTTTCACACGAGGACTATGACTTCTGGTGTAATGGGCGATATGCTATTGAAACAGCCGGGCGAAAATCTGGCCTTCAAAGGCTCAACACCTTGGCTGACTGGTGCTCCATGTACGAGCCCGGTGAAGGTCGGACTGTCATATAACCTCAGGATTCATGCAGAAGATTTAGATCTTTTGAATTTGAATCAAGTTTTTGATGCTAGGATTGCAATTAAGATTTGCAAGTTCGTCAAGTTTGTGCCATTCTCAAGATGTGATGCGGAAAGCCTTCAAGTCGTACTTTTGATCATTCTACTCGTTTCTCCTGTTTTTTGCCGTACAGATGGTGCTTCTCTTGTGCTGTCGAACAAGACGAGGCGGACTCAGTGAAGCGGTGAGAGTCGCAATGATGTTTTCATACGGTTTCAATTGTTTGCCTTTGCATCGTGTTGCTTTATTAAATTGACTTAAATATTACTTAAATTGCTTATGTCCTGTGGTTCTATGTAAGCAGTTTTGCATTTTTGTATTATTGTATGTACGGATGTGATTCTCAAGGTCGGAAATTTCCCATAATCTCTTGGTGATTGGGCAAGTGGCATGACCGTTGATCATTGTGTCATTCGGAGCCTTCTCTGATGGAGGACATTGGAAACAAAGTTTCCTTTGCAGCCTTTGTTGCGCACTTATGGAAACTGGCTGGCCTGCATTGCTGGCTCCATGGCCCGTGTGGCATTCATTGCAGCTTGGGAAAAAAAAAGGGGCCTGAGTCGCAAACCAAGCGATGAATAAAGGTGAATGAGTATATCATACCAATAGAGCCCGGGCAAGCCGGGCGATGGAAGTTTCGAAAGGAGTGGAAGGCTATAAAGAAAAGGGAGAGCCTATAGGAACGACGCCTGACCGCCTGGCTGTCACGGCCGTTGACTGCGTCAGTTCTTGGAACTCCTTCTGCTTGACATTTCTTTTCTCTCGACTCTCGACATTTTGTTTGATGATGCATGATGATGCCACTTTCTCTTGATGCCGTTTGGCCTTACAGCCCTTCCTGTTGCCTGCTGTTTGTCTGGACGTCTTTTCTCCCTGACATTTCTTTCTCTCAACTTCCTTTTCTGATGGTGCCACGTTCTCTCCATCCGGTTTGCGTTGGTCATCTCCTCTGAATCATGACAGCCCTTGCTGTTGACAGCTCTGGAGCCCGAGACCTGACACACTTTTCTCTCCTGACAAACTTCTTTCCCTACACTCTTGGCTTTCCTATCTCTTCATTTCCCCATTATCTTCATTTCCCTAGTCTTTTCACGTCCCTAGTCTTTCAGTTCTCTATTCTTCTCAGCCTTCACTTCCCCATTCTCTGCACTTTCTCTCGGCATCCTTATCTTTGGGCATCTCTTTTTCTTGAGACCTTCTTCTCTTCTCTTCTCTCCACATCTCATTCTCTTGACGCGATTTTCGCTTGGCACCATTTTTCTTCTTTCCTGTTGCTTCACTGCTTCATACTTTTATTTTGGGACCTCTTTCTGTTAAATTGTTTCACTTGACACCTTCTGTCTTGACATCTCCATTGTCTTGAAGCCATGTTTCATTCTCTCACATCTCTTTCTTTTGACATTTTCGTACCTTGCAAACAAAAATTAATCCGGTAAACTACAAGACTTGCACAAAGTCCTTCCTGTACCACAAAACCTGCCCAAAGTATTACCCAGTACTACTTCGTACTACAAAGCTTGCACAAAGATTCCCAAGTACTACTACTTCATACTACAAAGCTTGCACAAAGTACTTCCCAGTACTACATCGTACTACAAAGCTTGCACAAAGTACTTCCCAGTACTACTTCGTACTACAACAAAGCTTGCACAAAAGATTCCCCAGTACTACTACTTCATACTACAAAGCTTGCACAAAGTACTTCCCAGTACTACATCGTACTACAAAGCTTGCACAAAGTATTTCCCAGTACTACATCGTACTACACAGCTTGCACAATGTACTTCCCAGTACTACTTCGTACTACAAAGCTTGCACAAAGTGCTTCCCATTACTCCTTCGTACTATAAAAATATTATATAATATTATTACTACTAGCAAGTTACTACTACCACTACTACCACTACTACCACTACTACCAGTACTACTACTTCTACTACTACTACAACTGCTACTGCTACTACTACTACTACAACAACTACTACTACTACTACGACTACTACTACTACTACTAGTACTACTACTACTACGACTACTACTACTACTACCACCACCACCACCACCACCACCAAATCTCTTGACATTTTCACGGTCCGTATCACGGGGTTTAGACTACTAAGCTTCCTTTGACAATGTGTTTTTTTGACATATAGACATATATATATATATATAACGCATTTAAATTACGTGATTACATTAATGTATATATATATATATCTGTGTGTGTGCGTATGGCATTACAGTATTGAGATTAGACTTCACCCCCGTTATCTGAGGTCGAAGAGTCTGGGATTGATGATGCTGTCGTGGAGGACCATTGTAGACAGATTTTGGATCAGAGACTTATCTCAAGCTGCATCGCTGTGCTGGGCTGTTGGTGCGAACCCTCTGAGAAGCCCAGGCACCAAAAATCGCGGCCATGATAAATCATCAACTGACCCATAACTGACCCTAAGGTTTCAGTATCAAACGTAAATTGAAATTTGGCCGGGAGTTTTGCCTTTCAATTCTTGCAACTTAGCCTGACCCAAGAAATATGGGCAGGTAAATAATTAGATTCACCATCACTCACTATGAATTCAGGCAGCTTGCCTTCCCAGAGGAATTGCAGCCAAGGCAGGGGCAACTTCTGTGCATCCAGATTGGCTTGAGCCGCCACCTTCCAAGCGTTCGGGAGATGAATATTTGGCCCATTGAGATCTTAGAGCGTGCTGACATTCAGCCTACATAGGATGACCAAGATCCTCAAGGACATTGAAGGGACAAGATGCAGCTACGACTTTCGCAACGGAACTTCCAGCACTTCCTTTGCCCCGTCCGTTCGCTGGAAGGAACCAAAATACAACAGCCGACAGCCGCCAGCTGGACAACGTCAAGAATTGGTGTGATCCATGCCATGTTGACCCATACTGATACATAGTGATCCATGGTGATCCACATGATATGGAACCATGTGTTGACTTTGGCAAAATTTTCAATTGGAGGACTGTGCAACGAAGCTGGAACAGGATGATGCTGTGACGGTTGATTCGATATGGGGCCTGGCTCAGCCCTGCCGGGCCTCAACAATGCGTTGGTTAAAAATTGCGTCAATGGCATGATATGGGTGTGTTTGAAGAACGGGGATACGCATGGATACGCCAAATTTGCCTTTTTACATGGAACAAATGAACAAATGATGATGAACCATGGGACTTGAAGGTACCCTATGTTCGGACAAACCCATACATTTGCCATCCGTGGGTGTTAGCCTGTTTTATCATATTGCACAGGCTCCCCAACACTTAAAAATTATCATCGTGATCATCGTGCGTTTGGTGGTGGTGCCAGTGCCATGACTGCACATGTCTCCCCACTATAGTTGGATAAACCGTTTGAAAAATCCATCATATTAGTTGTTGCCGGTAGTTGCCGGTAGTTTCAAGTTTGTTTGCCGCATGTTCTTCTCAATACATTCAGAATGCACAAAGAAACTCTTTTGTAAAAAGCGCTTGCAGCCATGGCGACGGGGACGACCTGTGCTCTTATTCTCGTGGTGTCCACCTTTGCATTTGCCGCCGGACTCCATGGTGAGACGCAGGATCTACCTGGGGATGAGTGCAACGAGCCGGGCTGCTCACAGAATGCCATGCAGCTGAGGGTGTTGAAGAGATACACTGAGACTGCAACGAATGACTGCCAAGACTTGCAAGATATTACTGAAGGCGCAGCGGTTGGCCACAGTTTGCCTGTCTGATTTTTCATGTTTTTCTTTTTGTCCTTGTTTCGACACTGATTCTGCTTGAAGATTCCTTGATATACTTTCTGGTCGCGGCCCCACCAGTGAAGGTGTTTGCAAGCAAGAGGTTGCGTGGGCAAGGGAAACTGGAATCCAGCAACATCCTGAATGGTACCCAGGACTTTCAGCCCAGTCTAGATTCATGGCTTGCAGAGGCTGTTTTGCAGACAGGGGTGTGATGTAGCCACATGGTGATGCATCCGCAATTCCACAGCTTTCCAAAACTTGTGTCTCCTCGGTTTAATGCAGCCATGGTAGGCCTGGTAGGCTTTTGATGTTAAATGTGCATATTTTATTGATACAGCTGTATACTCACTATCAGACTTGCAACAGATGTTGATCCTTTCTTGCATTTCAGTGGTGACAGTCTCTCAAGGATCTTTGTGTGTTATTTTTTTTCAGTTCTTGAAATTTGAAAATCTATAGAATGATTGAATAATATTGAATGCATTGGCGTTTTGTTCTTCTCAGTTCTGTCCAATGCTGTGACAATTTCTGAGGTCCGTTAGACTTTCAGTGCAAGGTCTTCCAGGCCAGCCAGTCCAAGTGTCCGAGACCTTGTGGTGTTGCTTGCACTCCGCCAACTCCACCGCCAAAAGCCGCACCAACTTGTGTGGCTTGGCAGGCTGTCGAGTTATCATGTTGTGAGATGTTGAGTTTTTTGGAGGGGAAGACCAACAAAGAGCAACACATGAATGCACCAGCCCAGTCATGATGCCATGGTGTTCAGAAACACTTTTTTTTTGGCAAAAAGAGTAGGTTTGCTGATTCCAGCAGTGAGTCAACTTGCTGTGATCCAGACTGCAACTTGTAGATCTGTAGATCGACACCCCTCAAGCGTACAACCTGCCGAGGCTGGGGTGGTGTCAGAGAAGTGTTTGTGCGTCTTCGACATCGACCGGACCCTGACCTCCAAGCAGGGGATGCAGGACGTGCTCCTGACCATGTCATATCACATGTCACATGATATGGTGTTTTTAATGTGCAGATATATGCAGTTTTGTAAATCAATTTAAACATATATCAAACAAGATAATGAACAACCACAATTTATATGGCATTTGATTTAACAGACAGATACATACAGCCATATATCACACGACCATCACAACATACACCTGCCATGCCCACCCTGCAGAGGACAAGTGCCCAGGTTCCAAGGATAGCGATGGCATTAAGGATACCGCCTATGGAGGTGGTGTTTGGGGCAAAGTCATGTGGAAAGAAGTGCGATTGTCGTCTGATTTATATATGCATATATATATGTGTATATATATATTAGATGGTTTCTGAACATATCTGGTTTACTCTATTCAAGTTCTACACAGTCACATTCCACTGGTCTGATTTTGTACCATATTGTATAATCATGCCACACTGGAAACTGGAAACCATGCTTTAGTATTTTTTGTTTCGCGGTCCGTTTTAAAGGAATTTGATAAGAGGGGATTCGGACTATACTGCATTATAATTTATATCACTGGAAATCCCCATTCAATTCCGTCGATTATCTCCTATTGCGGTTTATATATAAATCCCCACTAATTAAACCCCGCCACCAATCCCATGTTCCATATAAATTTGTAGGATGAAACAATTCGTCGCACGGGCGCAGGTGGTGATTTGGTACTGTCACAGCTGGCAGCCTCTGGAGACTGGATTTGGGGGATGAACATAGGGAGGTAGCTGACATTGACGGTCATCGTCTTGATTACATTTTGATAATCATTTTTGTTCAAACATTCGATAATCCCCATGATATAGAATGATCCCATCCTCAAAATCATTAATTTGACAATCCGGGCTTCAAAGATGAACCGTTTGGATGTGCGACACATGCTTGGAGTCCACAAAAAAAGTCACAATCGGCCCTGAAGAGAGCCTATGCCAATCAGATTGCCATCAGAATTATCTCGCAAAAGTTGTGAATATTGTAATGTCGACATTATGAAGTGTGTAATAATATACCATGATAATCCATGATAGTGACTACTTCTCATTATTATCTCTATATTTTGTAATGATATATTTGTTTGATATTGGGCCCCACGTCAGGACTTTCCAAAACTTTCTGCTCCAAATGTTACGTGGGCATTGTCTCGCACGGTGATGGTAGCGGTCCACTGTCGACCGAAAGGAAAGAGTTGTTGGAGGTGCCAACCAGTTTTCTGAGGATCCATAAAACGTGATACACATGGGATATGGGACACACAATAAAATATATGTGATATTATTATGGATCTATATGTGATATTATCTATGTGATTTGTTTTAATTATTATTAAGATATTATATATTACTATTGGGACACACAATAAAATATATGTGGTCTACCCCCCTAGTCATGGCCACTAGAATATCATAATGATGATTAATCAATAGACTTAGGATGACTTAGGGCTATTTATCAAGCCAATCCAAGAGAGGGGATGTGATGGCATGAGTCAAAATACCATATTTGGCAGTGTTTGCCATGCAGGCAGGGTCCTAGACTTAGAGTCCTAGAGGTGATAGGATGATCCATGATCATCCACTGGAACTGGGGCCAAGATCTTCCCCGGGACCCCGGGATGATCTTGGCCGCCGACGTGAAGTTTTTCAGGTGGACTAGGTGACCGATGCATGGGATGGACATTCCGCAATGCCCCAATCGACCCCCGGAATGCTCATTTCTGCATGTTGCTTTGTACAAGTGAATCACCCGGGATATCCCGGAATCTATTGTGTATATATATATAATATATATAATATATATAATATATATATAATATATATAATATATATATAATATATATTATATATTATATATATATTAATATATATATTATATATATATTATATAATATATATAATATATATATAATATATAATAATATATATATAATATATATAATATATATATATATATAAAATATATACATAATATATATATAATATATATATATATATATATAATATGTATATATATATATATATATACATATTATATATATAATATATATATATAATATATAATATGTATATATATAATATATATATAATATATATAATATATATATAATATATATAATATATATAATATATATATATAATATATATACATTATTGTATAATATTGCATGCAATTTGGATTCATGATCGTTGAAGGCGCTGAAGACAGATGCTATGGAACACCTGGTTTTGAGAGCGTGGAACGCTGCCTGGAGCGATGCTTGGATGCAGAGCAGCCAAGCAACATCCAAGCAACATTAACAGTTCTTGACTTCATGCTGCAGCGAATATTCCAGACTTTATTTTGAAGGGTGATGGTCACGGTGATGGTGGCAACAGGTGCAATTATGGCATGTTTGTCCGTTTGTCCTTGCCTAGCGCATTCAAAAACCCAGGATATGAAGTTGATGTCAGTGCCTCAATGTGTGAACTATGGATGACATCGGCTTTAAAGTTCATTCAGGCCTTTTACATCCTCTCACCGCTCACCGTCTCTCACCTAGTGCAAAAGAATGTGACTAAGGACACCATTTTACGTTGCTTACCCAGATGCTTTGAAGCAAGAGGCTGTTCTGAAAATTTTAGACTGGTGCCTGGCTCAGTTTTCGCCTGTTTTGAGTATGAAATCGTAGCAGCGTAGCAATTCCTCATAAGAGCATGATTCAAGAGTTGCTTCAGCTGTCAGCTGTAGGTATGCATCCCAAGAGGTTTGCATTCAGAAGCTCGTTTGCACATGTGATGAGCATCCAGATCATCCAGCGTTCAAAGTTCGCAATGTTTGACAAATTTTGACAGCCATTTATGTCGGTCTGGGGGTGCCTTCATCCTGCCGCATTTGGCTTTTTCAAGGGTCCGTTGAGTGGCTTGTGTCGAATCTGAGTGACAGGCGAGAAAATACCTATTTCTTTGATGACAAGGATGAGAATATTCTCCCTTTTAGAGGCAGAGATTTTGAGTTTTGGAACAGACTGATCAAAATTCATCCAAATTCAATTGATCAAGACTGCCTGCAGAAAGAACTATAGTGATTTGTGAGGATTTCCTCCTTTCATCTCCTTTCCCATTGACTTTTGCGTGCTTTCCCATAGCTGTGCCACGGGATGACAGGCACCGGCATGAATGCCCAACAGATTTCCTGCCAATCCAGAGATCCAATCCTGGGATGGGGCGACGTTGGAGCCTTGCCTGTCATAGACAGATAGATAGATAGATAGATAGATGGGTACATCATGTGTACGTGTATATATATATATAGCATATAGCATATAGTTTTGACTCATGACATACAGAAAGGGAGAGATTCTTTCATGTAGTTTCTTTCGCCCTGCTTTGCCACAATTCGCGAAGTTTGGAGGTCTTTGTGGGGCTACGCAGGGGGAGCTTAAAGCCGACAAGGGAGTGAGTGTTTGCAAGGCTTGGGCGACATGTCACTGGGGGTTTGAACTTTGAACTTTCAACGCTCGAGGATTCGAGGATGTTTGCAGCACGTGACCACTGCAACTGATTTAGAGGATCCCACCGTATTTCGTTTGGGTGTGACTGCAGGGCAAGAAAATGGACTAAATAAGCAATTGGAAATTCGCATCAATTACTGTAAAATCTGTAAAGATATGTAAAGATCAGAAAATCCATGAGCGCAGAATTTGCTAAAGGTTTTGCAGCTCTCACTACTTCCTTTTGTGGCAGATCGATTGCGGATGGTCTGAATGGTCAGCTTGGAGTGGCTGCTCAGCAAGCTGCGGAGGAGGGCAGAGGTGCAACCATCGTCGAATATGGATCTGTGGTAAACCCAACGCCATAAACCTCCAATTTTGAAGATTTACAGCAGATTATAGCAGTTTATATATCCCTTATCCCTCCCATTTCTGGTGATTGTCTTTGGCATTGGGTTTACCACATTCAGAGAACTGTCTTTAAGTAATGGGTGATATGGGTGCAAGTGTCCAAAATGGTCTAAAGATTGAACATGATTACCCTCTGGTAAACTAACATAGCTATTGAACATGGCCATTTATAGTGGAATTTCCCATTAAAAATGGTGATTTCCCATAGCTACGTCAGTCATTACCAGAGGGTAATCTTCCGATCAGACAGAACCTGGCCGACACGGTGGCCCCAGATCAGACAGGTCTCGAAATCGCGGAGTCATCATCAAGCCCAGAAACGGTGGAAAGGTGCGCCTTTGATTTGTGCAGCCATTTGAAATTTGGCTCACTTCCTGTGTGAATCTGTGTGAATCTGTGTGATGTAGTCTATGTAGATGTCAGCTTTCTTTTGTGCACTTTCCTATCTTTCCGGCACTGTATGGTAAATGCAGCAGAAGGTCACATTGGCGAATGCACGTATATCTGTTGAAACGTAGATGCATGATTGGAACATATATTGGAACCATCGGGAAAGATCCGTTCAACCTTTTTCTCAGCGCCGTTCAGCTGGCTCTTGGCTGCACCACAGGCATGCGGCAATGGCAATGAGATGGAGGTGGGAAACCATCTTTTAGAGGTGAAGATCGCCATGTTCGATAGGCATTCGGTAGGGCTTTAAGAACCTAATGGAACAATATAGGATATTCAGGTGGCTATTTTTTAACTTCCATGGTTGTTTCAAGTATAGCTTGGTGATATAGCTTTGCCCTGACTAGACTTCCTTGAAGAACTACTGCTTGGAGATGAACATTCGTCAAACTTGTCACACACTTTCTCCTCATCATGGGCCCCAGATTGAAGAGAAGACTCAGAAGACTGCACAGTGCAACCTTTCCAGGGATCAGTTCAATTTAGCTCATCCAAATCACGAGCTCTGGCTGGAGGCATGCAATCCGGAGGCCTGTCCAACCACCACGACTACCACGACTACCACCACCACAACCACAACGACCACAGCATCCACATCCTCAACGGCCTCAACGGCCTCAACGGTTCAGGGGGATCCTGCAGCAGAGGCTGCACAAATGCATGGGGAGAGAGAGAGAGAGATGGAGACTGCAAGAAATATGAAGACATACTACATTATTAGATTAGATTCTGATTAGATGTGTGTTTGTATATTTGTTTTCCGTATGTATCTTTTGTAACAATTTTACCTTTCGCTCATGAAGCACATGATCAGTCACAATCATTTGTTTTTGAGGCCCCTGAGCTGGAATCTCCTGCGGATGAAATTGCGGATGCCCAACCAGCAGCTAGTCCTTAACATCTGAGACACTCTTGGACTCTTGAAATGTATGTCACATGCCGCTGTTTATTACCATCATGTCCTCCGGTGCAGTATGATGCCAGACAGGGCTTGCGACAATCGCGCTTGTTTCTGTTTTGACTCCCACACAGCAGGGTCATCACAGAGAGATAGAGAGAGAGAGAGGGAGGGAGGGAGGGGGAGGGAGAGATAGACACGAGGGAGGGGGAGAGAGGGAGAGATAGACAGAGAGAGAGAGAGAGAGTTATATATATATGATTTTATGATTATTTAAGTATATATATATATATGTGTGTGTGTCGTGTGTATATGCATGTGTATACACGAATTACTAATCACTAATCAATTTATATATTATGTGTGTGTTTGTTAATGTTTGCTATATACACATATAAAGCCATCAGCGTGAGTCAAATCGTTTAAAATTTTAGCGTGTGCAGCACATGATCAATTGCAATCACCACATTCATTCTTGAGGCCCCCAAGCTGGAATCTCCTCCAGAAGAAGCTGCAGATGCTCAACCAGCAGCTAGTTAGCAATGTCTTAAAACTCTAGAAAGGTACTGAAGCATATGTTAAATATGTGGCTGTTTGTTACCTCCCTGTCCTTTGATTTTCATCATGAGCCGTCTTGCTATTTGGAGCATGCAATGTTTGGATGGGTTTTGAAAATGGGGCATACCCTCAAAATGGCATTTCTCATGAGGGAAATGATGACAGAGGCTCAGCCTGAGCGTACAAACTTGGAGTTTTTCGTGTTCAAAACACATGTTGAACTACAGTTTATAGTGGGTTTGTTTCACGTCATGGATAAAGCACTCGAGTTTGGGTACCCAGAAGCTGGTTGCTTGCACAGCTAGATTCCAGAGCTAGCTCCCCATACATGCTCAACCCCTCAAAGAACCCATTTGTTTGATACGGCGATTATTACTTGCAACAAAACATTCACGTAGGTGCAGGGATTGTGAAAGATGCACTTGATGAACAGATGGTGGTTCAGAGGCAGGATCAATCAAGATTAATCTGGACTAATTAATTGATCCTAAGAACAGAACACCAACATCTTTCAACTGTATAGTCTAAAAATCAATCCAGTTCTGGAAACATGATGGTTTTTCTCCAGTATTCCATGGTCAGAGACTCAATGAAACAAAACAGGGTTGTTGTGAGTACCCATGGTGACCACCCCAAATCAGTGGAAATAAGTGTTGTTGAAAACACATACATGCCATATACATCCATTTACTGCACATCCATATGCACGATGTACATATACAACAGACCAAAACGGGTATTACATGTACGTACCTTATCTTATGTAATACATGTTGGTATGCTCGTAGGCACTTGGAGTGTCCCGGGGTTGACGAGTGATTGCCACCAGAGCGAGGACAATGCGTAAAGCAGCTGCCCGTAAGCTTTCTAATGTCCCCCAGCGGACGGAAAGCAAGCAGCTTTGGTCATGTGATTGCTAGGCCATTGTCATCATAGTCAAAGCGAGGGATGCAAAGGCTGTCCTTTGCTCGCACGACTTTTGCAGTAGGAGCCAGTAGGTCTTCTAGGAAAAAGATTGAGAAAAACAAGTGTTTGCCGCAATATCCGCAACGCCTTGTCGCCGCTTGAACAGTTTAGATCGTTTGAGTACCTCACAACCATCCCAGTCTGTCTTTCTTGGTGCTGCCAGTGGTTCAATCCATTTGCATGTCGGGCTTAAGGGGCCATTGGCAAACCCAAAACGGACCTTTTGGTTGTTCACGCGTCGCGTTTCAAGGGATGGATAATGGTGGAGCTGTGTTCGACATGTTCAATCCCCATATCGGCGAGATTGATTGTAGAGATGACTTGTTTCCATCTGACTTGGTGAATTTGGATGAATTTTGTTTGACTTTGAACAAGAGTATCCTTGAGCAGTCCTTGACATAGTGAATTTGAATGGTTTTGGATGGTTTTGGTGCATCCATGTCTGTAGATCCGAATCATTCGTGGCACATGAGCCGCACGTGGGATACCGGGCAAACATATGTGAGCTCCGATAAACTTAGGGATCTTAGGGACTAGACCCTGCATTTGTTAAAGCGCAATGGACCTGAAAGCGCTGATGCTCAAAGACCCTAAGCAGCAATTCAGTTTTGTGATGTTTTGGTGAAGGCCGTAAAGGCCTGTTGACCTTTCAATGAATCCCTTTCCAGGAGCAAGAGGACTCAAGAGGTAGGTTGACCTCACCGTGGCATGCACCAACTGTTTCTATTTTTCTTTGATTAGGAAAAGAGTTGCAGAGAGGCCCAACATTTTCCCATGGTACAACAGCTGAAAGGTAGGGTTGCGATTTGCAGGCTGGCAGCTGGCTGGTCGATGGCTTTGGCTGCATGTTGCGGCAGCAGCAAGTGTGGTATATGCCTTCTGGGTGTCAGGTATAGATGCCGAATGGATCCGAATGGTGTAATATGTGCCTACGCTACCCTATTGAATCCTATTGGGTTTCAACAATGCAAATCCCAGGAAATCGCATGCTTGGGGCAGGTAGTGAGCTGGCATAGTCTAGCAGGAAATAGTGTTCTTGTCACTAGTTGCGAGAGCAGGTATGATCGAAATGGGTTTCCCCAATATCAGATGATACCAGTAGTACCGCACAAGGCGGTGGCGGAAGTTTCAGAATAGGAAACCTATAGGAGACGTTGGTTGTTGTGAATCACGGATGGCAGAGCGAATCCACTGATTGACCGAAAGGTGGTTGGAGTTGTGTTTGCTGGAGTGGTTGCAATGGTTGCAGTGGTCACCTCACCCACAACTGCTGGATGTAGTGTGATGTACTGCAACTGTAGTTGTAGTTGTAGCGTAGTGGAGTTGTAGTTGTGGTGTAATGTAATTAGCGTAGTGTAGTTGCAGTCATATAGTTGTAGCTGTAGTTGTTTTGTAGTTGTAGTTGTAGTAGTTGTAGTAGTAGTAGTTGTTGTTGTTGTAGCTGTAGTTGTTGTGTGGTTGTAGTTTTTGTGTAGTGGTGTAGTAGTAGTAGTAGTTGTTGTTGTTGTAGTAGTAGTTGTAGTAGTAGTAGTAGTTGTTGTTGTTGTTGTTGCTGTTGCTGTTGTCGTCGAAGTTAGGGTAGTTAAGTTAGTGAAGTTAGTTAAGTTAGTCAAGTTAGTTAAGTTAATCAATGTCTACTTTTTGGACATCTTCACGTCAAAAAAGGCTCAAAACCCTCAGTTTTTTACACTTTTGACTTCGAAATGTGCTTCGCGCCACAACGGCGTGCACTTTTTCGACATCTGAACCTCCAAAAGTGGTCCGAACATAGTGTGTTTGTACATTTTGACTTCAAAATGTGCTTCGCGCCACAACGGCGTGCACTTTTTCGACATCGCAACTTCCAAAAGTGGTCCGACCATGGTGTGTTTTGCACATTTTGACTTCAAAATGTGCTTCGCGCCACAACGGCGTGCACTTTTTCGACATCTCAACTTCCAAAAGTGGTCCGACCATGGTGTGTTTTGCACATTTTGACTTCAAAATGTGCTTCGCGCCACAACGGCGTGCACTTTTTCGACATCTCAACTTCCAAAAGTGGTCCGCTCCTCTAGTGTTTTGTCCATTTTGACTTGGAAATGTGCTTCGCGCCACAACGGCGTGCACTTTTTCATGTCTCATCTGGCCAGCTGGCTCCGCACCCGCCGCTTTAGCGAGCCTACTTTTCGACCCTCCGGAGCCACAAATCATTGGAAAAACAGTGAATCGCGACTTTCCTATCTTTTCGCGCATCTACCTCTTCTTTCTTCTGATCTTTTCTCTTCTGACTCTTTTCACCTCTGCTTTTCAACTGTCCATATTGTCGGAAGTTTCACTTCTAAGCTTCCTTCGATCAGATGGCAATGGGGAGGGGGAGGTTAGACTGGTCAAGGCAGGTTCAGGTTCTACCTTTGAGCGACCATTATGGAATTCAAATGAATTCAACATGTCAATATGCAATCATAGTGAAAGAATGTGAAAGAGATGCTAATTTTTTCTTTTGCTCCAACAAATTTTCAATGCAAGTTGCAATGCGGTTCCTCCTTTTGCCACTGCTAGTTGTTGGTCTATGTTGGTCTAACTTCAATTTGCTTCGCTCCCAGGTTTTACCTTTTGCCACCAAATCAGCTGGCATTGGAAAAGGGTGAGGCTGTTCCGAACTACTTGGCCACCCATGGCATAGCAACTCAACATCGAAAACAGGTATGCTGATGGGCAAACTCCCCGAGGAGACCCGAAGAAAAAACATCAGACTCCTTGTTGTATCCCTTTTCAGCACCTGAAAACACACCACATGACTGGATATATGTGGTACAAATGAGATTAAATATATTAAATATTATTAAATTGTATTATATGGTATTATATAATAATGATGTTGATTAATGACTAAATAGGCCTATGATATCCAAAAGAACATTGCCCCAACGCCAACAGCCTAGGCAATGTTTGTTGTGCTCATCTCCACCGAGCTGGCCATTGGATATGCGTGTTCAAAGAAATGCGTCTACCGCTTCAATGACTTCATTGGATCTTTGTCTTCGGGGACCTGCCAGCAGTTGGTTGGGACACTAACTTCAAGACTTCTGAACCCCAAAGGCAGTTTCACAGTGGTTCAGAGCAAATACAGCCTAATGACGCTGAACGTCAAAGCAAGGCCACTGGGCCACTGGTTGGTGATTTCTGGTGACTTCAAAATTTGATTGTCCATCCTATATGGGATAGTATGGGATAGTGATCCAAGTTGCCTTTTTTGGATATTTTTGTGGGTTAAAGCCACCAGGCCAATTCAATCCTGGCTTCTGCTGATGATGGGTGTTGATCTTGCTTACTACTGGGCACACCGTTGCCTTCATGTCTTTCACTTGGGCTGGGCGGCCCATAGTGTCCACCATTCAGGTGAAGATTACAACTTACCAACTGCCTTGCGTCAAGGCGCTTTGCAGCCACTCATGACCTGGATATTTTCACTACCCTTGGCCTTGTTTTTCCCAGCAGAATCAATCTTGGTACATTTGCAACTGAATACGTTGTATCAGTTTTGGATTCACACCGAATTTTGTGGCCGCTTGGGATGGCTGGAATTTCTCTTTAACACTCCCTTCCACCATCGAGTGCATCATCGGCCCCCTGGAAACTGTAACTATGCTGGTGTGCTCATTGTTTGGGACCGACTCTTCAAGACATACAGCACTGAAACTGAGCGCCTGGATCACTATGGCTTGGCGCAACCCGTGCGAAGCTTCAACGTTTGGGAGCTCAATTTGCAGCATTGGCGGAAGATCGCGGGAAGTTCACGGGGCTTTCAGGGCGTGGGCCTGTGGCGACTGATCCGCGCATCTTTGGGACACCGTCGCTTGGCTGCAGGTACATCTATAGGTGATAGTCATAGTAGGTTCATGATAGGTTCTTGTGCAGCATTGAAGGGCTACACTTGAACAACTTGAATGCGTAAATGCAAGTGAATTAGAAACATTTGGAAACAGTAGACTCAGTAGACACCCGTGCTTCTGAACACTTCTGAACACCACCCATCCAGGCTTGGCTCAAGTTATAGTGTTGGTTCATTGCTAATATTGCTTCTGATTCTCATGCTGATGCAGCGCCCAGGAGCTCATCATCCCATGAGATTTTCACCGCAGGCATTGCTGGATCCCTTCGACCCAATGAAGAATGGGAGCTGGGCATTGCCCAAAGAGGCAACGGGCAAATATCAGGGCGCTGATCTGACTTTGATCCATGGCAGCAGCTAAGTTTTTGCTGTGACAAATGCCGATATATATATATAATCCATTGTAAACCATAATTCCATCATAATCCATCACAATTAATCCATGATAATCCATCATAATCCAGGATCAACCATAGCTGGGGGGTTTCCAATTCCGACAAAGCTATTTCATGCCAAGCCTCCCGTGGACTCGAGGCTTGGCAAAACGGCCGCTCTCACCGTGTTTCTGGGGAGTTTTCTGTGCCTCCAACGAGCTGAACGAAAGAATGTGGAGCTGATGCAGTTGTGTTGCAACGTTGGCGCTGGTTTGCTTTGGCTCGGTGCTTTAGGCAGCTTGGGACAGAGTTGGGCCGAGCTAGGAGTTTCGCTTGTGAGCTTTGGAAAGTTGGGTTGTATGTGTAATATACATATATCATATTATATATATATATATTAATATATAAATTATTATTATTATTTGTGATGAATGTAATTAATGTGTGTGTGCGTGTGTATTTGTGTGTGTAATTAGCAGTTCTAATGCAAACATCAGCATGCTCACAGTTATATAATATAGAATAGACCACAGCTGGGCTTATCGACTTTATTTTGGCATAGTTTTCCCAAAAGGTCATACTATAGTAGCAAATAAACAGATAATCAGTTAAGATCTTCCTAGTTTGCACCGCCCAGGTGACATGTTGGACCAGGGCACCTGCAATAGGTCACTGATGTTGAAAATGTTCACCGCTGCAAGTGTCACTTTGGGGGATTTTGCCCTGACCGCTGGGGTTTAGACTGAGAGAAAAGTTGCGAACTGCTGGATGTTGCAAGGAATCATTGACTTGATGAGGCGGAAAGTTTTTTTTGGTGGGGCTACTTTGGGCCGAAAGACCACGGAAGAACCAGAAGTGTTGGAACAAAGTATGTGGAATCGTTTGAACCGCTTTCCGCGCCTGCGCAGCCCATTTCTATCTTCAAATTCCTTCGAAAGTATCCAGGAGCAGAGGAGCCCCTGTTTCCAGCCTGGAGCTCAAAGTTTGCCACTGACGGGGTAGGATGTCGAAGAAAAAGATGCAGAAAACAGCTCGCACTGAGTCCAGATGGCGGCACTTATGAACGGTGCCGGAGTGTTCTCGTCTTTTGTTACTTCCGAGTCCGAGGTAGCATGGAACAGCTCCTGGAATATGGCAGCTTTTTGCTCAATCCATGGTCGTTGACCTTCCCGATGTTTGTCGCCATTGTCATCGTAAAGGAGCAAAGAGCAAGCAGATCGCTGCACACCCTTCAAACCTGCGTGTGAGTGCTTGCAAGTGAGGTTACCAAAGGATTCTTCTCTTTACCAAAAGGTTGTGTACCCAGGTTTGTCCGAAACAGGGCACCGCCCAGTCAAAAGGATTACTATCATTATTTTCACCTCTGTCATAGTGTCAGGTAGGCTATGTGCTTCTTGAGTCAGGAGGCTGCCCTCCAATTGACAGACTTTTGCCTGTGACTCAAAGCTTGGCACAGCAAGACACAGTTTCAAAATCAGGCTGACTCAAACGTTCTTCGCAATGATTGCTGCGTTTGGGCCTGAAATGCACAGCCTGACTCCCTGTGTGAATTAGCTGTGGCCTCAGGTGTCACATGTGCGTGCCAATGCTTGAAACCATTGCCAAGCCGCACTGGAACACGATCATTGTACAAGAACAAGCTTGACAACAAGGTGACCGTCACTGCTGTGGATAGAGAAAACATGTTTTTCTCCTGGTGCTTGGTGTGGAGGCATCCATTTAGGTTCTCAAATCCCTCGTCATTTTTGTCATTACCGTAGGACATCATAGGACGTCATATAAGCGATGCAAGGGTAGGGGATACGCATCAAAAAAAAACATATTATTAGGATCAAACAAGATTAGTCGGATCAAGAAACATATTCTTGGAGAAGGAAGGAAAGAAGGAAGGAAGGAAAGAAGGAAGGAAAAGAGGGGAGGGGAGGGAAGGGAAGGGAAGGGAAGGGAAGGGGAAGGGAAGGGGAAGGGAAAGGGGAAGGGGAAGGGAAGGGAAGGGGAAGGGAAGGGAAGGGAAAGGAAGGAAGGAAGGAACGAAGAAACGAAGCAAGGAAAAAAGGAAGCAAGGAAGCAAGCAAGCAAGCAAGGAAGGAAGGAGGGAGGGAAGGAAGGAAGGAAGGAAAGAAGGAATGAAGCTGAAAGCGGTATTTCAGGACACTTGTTGCAAGTGGCTCTCCAACTATATCTACTTGATTTAACTTACATTCTATATCTCACAGTAGGCATGTTGTGCATTGTACATTCCTTGAGTATCATCAGTATATAAATTTAAATATATATTTATATATACATACAGACACATGCGTAAACCCTGAGTACCAACCATATTCAACCTACAGCAGCACACGGGAGCACAGGCATTGTCATTCTGCTTCGGGGGGAGGGGCTGTGCCCTTGTTTCAGCCCTCCCCCCAATCCCCCCTCCCGCCTTTTTTATTTGAATCCAAGCTTGCACATTTGTATATATATTTCTCTACATATGTATTTCGGTATAGTCCATTCAAGAGTTCCAATTCATATGCTGACATGCACAAGACCCTAACCCCCCCCCACCCCCCACACCACCCTACCCAATCCCACACCTAACTTTGATCCCCCCACCCACACCCCACCCAAACCCAAAGGCCTGAACTGCTTTATGTGGCATGAAACATGTTGTGCAGTAATTATATAGTACCATATTCAACCTAGAGCAGCACTTGGGAGTACAATTATTTTCAGTCTGCTTTGGGGGAGGCCCCCATCCCCTCCTACTACATTTGTTATGCTCACAAGATGCATGTTGTGCATTGTTCATTATTTACACTATGGAGAAAGTGGTGCACTCAATGGTTGATGAGGGCATAGGTTTCTGGGGATAATTTTGTTTGATACCAATGATAATATGTTTTTGATCATTTCGGATATTTTTTTGATACCAATTTTTGATCATTTCGGATTTGTTTATCCTTAACCCCGTTTAGCGACCATTCTCCATAACTCTCGCCAACTTGATCCAGGATGCTGCTTTCCTAGCCATCAATTCCCTCATTGAGACAATTTTTACAGGTCACCTGGCTCACAAGCTGTGCCTGGTCTGCATCTTTGAGGATGGAGTTTTGGTTAGACTTCCCAAGGGTGCTGCACATTCAATTTGTCTCCTCTAGTGACTAAGTGGTTTGAACCATGAATCAGACTCATTTCCAGTCAGTACTGCTGACTGAAACTCGGAGAACATTTTGGACTCAGGTGGTACTCATCATGGATTGAAAGAAGCTTTTGGTCTTTGGGCATCCTGAACGGTCCGATTGCCTTGTTGCCACTGGGCAAGAGTCAGACGTGGAGAACTGATTGGCCGTGTCGACTCATTGAATCGGTCAACAGCCTCAACAGCCATTTAAAGCGATTGCTATTGTTGCCGAAGAAGCGAGCCTTTAGCACCGAGGCTCTTGATTTTGTTTAATGACATGCTGTACGCACCAGCGCACCGTATCTTGGCAAAGTTGATACATCAGCAGAAGAAGGGAATATCGGAGTAAGAACACAGACAGACAGATACTTGTACTTTGGATCTCTTTGCATGCCAGATTGACAGGTTGCCCAGGATCCCATTGTTTGAGTGTAGGCGGTGTAGGATGTTTGTCATGAGAAAAGTTAAAAGTGTGCGTGGATTTACGTGGATTCAAAATGATAAATTGACACTGAAGGCTTGCTTCATCACCCTTCTTTGTATGCCTACATTCACAAGCACCACCACCGCTCTGTGTACCCCTTCCGGGGAAACATTGATGCTCGCAATGAGCATCCCATTGAGCAGCTGCACCTTGCCTGAACTGAAGCTCCAGTGTCAAGTCACTTCTGCAGCCAACTCATACATAAATTGAAGATATCAGCAGAATTTCATGCACCATGATTAAATTCAGGCAGAGTTGGTTCTTCTTCGAAAAATGAATGGATTCACCATGGTTCACCAGCCTTGCCGCCCCGAAAAAACCTGAAACTTCCAACACCAGAAATCCACCTTCCAAATCCTGCCAAGCCCAGTTCTTCCCAATTTTTGCTTCGGGGGAAGTTCCATGTTTTTTTTTTTAAATGTTTTTTTCCCAGTTCCACAGGATTGCCATGTCCTTGTGGATGATTGCTGTTTACATGACCGCCTTCTCCGTTGGGATGCACGCAGCCTGTTTGGCGGGGCACTTGACCTTGATGATGACGGGGGCCTCGTTGAACCACGCGGGCTTTGATCTGGAGATTCGCTTCCTAGGCGCAAAAAGGGTTGTTTCGCAAAATTGGTCTTGGTTATGTCTTGGTTTTAAAGCATATTATTGCTATATATCCAGTGTTTGAAAAACATGACAAGCCAGTGGTATCTACATAGATTCCATATAGATCTGTATATAGTCTATATAGTTGTTGCTAGTATATGTTATTATATTTATTGGAGAGAGTTTGTTATGCTTTGTTGTTTGTGGCATCGCAGACTGTAAAAAATCCAATCATACCCTGGGTATTTTATCTGTTAAACTAAACTAGGAAATAAAGATTGATGACCGATTACTGATGACTTTTGGTTGTGATTTGACTGGGTCAGATCAACTTTTCTCTGTGGTTGATTTGACTTTTTGGTTCCGACCACCAGTTGCAAGATGCATTTATTAGTTGAAGGATGCTTCCTGATCTTGTTCTCTTTGGATTGTTGGACAGCTGCGATTGCTTTAAACGACTCTTCTGTTGGTGTAGACGGGTTGGGAGGTGTGGATTGGTATTCAACGGCTGCCCACGAAATGCACCATCGTCGTCCAGACAAGAATTTCGTGCCATGGCATCCATAGAGAGGTGGATTTGGGTAGCATTAATGCCTTGTGTACAACGCAAAAGTGTGAGGAAGGACAAGCATGCTATACCTGAGGCACAGTTCACGATGTTCTGGGTACCTTGGCTGAAGATCGCGCAAGCAGTGGTGATCCTTTCGTTCAACAAAGTTAGATCTTATTTTCTGGCAAATGTGTTACAAGTTGTGCCAGATAGTGGCTAGCAACCTCTGAAGCAGTACTGTATGTGACGAGGAAAAACCCGGAATGGTATATAGTCATATACATATACGTAAGATTTTGGTCCTGATTCTGTTGCGTAGATGTTTCCTTCCCCTTCCGCTTCTTCTGTCCTACTTTTCTCCGTTACTTCTACCTTCACGGTTTGGACAATCCAGAATGGTTATTTGTTGATAGAGTGACTTCGATCATCCCTTCCTAAGGGTTTTTCAATATACAGATACAGTATCTTCCAGTTGCTCTCGCTCACAACCTCGCCTTTCTTTTATTTCCCGTTTGTTGGGCCTTACTCACAAAAGTTAGCGGCCAACTTTCCTTAACTTGAAAAACTCAACTTGAAAACAAGCAGATGCACTCTCGGAGAGGGCGATGGAGAGAGAGAGAGAGAGACTCAGGCTAGAGAGAGAGAGAGGGAGGGAGGGACAGAAAGAAACACATAGTTAATATCCTCTCATCGAACTTGCATGGTGTTTTTGATATGTTTTGACTGCAAGCGCTGCAATTGATAGATTTGGATAGCCGCCGGGCTCTAAGGACAAGTTGATGGGGACTTACATCCCCTACATCCAAGAAGATGAAAAGGCTGACAAAGCCAACTAGTCAATCCTTGGCCTTGGCCCTTCAGTTTTGTTTGCTGGAACAGCTGCAATAGACCTGGTTGATGGAACAGTTAGGAGATTTTCCTGATTAGGATGGATGATGGAGGCTATTGAATCTTTGTGTTCCTATCGTTTTATGATCCTTTTCTACCATTTGCTGTATATTGGCCAGCTGGTTCCACACTCGTAGCCGTTGAGCCCCGAGCCTTTGAGACCATGTCAAAGGCTTTGACTAGGAATACCAACTGCCATCCATTCAAAGATGCAGCGGGTGCAGTTTTGCTGTGTGCAGATGCATTGGCCTTCGCCAGTGCCATAAAATCTGTACACTGGTGCCTCACGTTTCTTCGAAAATGGGAAGAAGTGTGGCACTCCTCGGTTCCTGAACATCTAAACTAATATATGCTGCGAGCTGCAACGTCACGATGGCTTTCGACTCAAGCTCTTGTCGCCGCTTGAGATATTTTCCATGTTGGAGCTTCAAATTGCTTCTCACACATACTGCAGTACAGCCAGTACAACCATGGTGCTCCTGTGATTTTTTCCTTGTGCAGATCAAACGATACAGCAGGTATTCTACATTATAATTATATTGTGTAACACTGTATACAATATTTACATATCCATGAGTGTTTGGCATCAGGGACGTTTACGCCAGGAGTACTGAGCAACCTAAAATGGTCTATAGTATGGAGTCTCCTTAACTTGAGAACGCTCAGACTGTGATCTTCGCATGTGCGAAGACAGCAGGTGGAGAAAAAGTGCCCAGAGGTGCAAGTGCCAAACCAAATAGTGCCACCAATCCCGGAGGTGGGAGTAGATTGGATGTATCGTACAGTATCCAGTTTTGGATCTGCCTCTTTGAAAAAAGCAACCAGAAGCGAATGCATGTGCATGTTTGAGAAGGATTTCTGATATCATTTGACAGTTGAGACATTTTGAGATCCCTCTTGACTCAGGTAACTCAGGTATGGCCTGGTATGGCCTGGTATGGCCTGGTATGGCCTGGTATGGCCTGGTACTCTTGCAGTGGGAAGATCGGAGCCATGTGGCAGCCATGGCTCAAGATGTTTGAAGGCTCGCATGGCTCTCATGGCTCGCCACATTCGGCCATGGAGTGGTTAGGAAGCGCCTTGTCCCCGGTGTCCCCAGATGCCAACAGATCTGACGTCCCTTATGGATACGGCGCCCGGCGACCCGGCAGCTCCAGTTTCTTGGTGAAAAATGTAGAACATCCTTGGCCTTGATGGAATTTTTGGCGATGCTTATTTGATGCTTCGTGACCAAACAGTGTCAATGTCAGGTTGACCCTTGGAACATGTGTAGGAGCAGCATGGAGCAGCCCAGCGGAAACACGAATTACAAGCGCTTTCAGATGTTGATTACACTGCCATGACACACCCCAAAAATTGCAGCGTTATTATAATTTGATGACAATTCTGAATTACAAATTAATAAACCACTGTTCTCGCTTTCACACAATGTCGAACAAATCTAGTTGGATTTGCCGCTTTGCCATTGCCAAACATGGGGCATCATTGGGCATTCCGGCATACCCACCACTTTATGATAGATTTCTGTTTAGAAAAACGCATCTAAACAGATCAAAAAAACATAAAAACCATTGGATTTTGATCAGGCCATTCGTCATCATCCTGTTTGAGCAGCGCCCTCACTGCTGTGGGGAGTTTGAGTACAATGGCCTCGGATGAAGATTTGCAGCTGAACTGCAGCCGTAAAAATTCAGCGCCCATTTTGGGATGATTAAAAAAGAAAGATTGGGAACGCTGCGATGCGAAAATTGGATGTACATGGATCTAGCTACTATAATTAAGTTTTCAACAGGTACAGTACATGATACATGTCAATTTCGCACTATTTCGCACTTGATTGATTCTGACGTGAATGTATTTATTGATATTTATTGCATATATACATGATGCAGCATGGTGTTTTTGTTGATTGGATTGCTGCCCTGGCCACACCCACAACTTGAGTAAAATGCAACTAACGTGTCACGACTGAGGCACATAAGTCTCCTAGAGGAGGGTGAACTTAGTCCCTCCAAGTCCGTATTTCGGGATGCCATTCGATGGCGCGGACTCTTGGCATTGGAAAGCCACTGCACCAGAAATATCTCTGTCGACTGTTCGGAGATAATTGCTTGCAGCCTGGAGCAGGGGGAAATTGTTAGCTGGTTGGCGGTTTCAAGCCATGTGTCCATGTTTCCTGATTTCAAGCCACCCAGGAAGGAGACCTCTGCGAACCGATGAATGTTATAGCTGGCATACCTTCACAGTCCGCGTGGCTGCATGGGGGGCTGGGCCTGGTGATGTTGATGGGGTTGTACTAACCTCCCAATCCAATGTCAGAACCACCGTCAATCAGTGAGACTTCGATGGTTTTGGATGCGTGTAGTGTAATTTATGCGGATGAAGATTTGGTCCAAAACAGTTTGGAGCTCAAGTTTGCGCAGTTTGTTGTTTGCACTGAATGGCAGTCAAAGCGTGGGTGTTGTGAAAGTCCAGTTTGCATTCTCGATGACACGTGCAAATGGTCATCCTATCGGAATTATCGATATCTATCGATATCTATCGATATCTATCGATATCTATCGATATCTATCGATATATTATATTCATTTGCTTTATTTGGGGTAGACATGCAATGACATGCAAGTCGCAGGGGTGACTTAATGCAGCTCACAGGATTTGCTTCCTCTTCCCGCCTGGGACAGGTAAAGTTGCTACTCCCCTTGGAGGAAGGAAAGTCCTTCACCGAAGATTCTGGGCCTTCAGTTGTCGAACCATGTCGAACCATATCGAACCATTTTCCCTGACCCGGGTTGGGTAAATCGAAATTTGATGCCAACAGTCCCCATAGTTGTTGGTTGCACCTGTTGGTACATGCTGGAGACAACTGCTTTCTTTGTTGAGTGCTGTTGTGTCTTTTGCCATGTTGCACACTCCTGCTTTGGTATATCTTTAAAGGCTCCTGGTGTTTGCGCCATGCCGAAGAGTGATGTGGAAGCTCAGGATGTGATTTCTCTGTCACCCACGTCTGAGTCAGAGAGCATGGCGGATATAGGATTCCATGCTGCTCATTCCCCTGATATCGTCCCAACTCCTAAAAGCTTGCATGCAAACCCAAGAGGAAGAATCTATCTTTTCCAGAGATATTGTCCATTCCGATCAGGGCCAACAGCAGGCGGAATGATTGCTGTACAGGTATGGGTGTATCATATTGTCTGAAGGTGATGGAGAGAGACAGGGAGAGAGAGAGAGAGAGATTATGTGTGTAAATAAATATATATATATATTACAAACACATCTCTACCTCTCTCTCTATATATATAATTATAACATATAGATACATATAATGACATAATACAGAGCTTTGCTCTGTGGGTCATGGAATTTGGCAGGACCCGCAATGCCGCGGTGTCGCTCTGCCTCGGCTTCGCCATCGTTCGAGCGGTGTAAACCCGCTCAGGCCGAAGGGAAAGATGGATAGATGGACCAGGTAAGATGGGTAGGTAGATAGGCTGAACTCTTGGAGAGGGCCATAATATAGAGAGAGAGAGAGAGAAAGAGAGAGATATGGGAAACATATAGGATTGAGAAATGGTTGGATCGGATTAGATTAGATTAGATAAGTTTCGAGAGAAGCAACCACACGAGTGTGACAGCTGAGTGATGCTTTCATATGCAGTGCGATTTCCATCCCCAAGTGGGATGATAAATGATGATAAATGATGATAAATGCAGAAAACACCAACCAGAGAGGGCACAGAATGGGATAGATGGGATAGCGGGTGGATGATCCGAAAGATGATGAGGCTAGCGGAGAATTTGGACTTTGAACATCACGGTCTCCGACCATGATGTGATCATCTCTTTGTGATTTTCTTCTTCTCGACGAGAACAGTGTTTCTCCATGAATATGTGTAATCTTCAACAATAACAACTGTGGGGTCCTAAAAAGTGCAGCTCTTAATGTTCTGGAAGTGGCACCAGCTGTGACATGCTGTGACCATGATGTTGATGTTGATTCGGCAAGGACTTTGGTGTGGATGACAAGTTCCGAGACTACGCAAAGGTTATTGCGCGAGACGTTGCCAGGATATACGCAGGTGCCCACAACTGAGCATGGCATTTCGTTTGCGTATGCATCAAAGCATGAGATTGTGTAGACTGGCCTTAGATGGCCCAACCATAGTGAAGTGCATCATCCAGTTTGAGGCTAAGCCATTGTGATGTGGAATGTTATAAAATGTATTATAAGATGTTATAAATATATCACACACACATATATATAACATATAACGTACCTGGAGCATCCTGGACCATCCTGGATCTTGGAACATTTGGAAAGGACACGGATAAGAGATGATAAGAACTTCTTCCCTAGGGCGGATTTCCATGGATTTCCTTGGGGATTTCCTGAGGACATGGAAATGATATGAAATGATCATGTTTTGTAATCCAATGTCGTCAATTTTGCCCTGGGCTCCCTGGAGAGAAATTGAAGTAACCAATGGATATCCAGGTGTATGATATATGAAATATGCTGTGTATATGAAATAGATTATATTCTATATTTAACTATATTTATATATTTTATGTTATATAATATATATATATATATTATAGAGATTGATATGCACACATATCCATGTGCTCCTGGGAGGTTTAAATGTTACACCGCTTTACAGAGTCCGGTGACTTTCCGCTGCTCCCGCTCCGAGGTCATGAGCAGGTGGATCAGCTGCGCTTGGAGATGGCTGCTGTTTTGAGAGGCCGACGAGTCCGGGCGCAGGTGAGGGGTTAATGGATTGAATGGTGGTATATCAACTAATCATAGAATATGTTACATTAATGGGGCTTAATTAATGGTTATTAAGAGTTATTAGTTGTTATTATATATATGTTATCATGATAATATTTATAATCTATATAGTTACTCGTACCATGGGAAAACCCCGACATTCGGATACAACTTGATGTAACAACCCCCACAGCTATGGTTAAATATGTCCATGGTGATAAGCCCAACCACATCGCATGTCGCATATCATGCAATGCTTCAGAAACTTCAGAGTCCTGGGTATCATAACGCCCTAGTGACCTGGTTTTCACATGTTTTCACATCAAAGTAACTTCTGAAGGGGTCTTCATCCAGTTTTATTCATTTTCATCCCTTCATATCCTGGAAGATCCCTTCCCCCATCTATTTGACACCAAGGCTATGCACGGAAGCATCCGCACCTGGGCTACACCCAAGGGATGTGTTTCCTGGCCCTGGTGACCTGTAGCAAAGAAAAGGACCTGGCAGAGCAGCTCTTCGAGGACTACATGACTTCGCTGAAGCCGCTCGGAGCTGTGGTTTTCAAAGATGACTCGGTATCCAGTTGTACCGTGCTGTACCATCATTGCGATACAATTTACATCAATTCACTGCCTAATATACTACGCATACTACTCGTCATTGGTCTTCTGAACCATGAATGTTTGCTTTACATATCTTTGCATGATCAGCTTGCCATGCCACTTTTTTGCTTATGATGCTTATGTTTTGCTTATGTTTTGCTTATGTCGCGTTTTGCATGATCAATTTGCTGCTTTGCTGCCCGAGGCTTCTTTGGTCGCCGGACTTTCCACTGATCCAGGAAGGTATTCCGCTGCTTCCTGGTTTGCTGGACAAGGCCGACATGCAGCTGAGTTACCATCTCTTCCACACCTTAGGACGGGCAAAAAAAACAGCGATTGCCGGATTTCAGCGGATGATGTTCATTGAAGAGTGAGAAAAGAAAAGCATGGGAATTGGATGGGAATGGCAGATGGCTAATTTCTGCGACCTGTTCACACATCTCTGACGATTAATTATCGTTTGGTGTTTTCTAAATGTATCAAACATGCAACCTAACTAACCTAATCATTAGCCTACAAGCGCTAGCGTTAAGTCGTATCAGCTTGTAAAAGTCGTATCGGGAGGCCGTGCGCCTGGAAAAAAATCAATTTTGGCGTCGCCACAACTTTTAGTGATTGATTGATTTATTTTTTGGGGGGGCCGTGCGCTTGGAAAAAGTTCAATGTTTGTTTCAATTTTTGTATTGCGGCAATTTTTAGTACTTATAATTAATAATTAATCATTCATTCAAGGGGCATACACTGGTTGCTGCTGCTTGCTTGCTTGCTGCTTGCCTGCTGCTTGTTTGCTCCTGCTGCTGCTGCTGCTTGCTGATGCTTGCCTGCTGATGCTTGGCTGCTGATGCTTGCCTGCTGCTGCTTGGCTGCTGCTGCTGCTGCTTGCCTGCTGCTTCTTGCCTGCTGCTGCTTGCCTGCTGCTGCTTGCCTGTTGCTGCTTGCCTGCTGCTGCTTGCCTGCTGCTGCTTGCCTGTTGCTGCTTGCCTGGTGCCTATATCCGTATATCATAGCCCTGCCAGTAGGATTTGCTGCCAAGAATTTGTTTGTTTTGACTTGTGCCCTTCAAAATCGTCACTGTGCGCAATGCCTCGGCTACTTCTAACTAAATCTCCGAGTACAGATGAAACAGGCTGTGCCATGGTATTTTCCTTCAAAGATTATATGATTGTATGTGCCAAATGGTCGCTGTACCAGTAGGATTTGAATCTGAGGAGGTGATATGGGTATCAGCTGTTTTCCAATCATTCCATTAGGATTCTCTACAAATATGAACCTTTTCAGCAAGGTAGGTAGTATCTATCATTTTCCCTGCTGTGCGCAATGCTTCGGCCATCTTCGGCCACTTTTAGGTATATGTATCATTATAGATGAAACAGGCTGTGCCATGGTGATTCTTATTCCCTGATGTGACTTTCCACTACCTGATGTGACTTTTCTGTATCGCCGCTGTGACATGGGGATGATGTGACTTTTCCCACCTGATGTGACTTAAGTACGGTGTTAGTATCATTATATATATTATAATATATTATATGTTTGTGAGAGTGCTTGAGCTGGCGGCCCACTCACCCACCAATCAGATCAGGACTGAATTTGACGGCAGTCCTTCCCACAGCTTGGCTCTCCATGTTCGGCAAGTGGCGTTTGGCTGGTTGTTTCAGATATGTTTTGTGTTTCTAACGCAATCACCTACATAGTAACCCCATGCAACCCCCCAAAAAAACCAAGAGCAATTTGCCGGTATGAATGTAGAAGGAATTTGGCTTAGTTTTGTCTATTTTATTCGAATTGTCCAGAAGGGGGTTAGAATCACCAGGCTTCCCTTTCAGCAGCTGCTGGAAATCGTCCCCTTTTTGGCTGCTTCTGGGCTGCCGGGCTTTCTGGCAGTCACCATCGTTATCCTGACCTCGTGCTGCAGCTGCGAGAAGGGGATTGGAAGGATGTTGGGTTTTTCAGAGTTCAAAGAGACAAGTAGAAGCATGGTCAACAACCCAGTAACAACCCCACACTTCGGGGCTTCCATCGTGTTTGAAAGCATGATCATGATGTGAGATATTGAGATCCAGAACTGAGCGATTTTGATTTTAAGATGATGCAGGTTCCGATCGGATCTCTTGGGCCATCAGAGCGTGGAGGATGTTTTGCTCTTCATTGCAGCCCTGCGGAAGTCGCCAGCACCGGCCAATCTGATGTTTTTGTGCCGACAGATTCTCCCTGGAGTGAGGGAAGAGGTGCGAAACAGGCCGGAGATGTGGCAATGATCCAAAGCAGAGAGGTGGTCTGAAATGGAACTCTTTGGTGCTGAGACTACAGACTACAGCCCTCATGATTTCCCGTACATGATTCAAATAGTTCAAAATAAATGGGGCCATTGTAGCAGCTTCTAGCACTTGATGTAGATGCGCCCTCCGCACTTTCCTGGCAGCGTGGCAGGTTCCTGGCTAAGAATGTCAGGCTGAATGCCTAGCGCCGAGGCAGCCAGCGCCGTGCGAGCAGAATGCCTGCGACCGTGAGACCGTGATGTAGGATTCCACACTGGGTGTGAACGTGTTTTTTTTGGTGTTTCATGTTCTTTTTTCTCCCTGTAAGTTAAATTTAATATCGTTGCCATTGATTAGTACTCGTAGCTTCTGCAGCTACTGTTGAATCATGTTGAATGGGCATCCGTGCAACTCCATTGTGCATGAGAGTTCTTAAGGTGTCTCCACCTCGGGGATCTTATGGAGAACTTACTGTTATCTGATATCTCCTTACATCATTAATCATGTGATTCAAATTCTTGATGCTTCTGAAGTTGGATAGTATCAGTAATTCAATGTCAATGGTCGCTCACTCATTTACCTGTGAGTGACAGCTTTCTCAAGATGCTAAAGGTTGGCAGCCCATGCATGGCAGGCCACGTTTGGCTGCAAGATAAATAGAACTGAACGTGTTTTTTTTCACTTGGCTTTGTGCATGGGAGTTGCCATCCAAACTCTCTGCAGGGGACTCGATCGAATTGGCTCGATCTGCTAATTTCAAAGGTCAAAGGCGGTCAAAGGTGTTTCCGATGATGTTAAATGCCAACATAGAGCCAAACCAGAGAGTTGGCTGGTGGCTGACTGCAAGAATGAAGCTTTTTCTTGTCAGCTAAAGAAATCACGAGCACAAAAAAGAAAGCTCGAAATTATGAGTTTCACTCCTGGTCTTGAGACCTAATAAGACAAAGAGGCGTGAGGCTTCAGGGATGTGTATTGACCCTGCTGGCATTTCTGGCACAAAGGCCCACAAGAGACTTAGAGAGAGTAGATTAGAAAGATCATTGATCGCATGAATGGCTTTGAAATGAAGCGGTACTGTGGTGCCTGGTAAGCTAGGAAGTTCCGGCTGCCTTCCTGCCTGGTAGTTACTGACTGTTAGCTCCCTTGGGGGTTGGTATGGAATGAATGGAAGCAGAGTTGGAAAAGTTTGTAAGGCTCTTATGGTTCAGTTTTTTCCCCATGATGCTTGATGTAGATTTATCAATTTGAAGCAGCTTTGTACTGTTGGAAACCTGGCGGCTAATCTCCACCAGGAGCTACTGTTCGTGGGCAGTGCATTCCAACGAGAAAGCATTTTTGCTGGGAGCAATACTGCGGTTCAGTGCATGCAAGAATGCAGCACTTTCACCATCAATTTCAAGACTTTTGCCACAGCTCTTGGCACCCACGCAATCCGCTGCAATCAACCAGGATATCATGGGGCAACTGTACAGGTTACATCAGATTGCTCCAAGCGTTGGGACATGTTGTTGAAAACAAGCGACCTGCGCAACAGGTGGTTTTGCAGGGAGGTATGGCAGTTGCGATGACCTTAGGAACTGTGTGCTGTCCAAATCTCTGCGATTGCCGCATCCTCCGGATATGCATGTCTTCAGCAGGTTAGGACGGTTAGGATAACAGGAGGGCCCGACCAAGTAGAAGATCAACAGCACTCCTGGTCAGTCTAGTCATTTTTGCCGCTTGAAAGTGGGAGTGACGCTTCTTAAATATGTCCTGTGATTTTGGTGTCAACATGCAACAACAACACAACACTGTACCACTATTTACCACTCACCTTGTGCAGGAACTTAGTGGCTTATGCATGAATCCAAGTTACCCCCGTAGCCAGCATTAGCCTTTGAACATCCTTTGAACTTTGCATTGAAGATCATTTTCATCTTCAAAGCTCAGACATTTATCTTCGATCGCGCCATGGTCAAAAAGCTGAAGAAAAGGAAAGCTGCCAAGGCTGGCGAGGTGGCAGTGCCCCCAGATGCAGCTGCTCCTGTCCAGAAACCCGCACGAAAGCGACGGTCAGCTGTGGCAAATGCTGATAAGCCTGGCTCTCCACCAGCAAAGGCGGAAGCCACTGAAGCCGAAGTAACAGAAACGAAGCAGACCCTCTTTCAGACCAATGCGTCCTTTTCCAAGTTGGGACTTGCAAAGTGGATTGTGCAGACCTGTGCCAAGCTGGGTATGAACTACCCAACCGACATTCAAGCCATGTGTATCCCCGCTGTTTTAGCCGGTAAGAATCTCGCAGGCAATGCTCGGACTGGAAGTGGAAAGACGGCATGTTATAGCATGCCAATCCTGCATCATTTGTCAAAGGACCCCTATGGAGTTTTTGCATTGATCTTGGTGCCCGTTCGTGAGTTGGCCTTTCAGGTCACCGAAAACTTTCGGGCCATGGGTCAGGCCATTAACGTCAAGGTGGGTGAGATTGTGGGTGGACGAGACTTCTCCATACAGAGCAAAATGATCGCGGACCGAACCCATGTGATCGTTGCCACTCCTGGTCGCTTAGCAGACCTACTGCGTGGCGATTTTGCTCTCGCTAAAGCTTTCCGCAAGTTGCACACACTTGTCTTGGATGAGGCTGAAACTTGTCATTACCGGATATTATGCCGCACATTTGGCCAACGTGGTGGTAGAACATGGTATGATACTACTCAATGAAATTTGTCTCCCCTATTGGTGTATATGGCCCAATATTGCCCTATGCCCAATATTGCCCTATCCTTCCACTTGCAACTTGCAACCCGTGGTTGGCCCATGTTGGCCCTACTTTTGCAAATCCCCTAAACTCCCGCAAGCCCCAACGAGGATACGCAGGGACCTCAGACCTGTTCTGTTCTGGACACCCTGGGGACGCCCCCTTCTAAAACGAGAGCTTCCTTAAAACATCTTACAAGAAGGCCTCGGTTTCTTGTCCAGTTGTTTTTTGCCTTGATTTCCCAATGCCAGACTGCTGTCATCTGCTGTCAGCATGTTTCATGTGAGGATCAATTGTTGACCCAGACCTTCGAGGAGCCCTTGGGTCAGATCTTGGAGCTGTTGCCAAAGGAGCGCCAGACACTCTTCTTTTCCGCCACTATCACACAGTGCATCCAGAAGTTGAAGAAAGGAAAGGATCTCACCTTCATCGCTCCTGGGGCCAAGAGTAGATTTACACAGATTTACACTGATGTCTATCATGCTGCATATGTTTTTCATGATTTATCCCAGGTTGTCTAAATTTGTCTAATGGTTTATCGTGGTTGTGCGGGAGGTGGTGGGAATGTGTATGTTGATGTTTTGGTTGTTGGTTGTTGGTTGTTGTTTGTTGTTTGTTGTTTGTTGTTTGTTGTTTGTTGTTTGTTGTTGTTGTTGTTGTTGTGGTTTTGGTTGTGGTTGTTGGTTGTTGGTTGTTGGTTGTTGGTTGTTTGTTGTTGTTGTTGTTGTGGTTGTTGGTTGTTGGTTGTTGGTTGTTGTTTGTTGGTTGTTGGTTGTTGGTTGTTGGTTGTTGGTTGTTGCTGCTGCTGCTGCTGTTGGTGTTGTTGTTGTTGTTGTTGTTGTTGTTGTGGTTGTTGGTTGTTGGTTGTTGGTTGTTGTTTGTTGGTTGTTGGTTGTTGGTTGTTGGTTGTTGTTGCTGCTGCTGCTGCTGCTGTTGGTGTTGTTGGTGTTGTTGTTGTTGTTTGTTGTTTGTTGTTTGTTGTTTGTTGTTTGTTGTTTGTTGTTTGTTGTTTGCTGTTGCTGTTGCTGTTGCTGTTGTTGTTGTTGGTGGTGGTGGTGGTGGTGGTGTTGGTGTTGGTGTTGGTGTTGTCGTTGTTGGTTGTTGGTTGTTGGTTGTTGGTTGTTGTTTGTTGTCTGTTGGTTGTTGGTTGTTGATTGTTGGTTGTTGGTTGTTGGTTGTTGTTGGTTGTTGCTGCTGCTGCTGCTGCTGTTGGTGTTGTTGTTGTTGTTGCTGTTGGTTGTTGTTGGTTGTTGGTTGTTGTTTGTTGGTTGTTGGTTGTTGGTTGTTGGTTGTTGTGGTTGTTGTTGTGGTTGTGGTTGTTGTTGTTGTTGTTGTTGTTGTGGTTGTTGTGGTTGTTGGTTGTTGTTGTTGTTGTGGTGGTGGTGTTGGTGGTGGTTGCTGCTGGTAGTGTTGCTGATGATGATGATGATGCTGATGATGATGATGATGTTGTTGTTGTTGGTGGTGGTGGTGTGGTTGTTGTTGTTGTTGATGATGTTGTTCTCGTTATATATTGGTTGTTTGTTCTTCTTTTTTTTTGCTTCCTTGTCTTCTTCTTCTTCGTCTTCTTCTTTTTCTCTTCTTCATATTCTTATTATTCTTCTTCTTCTTCATCTTCTTCTTCGTCTTCTTCTTCATATTCTTCTTCTTCTTCTTCTTGTGTTTGCTTTCGTGGATTGCACCATGTGTGTTGCTCTGTCACTGTGATTGCATAAATGCATACAAATGCCGTAATTTACAACCTGCGCCATGCAGCAGTTTTCATTTTGAGCAAGAGTAAGATGCGACTGCACACCTGAGGATGCTAATCCAAATGAAGAAAGCCTGGAGAACCTGACTCAGCTTTATGTCTTTGTCCCAAAGTCTGTCCAGGTCAATTACTTGCACTATCTTCTGCGGCAGCATTTTCCCGAGGATAGCTGCATTGTTTTTGCTGCCACAATTGAGGAGTGTCAGCTCTACACCACAATGCTGGACATTTTAGGTTTTGAGGTCACAGGCCTTCACTCCCTGCAAACTCAGAGACAAAGGTTAGCCAGTTTGGGCAAGTTCCGAGCAAGTCGGGCCAAGATTTTGATCGCAACTGATGTGGCCGCACGTGGGTTGGATATTCCCATGGTGGCAGTGGTGATCAATTTAGGTTGCTGGCTGATGGTTTCACAATGTTTGTGCATAGTCTTTTTGTTGAACATATTTCCATCTCGAAAGACTGAGAATATATAGCTAGAAGTTATAACATGTTACAATGTTTTTAACAGAAGGCTCCTGGAGATGGCGAGAGAGAGAGAGAGATACATATATATAATTATATATATACACATAGAATAACACAGATGATGATCCCCAAATCACTCATATGTTATTTGATTTAATGACAAATGGTTCAAGCACCATGAAATCCATGGCCAGGTTTGCCCTACGATTCCAACTCCTACGTGCATCGTGCGGGCCGAACCGCCCGCGCTGGACGACCCGGCAAAGTGGTGTCACTGATGAGCGAATTTGACGTGCCCAGAGTGGAGGAAATTGAGAAGCGAATCGGCAAACAGCTGCAACTGCTCGAAACGAAGGACCTTTGCAACGCTTGTTTTTAAAAGACAGTAAAAGATCTAAAAGACATTCTGACTCAAGAAAATAGCCATTTGATTTGACATACGACTTGAATTGCATTGGAGAACCTGGCCAGTCAAAGACATGTTGAGGATTTGAGGATTGTTGAGGTAAATATATAATAAGCTTGTTGCATACCAGTTGTTATTTTGTGGGGCACCCAGCCAAAGGAGGAGGATGCCATCAAGCTGCTTTCCAAGACGAGCAAAGCCCAACAGCGGGCCGAACTTCTACTGTCGGAGGTTGGCTTCACAGATCAAGCATCGGAATACCGAGGTTCATTGAAGGCCAAAAGATCTGATGCCAAAGCTGGCCAAAAAGCTGAGGCTGCCAAGGCCAAGGATTCCAAGGATGTCAAGCTACCTGAGGCTACACTGAAACCAAAGAAGACGCTTGGAAAGAAGAAGGTCAAGAAGCCAACAGAAGCTTCCATTCTGTAGGGTTCGGCTCGTCCAAAGGACCAGCTGCTGACAGTGAGAAACGCGCTGTAAAATCATCCGGATGGCTTTGTGGCCAATAGGTTTTGATGGATAGAATCCATGCAGCACCATTGACATTCATTGAAGTAAACAGTAAACAGTATAAACATGTATAAACAGTCCTGTCAACTGTCATTGCTGCTTCCGAGGCATCCTGCCATGTGCTGACCTTAGCTGGTTTTTAGTGTATGGTTGTAACTATGTGGCTGGCTGAAATGTTGGACTTCGGAGCTGCCTTCAAGATATACTCGCATGATGACAGATCCATAGGTTGAACATGTTTGAATAAATTATGAGACTGGCATGGGTTTTTTCATTGGTATTTCTGTTCCTGCTGGGCATAGGTGTTTTGCCATGTTCTTGAGCTGTTGATTCCTCAAAGAGGGCGAATTTGCATTTGCATGAATCTGAACGAGTCAGCCTACAGTAGAAACTTCAAAGAAACAGGATGGGTTTGAAGTTTTCTAGCAGTCCATTATTCTGATGTAGTGCAGATGGCGATTTCTAGCAGAAACATTGTTCAACTATGTTCAACTCACCTGGGTGGCTTTTCAGGATCGTTTTTCTTTGAGTCGCATTTGCCATATTAGCATATATTTGCCTATGCAATCCTGTGCATGTCTATAATTGTTTGTGTGAATCGCTCAAAGATCACCATCAACCAGCAATCAACCAGCAATCAACCACCAATCAACCACCAATCACCCACCAATCAACCACTAATCAACCACCAATCAATATCAATCAACCAGCAATAAACCACCAATGAACCACCAATCAATAGACACAGATTGCCCAATCTTCGCATCGCTTGAAATGGAGCCATGTCCCGATCCAATACGCCCCCGGGGCGGAACCAGAAATCCAAGGACGGACGCAACATGAACTGATTAAGCCGGAGATAGATTCATTGGGGATGTTTTATAAAACACCTGGTTGAACCAATTATTATAGGGGGTTGTACTACCTGATAAAAATTGGGGATGATGAACTATTGCATCAATTTGCATCAATTTGCATCAGCCAAAATGGGAACCCCTATCGACCAACCAGTAGGTGATGGCTCAGGGTTTTGAACACTGCTCTTACCCTCTGGTAATTTAACATAGCTATTGAAAATGGCCATTTATAGTGGATTTTCCCATTAAAAATGGTGATTTTCCATAGTTATGTTAAATTACCAGAGGGTATGTTGTTGCCTTTCAGAGCAGATCAGTACACCCACAGAGACCACTTTACAGGCTGAAAAATGTGCAGCTGCATCCATTGGATGCACACCTTATTCGACTCGCGGCGCATTGTGTGAGTTGATTCTAGCACGGTTTGGACCATTGCCCTTCATACTTGTCCCTGAAACACCTATATAAGTCTTTGGAATGCGTACCGTGGTAGAGGTGATTACCCTTCTGTCCTACTCTGTCCTATAATTACTAAAATCCTACTAACGGGATTTAAAGAATGGGATCCTCATGAGATCAATGGGATTTAATGGGATTTAATGGGATCCTCATGAAAAACTACAAAGGGGATCCAAGGGGCACCATTTCCATCCATTTCCTTCTCCTGTCAGGAGAAGCCGGAGAAGGTGCCCAGCAAGCAGACTCTGGAGGTGCCATGGCACCTGGCATGTGCTGTTCATGGAGCTGTTGTGTGTAATACACCATATACAATGCATATATATATATACATATAGTACATAGACCGATACCCAATTAGTCATGACTAAAGATGTGATATTTAGTGGTATTGGATGATATTAGTATAGTGGTGTATGTGTGTGTCTTGTGCGTCGTTTTTGTGACAATATGTTGATATGGTTTGTCCATGTTTATCCGCCGAGGTCGCCAGCTCCAGTAGCCACCAGGTAGCACAACAACCGGGGACGCGAAGGAGCGCGGTGGAGACACTTATGACTCTATGACAGATGTTAAAATGATGAACACATGGTGAAAAATGCTGAACATTGTATGAAGAGAGGATGACATTCTTGAGCACATTCTTTGCCACTGCCACTTTTTTGTTGTTGTACATGTTTAGTCCAACCGTCTCCAGAAGTGCAGCTAATGTCCTCAGTCCTCGCTGTGAAGCTTGAGAGGGGGAGAGGGATGGCCACAGGAAGGAAGAAACTGTGCGCAGACATTCAGCGCATGTCCGCAGCAATTCAGCGCAAGGCTGGACAACCGCATTCCGGGCTTGTGCGCTGCTATTTTTCTGCAATGCAGCAAAAGTATCCAGAAGTATTCGCTTGCTTCCGCATAAAATTTGCTCTTCAATTCTTTCCAGATCTACTTTCTAGATCTTTCTAGAACATGTTGAATCAGAATGCAGGTAGATATTACATTAGATATTATTAGTATACATATTAGCTAATTCAAGGCCTCTTCCCCACCCAAAACATCCCTTTCAGGGCTGAAAAGCAGCGCCTCCACGACCTCGGCGTCCTCGTTCCTCTTCGATGCCCAAGCGAAAGGCCAAGGCTCCGAGCGCTTGAGCGCGGCCACGGAGGCGGCGGTGCAGGATATCGCCAGCGAGATCTTGGGAGAGGAGGGGACGATGTCGTTGGACTTTGAAAGCAGAACATGATGACCAAAAATGGGGATGTAAGATGATGTAAGATGGTGGAATAGTGTTTTTTTTCAGATTTTTTCTGTTTACTGTCAAACCTGGGGATGATCATAGTTATAATATAGTTATATTATATGTTATTATACTGGTTCAACAAGATGACATGATTAACGATTTTAATGGGTTCCTTGAGGAGTGAAAGACAATCACAGACTGGAAAGGAGGAACTAGCGTAGCCGATTTTCGCCGATTTTCGGATTCCACAAGTGCTGATTTCTGATATTTCTGGTGTGGTTGCCACACAGCGACTGATGGGTTGGTGATTTGGGAATCGAAGATATGAGGACTGCCCACGTGTCACAAAGGGACCAACGGGACCAAAAAAGGGGTGTCTCTGTGAGGACACGGCCCCCAAGCCTGGCCTTCAAGCCACTTGGTGCAGCCCAACCCATGCCTGCTGTGATGGAATTAAGACGTGGATGCGTGTTTTCTGTGTTTTTGTGGGCTTCATGGTCAGAAAGTATTTGCTTTGGCTGTCACAGCTGACGCACTTGGAAAGAACACAATGGAAGTGAATGGATGTCAAGTCAAATGTCAATGGTGCGGTTTTCAGTTCAGCAAAGGTTGCCAGTTGCCCTGTGGATCCATGGGCTTCAAGTGACTCAGAGTCCTCTGAGAAGGCGATGGCTGGGGCTGCAAAAGTTAAGCCATGGTCCCGATAGTTAGGGTAGATGGATGCTTAATTATGGCATGGTTAATCATCATTCACCTTAATAATAACATATAATAACATATAATAACTTAATAAGATTGCCATTTGGGCAGGGTTATACCATGTTATACCCAATTTTCAGACAAAGCCATGTCATGTTTTGTCACGCCCAGTTGTTTCTGATTCCGCAGATCCTCATGCAGGGGGAATCAGAGCAGCCAGCCTTGCAAGATGCTCCGGCAGCATCTTGGCTGTTGGGCGGGTTGGAGAACTTCCTGTCAAGGTAGCCGAATGTAGCCGATAGTGTTAGATTTGTTCATGGATTTTAAATGATTTTATTATGGTCAATGCGATTTTAAAATATTTTAAATGAATTCATAAGTGTAATGTACTTTTACATAAACATATTAAATTGATCTATTTTGATCTTGTCTCTGGGATTGAGGGCTTCCCACGGCTTTGAGGCCTCCATGTCTAGCACAGCCCAATCGTCTGTTCCATCAGCGGAACCTGAAGTTGAACTTGAGCCACCAGGCCGCTCTGATGGGGATGAGCTCAACTGTCAGGACTTTGGTCCACTGGTTTCACATATTAGATGCATTGTTGTAACTACGTGTGACACACACACATTATATATAATGTATATATATATATATTATTTATCTTCCATGCTACCTATGGGATGGTCCCAATTGATTCCAGTTGCTTTCAGTTGACTCATCTGAGATTCTGCGGGGCAGTTGACACCAGCAGGGCATTCTGCCTCCGCAGACACCTCAGCCGCGGAGGCTCCAAATCGGTCCTGAAGGCGGCGCGACTCCATCGAGCGTTGCTGAAAGTGCAGACCAATGCCTCGCAGGGGAAGTTCGCGGAGGTCCACCAAAGCAGTGTTTGGGTGTGTTTGAAAAACATGAAAACGATAAATGCTGGTTGGTGATTTGGAACATGTTTTATTTTTCCATATATTGGGAATAATAACCCCAACTGACTAATATTTTTCAGAGGGGTTGAAACTGGTCTAATAATTACGCTATTATGGCCATTTCGTACGGAAACTGACGATCAACCAGCGGATGGAATGGGGCCTATTTCCAGAAAAATGAGGAATCGCCAGATGGTAAAGCAACAAGTCCTGCTAGGAAAAACATCCAACAAGTCCTCCGATTGTTGGAGTATCCTACCATATCCTGCCCATGAATTCCGTCATGACTGCAGGCCATCCAAGACTGCTTGCCAGCCTTACTTGGACCTCAGGCTAGGCGAGTTCACGCGAGTAGCACTTCATTTCTTAGTCTCCGTTCAGTTGGATAACCTTCACATTTCAAGGTGATTTAAACAAACTATGATGTGATTGCGTGCGGATACCTATCTTGGGCCTAGCCCACCCTGATCGTCAGGAGGTTGTGGACATTGTCGGAAGCCTGTGTGCAGCATGGCAGGCCAGCATCAAGAAGCAGAAAAGAGCACCTTGGCTCAGCCCACCCAGACATGTCTTGAATTGGGACACCAAACCATTCATTGGTCTATGGATGTCTATGGTCTCTCCCAACATTTTTTTTAATGTTATCCATTCTCCCAACATGGATAACGATTAGATAACGATTATTATTAGGTTATCCATGGTTATCCATGTTATCCCCCGACTGATAATCGCCCTGGCGAGGAACACCAAGATGCCATGGAGGCCTTGGTTTCGGAGGCCTTGGAGATTTGCTGAGTCGCAAATCGCAGATCCAAATCATTCCAAATCTATATAATATATATATAGATATATATATATATATATCGGTTATATAATGTTATATAATTTAAAAAATATTAAAAACATATATATGGGTTATATGGTTTTGTCATGTTTTGTCCAAAGATTGCTGGATATGTGGTGGAATTACCCACCATCATAATTCAATGGCAATGATGGCCATGTGATATGTGAATGGGAAAATGGTGCTACGATGTGATACGCGGAATAGATTCATTAAACAAAACATAAGAAATCAAACCCTGCAGAAATCTACTGTAGCTTGATATAGCTGGTGTAGCTTCGTTTTCCTAACAGTTAGGACCACCAATGGTCTCAGATGACTCGGGGAATTAGGCGAAAGACGTGCACAGCGTCACGGCTTTTAGGGACTGATGCGAACATATGCGAACTAATGCAGCTCTGTGTGTGTATAGCATTTTTGCTCACAGCCCGAGACTTGTGGTAATTTGCTCAGCAGCCATGGCGCGATACACTACCCATGATTCATATGAATCATGTGAACCCAGGCCCAGAGAAGCTGTATAGATCTCGGTCACTAGCAGGTTTTGTGGAGAATCACTGCCGTGACTTACAATTCCAAATTATTATAATATCTATTTACCAGCACCTGCGTGTGTTGTGCGAGTTGTTTGAGTGAAAGGTTCTGCAACTTTTTCCGGGCTGACCAGTCATTGTTTGGCTCAAGTCCACTCTGTAAATCTCTGTGATAAGGCGGTGGCCGCAGCTGCGGATTCGTTCCTCGCAATGCCGCGGTTGATGTCGCAGCCCAGTGCGCAAGTGGTCATGGTGAAACATCCGCAACGCAGTGGTGCATTGGGTTTTGCTGCTGGACTTGTGTTTCTTAGTTTTGTCAGCAAATTTAGTGAGCGCGTGCAGATGTACAAGGCCAAAACTATGAAAGTCAAAGGCAAGAAAGAAAAGCCGGTGGAAGGTTTGGCAGATTTGATGAAGGGTATACTTGCATCGACCTGTAGTTTTCGAGAAATGCTGACTGTTACAAAGCTGTCCCTCATGTTGCTTTTGCGAACGGTTGGCTCCGTTTGGGTTTCAAAGCATTGGGGTAGCATCGTCAACTCGGTGGTGTCTCAAGACTTCAAGCGGCTTGCAAAGCTCGTGTCTGAGTTTGCTGGGGCCACTGTGCTCCTATCCTTCTTGAATGCCCTCCTGAAGTACTACATCAGTGCTCTTCGACTACAAGTTCGAGAGAAGATCACCCTGTGGTGCCACGACAAGTATATGCGTGCACAGGATATGATCTTCTACAAGGCCAACAAAGTGGGCAAGAAGATTGAGAATTGTGATCATCAGATCACCTCAGATGTAGAAAGATTTTCCGAAGTCTTCGCAGAGGTTTTCTCTCAATCCTTGAAGCCCATTGTGGATTTCCTGGTATACTCTGTGGAACTTAGCCGTGTACAGGGCCTTGCCACCCCGCTGACCTTGTACTCCTGGTTCGCACTGGCCTCGTGCATCTCTGCAGTGACTTTGCCACCTTTTGGTGAGTTGGCTGCTACAGAGCAGACGCCTGGATTTAGTTGGGTCGATGTGAGGGCTATGATGGGGTCATGATGGGGATTTCAATGGATATATTCGGATATATAATGGGGGTTTAATATGGTTTAATGGGGTGCAATGGGATTTGCTGATTTTGCTGATGATTTTGATGACTTTGCCATTTGTTAAAGCCCAGGAAGCTGGAAGGAAATTTCCGCGGAAAGCATTCCGAGCTCATCACCAATTGTGAGCAGATTGCCTTTTTGGGTGGAGAGCGTCCTGAAAAGGATGTTCTCAATATCTCCTTTGCGGAGCTCATGACCCACTGCCGGCGAACCATCAATGCCTCCTTCAACTCAGAAGTTCTGCGACAATACCTGAACAAATATTTTTGTACAGTCATTGGGCTGGTTCTCATTGCCAGGCCCTTGCGTTTTCGTGCCCCTGAAATGGGGGAACTTCGAAATGACCAAATTGCGCAGTACTTCACCTCCACCTGGAGAAATATGGAGGCCATGGCCACAGCCATTCAGGACCTTTTTGAGCTCACGAATCGCATCGGTCGCCTGAGTGGCTTCGCCACTCGCGTCAGGGAACTCATGGTGGGTCTACAAGTGAGGCCGCCTGTACTGGCAGAGGAGATTGATGCAGCCAAGCAAGGTGTGGTTCATAGCCAAAGCTCCTGTTGGATCTTTTGGTTGGTGGTTAAGATTAGACATGATTAGACCAGGTTAAGAACTATTCAGACTGGCGCAAGGTGGTTTTACATGGTTTACCACTTCAATCATGTCCATTTAGTCATTATATAATTATCGGTTTCATTGACGAGAATTCGTATTGATTGAATGTGAATGAATGTGATATTTGTTGCATGTTACTGTGAGATGCTGCAACCCATTGCATCCCACTGGAAATCCTTTTGAAGCACCCAGTCGGACCAGTCCACTACCAGTATCGTCAAAATGACCGAGGTGCTCATCCACCAGTCTTCCAGAAGGGTGAGCACCTTCAATTCGAGCATGTTTCAGTGTACCGGCCAGATGGAACTCTGCTGGTGAAGGACTTGAACTTCACCGTTGAACGGGGTCAAAGGCTCCTGGTGACCGGTGGCAACGGCTGTGGCAAGTCGAGCCTCTTTCGGGTCATTCGGAAGCTGTGGCCACTGGTGGAGGGGACAATCACCATGCCACCGGATAAGGAGATCTACTTCCTGACCCAAGTGAACTTTGTCCCTTGTGGTTCATTGCGAGACTTGGTGATATACCCACAATCCCACACAGAAATGCTGGCTTCGGGAAGAACAGATGAAGATGTTCGAACCTGCCTGCGCTGGGCCCATGTCTCACCTACAGTGATTCATGATGGCAGAGCGCAGCTGGAGTTCAACGATCAGGGCTACGTGGTCCGACCTGGCTTGAATGATGTGAGGGATTGGCAAAAAGACCTGTCACCTGGCCAGAAGCAAAGACTGGCATTTGCCAGGTTGTTTTACCATAGACCCAGCTTCGTGGTTTTGGATGAATGCACCAATGGTATTTCACCAGATGTGGAACATGATCTTTATGATCGATGTACTCGCCTGAACTTGGCTGTTTTCTCCATATCACACAAGATTGAACTCAAACTCTTCCACGAGAGAGAGTTGCACTACCATGGCGACCTCAAAGGCTCATGGACGATGAGAGAATGTTCACAGACCCGGGACAAGATCACAAGGGCATCTTCCACAGTGAAGCTCCCTGAGCCTGACAAGTCAGGCAAGAAGGAATCCAGAATAACATATGAGCGACACATATGGTTTGCAGAGTAAAATCAGAGTGATATGATGTGCTGGTTGTGATTCTGTGATGGATGGGCTAGCCGTGACACAGCAAGGTGTCCGGCAATGTCCACCTTGCCCCGTGGGTTGTGCAGTCCAAGTCTAATCAGCTTCACGGGGTAAGTATCGAAAATGGCGGGATCGTGTATTTCGCACGAAGTCCCATATGGAAGTGCAAGAATGACACGCAAAGAACGGGAAAAAAAGGCTTGCAGACTTACAGGTAGCGTTCGCTTGCAAAGCAGCCTTGAATAGCGTTGAAGATTTGATTCCAGCTTGAAGTTCTGCAGACCACAGGTTCTGCTTGGGCATTTAGCTCCACAAGTGAAGAGTTGTTTCGCGTTGTTTCGGTGATTTTGGGAGGAGCATCAAAGCTGTGGACAGCATCCACATCGCGAAGCTTCGCCGTGAACAAGAAGAGCTGCAAAATCAGCCAATGAAAGCTGTTGACAGCATTGCTGTGACAAAAGCTCGCCGTGAACAGGCCCAGATCTCCAGGGATGTCATCTGATGTCACTGGGCAGGGCAGTTTGGCGGTTTGGCAGTTGGTCATCCATGGTCATATCCGGACCGGACCAAGGCCAAAAGGGAAAAGGACAATGACCAGGTGGAAAGGGAGGCTGGAATGATTTGGATTTGCAGCAGGGCAAAAATCGGGTCAGATATTCTCAAGAAACATGACGCACAGTTCCAAGAAACTCCAGTCAAGAATGGATAATGTGGCCCATTTCTGTGAGTTACAGCAACTGCCCATGGGGACGATTGTTTGTTTTCTCCTGAAAAAGATCCATCCTATTTGTTGACGATTGTAGCAGCTCTGCCAAGATGAATGGCATCAACGTGCATCCATGTGCCAGGTCTCCAACTTCAGTGCAAGAGCAAACACCATGTATCAGCAAAAGAAAGAGCAAAGAGAGAAGGCCAACAGGCAGATCTGAGCTGCGCAGCTAGCTGCGCTGAGCTGTGAGACTTTGGCAACACGTTCTTCTTGGGGATGAGGTGGCAACAATCAAATGGGAAAATTGTTATGTTCAATAAGAAAGTATTGGAGAACTATGGAAAACCAGAAAACCATTGGAAAACCATGGAATCAAATTGCGATAGTTGTGGGCGTTCCACTGCCACCATCAGCTCCACATGTACGATGCAGGGCACTCAAGAAGCTCAGGGAGGATTGGCTGAATAAAGTTCGTCGCAGCGTGTCTTGACCAAAAGTTTGCCAGGCACTGAGGGATCTCAAACACCGTGTGGCCTCAGCATTTTGCTAAGGACGTCAAGCCGGAGAATTTGCGTGCGATGATGCAAGGGCAATTTGGTTGCCTAAGCATCACAAACCAGATTGTTCTTCATGGTCAGATTCATGTTTGATGCTGTGATGACTTAGACATTCAGAATCATTTTTGATTCTATCAGAGATCAAAGAAAATGCGTTGAATAGGAGCCATGAGGCACCCAATCTGAGATCGTTTCGGCCTCGAGATTGATGTTGTTCGCTTGCTTGAAGGCACTTGGATGCAGAGGACAAGCTCATGCGATCCTTCCTTCGGATGCCTTGACCTTACAGGGATTTACAGGGCATCCAGCCGCAGCATGTCATAAAACGGGAAGATTTTTGCAGTTAACACATGGTTCAACGGAAAGATTGAACATTTATAATTATAACCCCGACGGTCAACATAATGAAAATGTAAGCCATGTGTTTTGTTTTGTGGCTTAAAATCCCCCCTCAAACATCCAGAGGATTGATTGATGAATCAATATATAGATTGAAATCATTTGAAATCGAGAAAATTGAAGCCACGAAAAAACTGAGATGCTTTGATGGCCCAGTGAATGCAACCCGTCAAATTGCTTGAACTCCATTGAGGTGGACCACTGCAGATTTCTCGCCCATTGCAGTCTTGGGCCAGGTGCCGCGCTTCACGAAAATGTGGCATTGTAGCCATGAAACATCAAACGCTTGGGACTGGCTCAGAAAGCGCGGACACAGAAACAAAGGGTTGGGCAGCTTTTTTTTTTGACTTAACATAGTCAACAGAGTCAACAACATGATTTCGAGTGAGTGTCCGCATCAGATGTATGTGGGATGATGTCGCTGCTCAGGGCTCCTTTGGAACAGTGCACCTGGTCAGGCGGATCTCACGTGTATGAACTCCGAATTATTGTGGAACCCAATGACGCAGCAAAATTGCCATGTCCATCCATTTCCATCCATTTCCCATCATTTCCCATTAAGCAGCGGCCAGGTGTACCAGCAATGAGCAGATCTACGCATTGAAATGTATGAGCCCAGTGCTTGGTGAATAGTGCAGGAGGAGTTAAACATATGAAACATTATAGTTGATGCCTGGATGTTCCTTGCACCAGCGCATCCAGTAGCAGTTTCATGTCAGGCAAAGCCTACTACAAACGGAAGAATTCCTTGGCCATGAATGAGCGCGACGCGCTATTGGGCGATGGCTTATTGGACAAGACAGATCGATGGTGTGCTCGGTTGATGTGCTCCTTTCAGGCTGGCAGGGCGAAGTTGCTAAAATATGTTGAAACCATGACATCCTACCATCATGGCACATTATGGCACGCGGTGTCCCTTGTAAACTGGGAAACACCAAGAGGTTCAAAAAGTTTCTCATAACCTACGTGGTCTAGCTCAACATATAGTTTGAGAGCAATAGATTGGTGATATCACATGACAATGCAATGTATTGATATATATATATGTTGTAGGTTCGGGGTCGGAACGTTTGGTATGTGCACTGGACGTTTGTCCTGAACTGCACTTGCAGGATGCTTCAAACCTGTTTCTGGTTATGGAGTTCATGCAGGGCGGAAGCCTCGCAACACATCTCTCCAGGAGCGAATGCGGTGATTCTGAGCTGTGTGACCCTGTATCCATTGCTCATTTGCCCGGCAGCATTTTTGCGTTGTTCTTTTGGTTTGCCACTTGAGAGATTAATGCAATGCTCAAGATTGCTTAAGTCTGGAGGAGAGGCAGACTGTCTTTAGAAGAGACTGCCTTTTACATCGCAGAATTGATTGAAGCTGTAGATGTGATCCATGTGACCTTCGGTACAATCCACCGAGACTTGAAACCAGTTCCTTGGCACCGCCATGCACCGCCATAACCTCGACCCATCGCAGGCCTGGCGCTGAAAATATCCTGTGCACTAAGGACAATCTGATGCTGACTAAGAAGGGCCACTTGAAACTGTTTCTTGGTCGAACAGTTTGGTGCTGTGGTGGTTGGCGATGTTTGGTTTTGGTATGTTTTGCTCAGACAACGTCATATTTACATATTTACCTTGGTACGGCCTTTTTCATTTGCAGCCCAGCCGTGCCAAATTCCGCATGTATTCCACATGTTCACCGTCGTTCAAGATCCTTTGCTTGCCTGAGTTGCCCGGGTTGTAGCCATGTTCCTGAAGGCCCAAGGGGTCGTTGGATTTAGTCTCATGGTTGGTGCTTCATGGTGCCTACATGTTTTAAAACTCTTCTTGTTGCAAGTACTATATCTAGATTCCTGGGTGTTGAATGCTTTGGGGTTGTTGTGGCAGCACAATATGTGTTAGAGGATCATAGGTGAGGCCCGTATTATTCTATATAGTGTGTATATACAGTGTGCGTGTTTGTTTTAACTAATGACTTTAAATGTTACCTTCATTACGTGCAAATCCCTCTCACATCAAGTCAACATGGTAAACTGTCTCTGCGTGTGTCCCACTACTGGTCCGCAAATTCTTTCCAAACAAAATGTATCACACCCAGGCAGGAATTGACCAGTCGCACTCTGAAATGAACTCGCAGCAGATGAATCAAGTTGTGTCATGTTGTATCCATTTGTGCTGGTATCTTCTATGTTCTGAATTGATTTCAGTTGATTTCCTCATGGGAGATCTCTGTTCTCAGATCTGCTGCTCTGCTTAACGCGCGCTAAGTCTGGACTTTGGACTCTCAGCTGGGCCTTCGGAGCAAGATGATGGTCGTCCGGAGATTGTGGGAACTCCAGCGCCTCGGAAAACTCTCGGAGATGGCAAGGGAGAGAGAGAGAGAGATCTTTATTTCCGATTGGATGCTAATATCAATCAGAAATGAAAGATTGATGATTGGTTGCTGCTTCACATCCAGGGAGTAGATGTCTCATGACTGGAATTTTGCAGCTGCTTTTGCACAATTTCCACTGCCCGGCTGGCAAAAAGGCAGAGAATCGACATAGGTAATTTAGTCTTGGGGCTTGGTGGTTCGAACATCATCGTGGCCGCGCAGTTGTCTATGCAATACACTTTCCAAAAATGGTATACCCCCTGGTAATTTAACATAGCTATTGAAAATGGCCATTTATAGTAGAATTTCCCATTAAAAATTGTGATTTTTCCCATAGTTATGTTAGTTTACCAGAGGGTAGAAAAAGCAACGGGCAGAAATCGAAGAAAAACGGGTTGCATGAGGTTTGCGGGCTCCAACAGCATTTGGGCAACGTCAATCCACAGACTGTGGTAAACCCAACAGTAAACCATCCCTAATTTTATCAGAAATAGGTGGAATATAGTCATACAGTTAGCCAATTGAAGGTTCATAGTTGGGTTTTGCATGGTTTTGCCACATCATGCATATTTCGATATATTTTGATATATTTTGTTGGTTGAATCATGTAACAAATCCCATAGTATCCCCATGGTGGGTGAGTTAAATCATCTTCACCAAGGCCTATATGGCGCCAGAGTCCTTCAAAGGCTTCAGCCAGGCGAAGGCCGACATTTGGGCCATCGGAATCATCACCTACGAGCCATGGCTGGACGAAAGCGGTAGCTTTCGTTTGGATGGCTAGCTTTCGTTTGCAAAAGCATCGGGATTTAGGAGTACCAGGGCAGCCATGGCATATACATGCGTATAATATTTATATATATATATATTATAATTATATAATAAATAAATATATATATACCCTAGAAAAAGACAAAAGCTGAAATTCATAGATTTGCACTTCTAGGTATATGGATGAATCAAAGGATGTGTCACTGAGAATCGTGCAGTGATGTGGCCACTCCAACTTTCAGCTCAGGAATGCCTAACTGGCCTTCTTCCGTATGATGAAGATGACTCGTACGAGAATTTTGCTCAGCAGTTGGAACACTTGGAAGATCAGGCAAACAACATCGAGACGGTTCTTCCCCCGAAATTAGATGCGGCCCATGACCTTCAGTCCGTGCTGGGTGCAACAGTCATTGGTCTGCAGAGGGCTGGGGAAAAATTGCCTAAAATACTGGCTCATCTCTGGGCTGTGGACCTCTTATTTATTTGATGAAAATAGATAATGTTAAAAAAAAACAACATAGAAACCTGAACATTGCTCAATTGATGCTTGTTTGATTTAATGTGTCGTTGTACATGTCCTTTGTTCAATGACTAAGAAGTTTAAGTATGTTCAATCGAATCATACCCCAGAGAGTGAATCATAACAATCCCAATATGTGAATCAATAACCGCAGAGAACAAACAAACGAAAGAGGTGATGGGGAGAATCATACAATGCTTCACGATTATTGTCATATCACAAGTTATAAGTATATAAGTATAAGATAGGATAACCATGTAAAACCAATGAATTGTTGTAGGGTATGTTTATTATTATTGCGCAATTGTTTTTTTTAATGGTTTATGCTTGTGTGTGTGTGTTTCAATTTTCCTCATGCTGACTTTGACTATCACTCACTGCCACTTTCGTCAAAGAATCAAGCATTTAAGTCATCAGCTATGTCCATCCCAAAACCTTCACCATAGAGAACATCATTCTTTTGACATGTATTTTGAAACCAAAAGTACGCTAACCTACTACTGAACTTGCACGGTTCAATTATGCTGTATGTTCTGTAAACATCGCTCAAAGCTGATCGCATTCATAATCGTGTTATACTGTTATACAAGAAAAAGTCATCATAACTCTCAATTCCTTATCATAATCTGATCATCTCTGATGAACGTCAATGGGATTTCCATGATTTTCCCATAGGTTCATGTACTGGTATTTTTTTTTCCTATGCTCGTCCGGCTCGTCCCCCATTGGTTGCTTCAACTGACATCCTAGGCCGCCAAGTTCAACAAGGCCCGTCGCTTCGTCGAAGGAGTGCTCCGTTCCAACGAAGACGAGCGGCTCTCCCTGCGGCGCTGTCGGAAGGAGGCGGCTGGGCCCGTTTGAGGCAGAGATTCCCACAGTTTTCCCGGCGATACCGTATAGAATCGTATAGATATTTATTCGATAGATATTCCATAAATATCATATAGATATCACAAAAAAGAATAGATGTGGAAAGATAAGACAATGAAAGATATGGCATATCAGATATGGATAGGCGAAATTTCCATAGTGGGATCATCAGGCCCTTCCAAAGACCTGAATATGAATGGACCATGGCGCAATGGTTGAACATTCACACTGCTGATGTTGGTGTGTCAGGGCTGATCATGAATGCTAGAAATCAGCCAACCGCCCTGCGGGTGGTGAGCGCCTGGAAGTAGAATCTAAAATGGAGACATCATCCGCAATAGTCGCAGAGCATGATTTTTTGTGCCCCGAAATCAGATGCATGATTGAACGATCTGAAGCCTCACAAAAAAAGCAATAAAAAGCATTTGCGGTTATGCTCGTGGTTGAATGATCTTTTGAGCTGTGGGCTGCATGTATTCGTCCAAGATGACATAGCAAACCTGTGGTTTGTAACTGGACTGGATGTCCTATTTGGTGTTGGTGTTTCAAACATTCTGTAGGATGCCGCATGACCCAAGTGGCCAGATATGCTAAGCACCTCAAGCAAAGGCTTTCTTCTGAAAAGGCTCCCCTCATCAATCCAAGCCCACATGTGTTTTAATTCAATGATTGAGCACCCGTCAAGGCAAGACGGCACTTACTTATCAGTATCATTGGCTCGTGTGAACAGAACCGGAACCCAATTGGGCTACGGACACCCGCTGGATCCCGCTGGGCTGAGGCTTTCTTTGAGGAGTTGGACTTTGGATATTTGCACAGGATGAAGCCGCCAATCAAAATCCAGGCGGCTGTTCTGGTTAACGGGGTGAACCTGATGCCATAGATTGCCATAGCATTAATATACCATTTGGGGATGGTTTCCCTCCCACCCATCTGTGGTATCTATATGATTCTATATAGTATATAGGTACTTGGGGATGGTCTATGAGTCCATGGCATTGGCTTTACCACGTTACGTTACAGGGGACCCGGCCATGTTTCAATTTCGAAATATTTCGAACCATGAATTGATGATTCGTTTCTGATGCGTTTCCTGTCTCCAGCCTAGGTGAGCAGTGAGACAGACTTGGAATATTTTGATCTTTTGCCGTGCCTTGGCAGCACAGCAGGCATGTGAAAAAACGCTAGCGCAGTCGATGTGGCCAGCTCCAAGGCCAGTCGATTTGCCAAAGCCACATCAGATTGCAGCTTCTTGGTAGATCTTGGTAGCAATGGTAGCAATGGTGCCGGGATGACCCAAAACAATCCAAAACAGCTGTGAATTACGGGATTCAGTTTTATTTTTGGGAGCTGCCCTGCGGCTATATAATGTTCACCAAGCGACCTAACAATCTCTGAGGCCTGTGATGCCAGTCTGGACTGGGTGGGCTTTGACCTTGATGCCCAATTCCACAAAGCCACAAGGGGCTACTGAATTCGATGCACATCCGATCCATGAAAGAAGGGCAGACAACTTAGGCGACTCAATTTTTGTCACACTATCACCTTATAGTAGCCATTATAGACCATATACCTAATGGTTGGGTGATGTTCAATGGGGACATTTAATGACCCATGTATCTTATCTTGCAATGCCTTTAAGATGTCGTGCCTGAAGTGTACAGTGGAGAAGCTGCTTCCCCTGTGGAACTGTCCAGAAACGCCGCAGCTGCTTTCCTCTTTTGCGTTTGGACAGAAATTTGTCTGGCCTGGGTGAGGGGTGCCAGCATGTTCACACTGGCGTCACGGAAGTGGTGAACATGTAGAACATGTTTGATACTGCAACATTGGTAGTCTTATAGTCATGAGACATGAAATCAATTCCAAATGGACTATATAGGTTACTAGCATTACATATATAATCATATATATATATATACGTGCGTGTGAGTATAGCATACTATATATACTATGGCATATTGTAGCAGTCTTAGACCGGACGTCAGGGCTCTACCATTGGACCTGGCGGAACTCACCTTTGAAGGAATTCAGTGGCTTTCGGCCCTACCATGGCATGTCTCCAACTGTTTGCTCCGTGGCACGGTTGATTTTACGTGAAAAAATGCCTGGAACTCAGCCAGGAAGCTGTTGTCGTGCCACAGGAGCCTAGGTTACCAGGTTCTCGACTGGTGTATGTCCAGACCCATACACTTCCGTCGATTTTCAGACAGGAGGTCACATAGCAGTGACTTCTGATAAGAATGCTGTGAAGAGCACGATCCTTCAAATATGGGAGGACATGCTATTCCTTTTCTACAGGAAATTCACTACTTAGTTGACCTCCTCCATGCATAGTTTGACGCGGTAAGTTGTCAGCAAAGCTGAACTGCATCACAGACCATCGCTCGCGCGGGCATTGCTTACCGTTCGCAAGGCCCAAAAATCAAGGACATGGATTGAAAGTTGAGGGTGTACCCGGATTCCAGTTGGTCATCCATTGTCGAGGCGTGCCGTTTTCCCAAAAGCATTGCTTCAAGGCCTTCCAAGAATATCTTCGGATTATCAATATGATTAGTTGCCGGATGTTTCCGGTCAATAATAGTATGAACATCCAAGTCACCCAATCCATTGGAAAGAGAGATTTGCAAACATGAACATCCCAAAACTGACTCTTCTATTATATAATTATATGTTCATTTATCTTCGAATGTTCTATTTGACATTTACCCCCAAAAAGATAGCACAGTATGTTTTACCACTACATTTTAGGGTTGGATTTGTACGTGTCTATCTTTTTGGGTGGTTCCCATATAGTTCTTCATACTTGGGATGCCAGGTGACGACTGCGCGGGAGAAAGATTCGCCAGAAGTTTGGCGCTTGCTGGAGGAGATTGACGAGAAGGAGACGGAATCTTGACTCTAAAAAGATTAAAAAGATGGGTCGGTCATGCTTGGTCCTGTAAAGGGTTCTTCATGGAATTATTGCCAATTTAAAGAGGAAAAGTGAAAGTGCAATGGGGAACATGATCAACCATGATCAGCCAACGATTTGTTGGATGTGTCCGATTTTCAGGGGATGTTTCATATGTGCCATGCAACAAAGATATGGGGGATCATGTTTGTTTAATCAAACGAAATGATCCAAGATGAGTATGGCCCTTTTCGGGCTCACAAGACAATGGCAAGATAGGAAGGCTATGTTGGAGGGCCTCAAAAGGAAATTTCAGAGGGTGGCTCTCAAACGATGAGTAGCCTTTGGACACGTTTGATTCTTTAGTGCTCCTTTTGCTGGCTCAGGAAGTGACAGAACAAATGCAACGACGAGCAGAGCTTCAAGAACTGCTCGCTACGATGGAAGAGGAGATTTGTCTAAGCGGCTAAGCTCAGCTGGTAGATGATCCCCCGCTAGTGGGATACGGTCTGGGAGAACGATGGGTCCCCTGCAAGGATAACGCAAATAAACCATCTGCATGCAGTCTGCAGATGCCGGAAATATGTGCGCTACTTCTGCCGAGCGCTTGTGAGGAGCTTTCAAGTACCAGGAAAGATCTGAAGGCGGCCACATTTGAAAGGAAGTCAAGCATGACCTTCACTTGCAATGTTTTGATGTCTCCTCTAGCAATCAAGCATGGCAATGAAAAGCTCATGCGAACAAAACAGCTCATGAGTTGATTTATATAATATATCACCTGGTCATGCCCCCATGATTCTCCTACTAAAAGTGGTGATCATTGCCATGTTGTGGGAGGCATCTCAGCAGCGCGCGGACCAGTGGCGGAGACTCAAGGCTTCGGAGTCCGGAAGATTGGACTTGTGATGACTTGTGAGTTATTTATAGTTAGTTCATGTTATTTCACTATCCATTCTGATATGATTAGCCATGACTAAGGACCACGATGATACGGTATTTGTTTGAATGTATTTATTAGATGTTACCAGGATTTTCTAGATTTTACGAACTCTACGAACATTTAGATTTTCCATCGGTGCTGGCAAGCTGCAGCTGCCATGCCCAGGACGAAAAGGAGCGAGAGCTCTTTGCCCAGATCCGGAAGCGCGAAGATGCCGAGCGAGAGGTGCCGTGATTTCAAAAGTCCCAGGCATTGGGTTGGAACAGAGGGGATAGCCCAGTGAAATGGCAATTTTCATGTTGGGAAAATGATGAGCCAATAAATGTTCCATTGGATTTGGGGGTGCCATATTTTCAGACAAACCCCAGTTTCAGGTGTTTGAAGCAAACCTGTTTATGGAATCGATAGATTCCATGAATTTCCGCAACAACTGTATGATGCGAGAGATAATACAGAAGCCTGCTTGGTTCGATAGTTCAAAGCGAGTGAGCAATTTGCTGATTGGTGATTGAGGCCTCATTTCTGAGACAGTCTGCATGGCTGGCAGATCGGACAGCCAGAGAGCCAGCATCTCAATTGCCTTCGCCAAGCCTTACCTGTTTTTCAAAAAAATGAATGGTTTGTGTCCTGACTTCACGGCCAGCTTGCTTTGCCACCTTAGGAATGTCGCCCTGAAGAAGCAACTCCAAAAGGCAGAGGCAAAGAAGTTGCCTTTCAAAGTCATGGAAACCAGAAAACTGGCAGATGTGGGTCATGATTCTGATTCATAAGTGGCTGATGTGTTTGATGCGTTTGGTTGCATGCTTTGGCGTTGCATACGGCTTCAGCAAGGGCTTCAGCAATCCAAAAAGCTTGGCGTGTTTCTGGCCCAAGTCTCAAGATATGGCGGCATTTTTGCCGCAACCTTTGAGACAACTTGCTTAGCTCCATCACATATGAGATGGCAGGAGATGACCCTAAAGAGGATGCTTCTCAACAGCGTCCCTGTCCTCATGTGAATGTTGAGACCATGAAGTTCTTTCTGGACGCTTTTCAAGGAGATGCTCCTGTGGATGAGGAGAAATGGATAGACACATTCCTTCAGAAGCTTCAATGCTTCCAGCATGGCTGTGATGCAATGACGAGCTTCAAGAACATGCAGATCACCTATGGAAGCTTGGGAGCTGCCACACAGGTTTCAGGAGATTTGACCTTCGAACATTTCTGGAAAGCCTCGCTTAGGTACTTCGAGCTTTCCAAGGAAGTCTCTGAAGACCAGGCATGCGAAGAAATTGGCAAAATTGCATGCGCAATCCATTGCTACTGGGCCAAGGCCTTGTTTCGCAACCTTGGCGGAACGGGAAGGCGTGAGGCTTTAGAAGCAGCCCTTCAGGCTACCAGTAGCCTCTGGTGTTTACCAGCGACTGAGGTGCCCGTTCCATCGGAAAAGTCCGAGGAGCGCTTCCTACAGCACTACGAGGCAGAACGTCAGAAGAGAGAGTGGGGCTTTGTGCAAGAGTTCGCCAAGATCAGGTGGGCGTTATTATTGGGGGACCAAAGCGGACCCTAATAATAAATTTAAGCCCTTAATTAGAAAAAACACATTTTTTTTGATTTCAAAAACAATTAAATTTCCTTTTATAACGCAATTAAAATATTGCCAAAAATTGGATTTCGAAGCGGACCCTAAAAATAAAATTAAACCCTTAATTAAAAGAACTAGTTTTTTCGATTTCAAAATCAATTCAATGTCCTTTTAAAATGCAATTCTAATATTGCCAAAATTGAATTTCGAAGCGGACCCTAATAATAAATTTTAACATATTTTAACCCTTAATTAAAAACAAAAACTATTTTTTTCGATTTCAAAATCAAGTCAATTTCCTTTTATATAACGCAATTAAAATATTGCCAAAAATTGGATTTCGAAGCGGACCCTAATAATAAAATTAAACCCTTAATTAAAAAAAACTAGTTTTTCGATTTCAAAATCAATTCAATTTCCTTTTATATAACGCCATTAACATATTGCCAAAAATTGGATTTCGAAGCGGACCCTAATAATAAATTTTAACCCTTAATAAAAAAAGCTAGTTTTTTCGATTTCAAAATCAATTCAATTTCCTTTTATAACGCGATTAAAATATTGCCAAAAATTAGATTTCGAAGCTACCCCCTAATATTAAATTACAAACATTATTATAAAAAACTAAAATCTTCGGACGGACCCTAATTAATTTAAAAAAACTGGGGTTGACTAGTTTTGATCATTAGGGGGTGAAACCCGCAAATAGTAGCTTTATTCTTGATTGTTTTCTAAAGGGGATCAATGAAAAGTCAAATTGGCCAACCTGAAATTTTCCAGGGGGGTTAGTAATAGAGGGAGGGTTTATTGAGTGTATTTTTCAGCAGCTGAGCCAAGCTCCCGAGAGAGAGAGCGAGAGAAGAGAGGGCAAAGTGGCGCAGGTCCGATTTAGCAGCCAGCATGATTTAGTTCGATTTAGCACTATCAGACTATTACATGCTGTTATTATAATCTATTATATATTACTATATATTAATATACTATTTATTAGATACATGTTCCATATCCAGTTTATCCAGTTTCTCACTGCCAGGTCTAAAGAGGCTACGCTGGAGGATGTTGAGGACACTGATGGCTTGGAGCCAGATTGCTTTCGATATGAGGCGAAAGGCTACCCAGATGAAACCAGCAGTACCTTACATCCACCAAGCCCTGCAAAGAACAGCCTTGCAGGGCGCATCTTCGGCCAGCATCGCTTCTTGGCTCTTCGCTTGGGAAAGTGTCAAGAAGCCCCACAAGAAGAGTTCCACTTCCTGGGGCGAAGATACCGAGCCCTGTATTGGCGGTTGCCAGATCAGGTGACTTACTTTGCTGAGGAAGGGGATGGTCTTGAGTCCCTCAAGGTGCAGGACCTCATGGACCGTTTGGTACCGCTAGAGCCCAATCAGGACATGACTTTGTTGAAGTACAATCAACGACTTCAACTATCATTCTCAGAGACAAGAGCCGAAGTTCAGCTCAAAGTTCGGTTGGAAACGGATCTCAGTGATGTCAACAATGAATTTTGCCTCTCGGATGGTTGTGGTTGCATCTCCATGGAAGCAGCCCAAAGATGCGCATTGAAACTGGGCTTTGAGGAAGTTCCAGGCGTCTTCCAAGCGCGCTGTGGTCCATTCAAGGGGCTGTGGGTCCTCGACCCTCAACAAGATAAACAGGTTGACTTGATAGTGAGAGAATCCCAGCAAAAGTACCAGCTATCGGACTGCAAGGAGGAGTTTGATTTCGAGGTTTTGAAGACTTCGTCAAAGCCACTGCATAGTGATCTTACCCCAAACTCCATCCAAGCGCTGGAAAGTTTGGGAGCTTCACCTGAGCTTTTTATGGAAAGGCAGCAACAAATTCTCGAGACTTTGCGCAGGGTCTTTGATGACGACAAGTCTAAGGGCAAAAAAGCCTTGCAGGAACTTTTGGACAGCAATATGTTCAAACCTGGCATTGAGAAGCCACTTCGTGAACACATGGATCTTGAGTTCCCTTGGTTCCATCCGGCATTCCAATCGCTTTGCCACCGCGCGTGTGCTGAGCTACGTTCACGTTGCTGTGAGGAGTTGAAACTGCCCTTGAAAGAGGCCAGACGTGCTTGGATTGTGCCAGATCACACAGGCACATTGCAAGAGGGAGAGTGTTTCCTCCAACTACCCCATCATTTAGACATTCCCTCCTTGGCTGGAAAGGAGGTGCTTTTGATTCGAGCTCCCTGCTATCACAGCAGCTCGGTCTTGAAGCTTCGCATTCCAAAGGAAACTCCAATGCGCCTTAAGCATTTAGTCAATGTAGTGGTTCTAAATGCTTGGGCGGAGCGTAGTGGGCCAGCTGATGCTGAAGTAATGGGTGGTGATCATGACGGCGACACGGCTCTTGCAATTTGGGACCAGGAATTTGTTGCAGCTGTCACCACCACTGGCAGTGCTGTTGTGGAGGCGAAGACTGAAGTGCGAGAGTTGAAGCGGATCCAAGATGTGGAACCAGACCAGCTTGCACGATGTTTGCTTGCTGAGCTGCCACTGGCTGCCAAGTCCCATGCAGCCTTTTGCGATGCGGACAAGAAACGAAGAGACTGGGCAGATAAGGACTGTTGGGTGGTTTGGATATTTCTGCATTTTTGATTTTTTGAGTGTTCCATCCTTAATATGCAGTGATGACACCAGTGATTAGTCATAGATAAATGAGCGACTTCCATTTTTCCGGGGTGATGGGCGTTGAACCCTGTTGAAGCGATCAACAGGAGCCTTTTGACTTTGGCTTTGGAGAGAAAACTACTCGCCTGGCAGCAATTTGCCAAGCAGGCGTTGATTGTGCTTCCAATGGCCGCGTCATTGAGTTGCCAGAGGATTTGCAACGCCCTGAAAGGTCAGATTGGGCATATCGGGGCAAGCAACGAAAGGGAGCCGGTTATGAGTCTGAAAGAGCCTGTGGTCAGCTTTTTCGCACCCGGTGCCGCTTTCATGATGGCGAAGTAGATAATGTGAGGGTGGCAGAATACTTCTCCGCCAGCCAATTGGGTTTCGATGATTGGAGTAGTGACCAGCTGTCTGAAGCCACAACATTTATTTTGACAAAAGTGTCGCACTACTATGAGCAAAAAAGAAGGATTCTTGATAGGCAGTATTTGTCCAAACAATGGAAGTTAGATCTGGAGAAGGCTTTGTTTAGAGGTTGTGCTCGCGGCAAGCACGACTATCCAGAAGGACTTGTTGGAGCGACTGCTTACATGGTGTGGCTGTCAGCTCGAACTGCATGCAAGTCCCTCAGCGGAGCCCAGAAAGATGTGATTGAACCAACTTTGCAGGACATGCTGAAGCGATCCCAAGTGATTTTGGAGCCTCCAACCCTTCCAGCCAAAGACATTTGGCGTTTGTTCGAAGGCGAGATCCTGACTGCCCGGTCAAGGCGATTGCATGGCGTATGTTTGCACAAGCCGGAGGAATCCTTTCTGATTGATCCAGTCAAGGTGCGCTTCTCGCACCCATGGATCAGCCCGGAATTTCGTTCCGGCTTGTCACTTGAGGAGGCAGTCAAGCTTCTCATTTCTGGGGAGAAGCGAAAACGGGATTTTGCAAAGACAGGGATGCCGCTCCCAGTGAGATGGTACAAGGGCCATTGGCATACCATGGGCAACCGCCGTTTGGCAGTCTATCGGCTCTACAAAGCCACATGGACGGTCTCACAAGATTTTGGTTCGCAGGGTCAACGAAGCAGAGGCTTTCAGGTGGCCATGGCATCGCAAGTTTGAGATTGATGAACGCCAAGGCCGCAGCATCCGCCTCAGGGAGTTTCAGACAGAGATTGGCGAGACATCAGAAGAAACTACTTTCAAACTCTAAGACGATGGATGGCTCCAGTTAATAGCATTATCTGTTTGCAAGACCGGCCCTCGCTCGAACCAAAAAGAAGCTGCTCCGAAGCTTTCAGGTGGAACACAGGAAGAGCTGAGATCCATCAGTTGTGCAGCATGATGTAGCCATGTAGCCATGTAGCTGTTGTTCCCATGAAAACTATGGCTGCATTCCACGCGCAGGCAACAGCAGCAAGTAGAGCTGCCGGAGCCCTTCCCAAGCAAATTGCAGAGAGCCTGGACAGCAACAGTGACAACATCCAGCTGGAGTAATGATATTTTATTTATTTTTATTTGATGTACGTTCTAGTGCTGCTGTCGCATGTTGCTGCTTGCTTTTTTTTTGTGCACATATTTTCGTTCCGTTTAAACTCGCTTTGGTCATTTCCAGTCGGAAAATTCAAAAAGTTGACGAGTGAGGATGGAATGCAGCCCCCTTCGGAGCCTCGGCAGATGGACCTTGCGACATGAATGGGGGCTCTCTCAAACAGCGCCAAAGTACTGCAAACTACTGGCAGAAAAAAACACACACATACGCGCCATGTGCAGCATCATTATTGTCATGCGTGGTTGTTATTGTATGTTATTATTGTTGTTCTTATAACCAACAATAATCATCATCATCACCATCACCATCACCATCACCATCACCACCACCATCACCACCACCATCACCATCACCATCACGATCACCATCACCATCACCATCGGCATCATCATCACCATTGGCACAAGCATCGTAGCTTTAAGGCACAAGCATCGTAGCTTTAAGGTGTATATAAGTATATATATATATACTATATACACTATATTTTATATTAATAACATGCGCATTGTCAGCACGGGACTCTTTTCCCTTGGTTTTAGCTATGTCAGCTATGGTTGAAACACACGCGTTTACTGAGGTGCTGCAGAGGAGATGCTCGTCCGACCATCAAGTGCCTTGCAAAAAAAAACGCTAGACCAATGGGTTGGTTGATTATGGTTGACTCATGGTTTCAATATGGTATTTATATGGCGTTCAGCTGGTGCCGTTTCAACGAAACAGATGCTCAGTTTTAGCATGATTAGCATGATTTATTTTCAACCAATGTCAAGCACCTATGGGTTGACTTGTCCTATTGATGATGTGGTGGATTGAACACTTGAAATCACCAATCAGTTGGCCATGCGTTAGTTTTCTCAAGTCTTCTCATTTTTTTTGTGCCCGCTTTATGTTGGCTAAGGAAGAAACTGATGATGCTGCTTGGATGGCATTTCAGTTCCGACACTCTGTCCATCATTGTACTGTATTGGCTACTAAATGCATTTTCCATATCTTTGTACTCCAGTGCAGTTGGAGGAAATGGCATCCAGACAAGCAGCCTACTGCAGAGCATGTGGACGGGAGCTCAGATTCTGACGCACAGTTGGCGCCCCAAAGCACGAGCTGAAGATACCTGACGGCCTGACGGGTAAAGACCTGAAGTGACCTCATGGCAGAAATTCGGACAGTTCCATTTGAGTAATTTGTTGTGGCCCGCGGGTCAGTACGACGGCACAAGGAGTCCCAACAGTAATAGCATCAGCGAGCACTTGCACCAATCAGCATCGTTAGAATAGAATCCAAAGGTATGCTAAAGGTAAATGAGGCCAGCAAGAGGTACATCGATCCAAGAGACTCTACTTAAATTGCAGATGTTTACTGCAGAGGGTATTTGCACTCCAGAACTGTAGATGTTCCTGCAGCAGGTGAGCATTTCAGAAGTGTCTTAATCCGTGGGTTTGCAGCTTGACCCCAATGACCATTGTACTATCTGGCTTGCTTTTTTACGGACATATTGGATAACAAGATTAAAAAGGGAAACAGATGAAAACGGATTGTCGTACAGCTTTCCCCACGGCAACTGCATGCAATCTCCGGCGCCTCGTTTTGCCAAGGAATTTGCCACGCAAGTGATGCAAGCTATGCAGAATCAACCTGAGTGGGAATGATGGCCAGCCCAGTCCTGCTGTCCACAATACATCAACACCTAACCTTCCATAGGAAATTGGTGAGCAGCTGCAGCAGCTAACTATTGCATTTCTTGAATTTTCTTGATATTTCTGGGGTCATTTCCGGAAATTGCAGCAACTGCAGCGGGACTTGCAGGAAGGCTCCCCATTTGTTAACGTAATGTAGAGGACTAGTGGCCAGCTACCAGGTCAGCCCAGGTCCTAGCCCAAGTTGCTTTTACAAAGCTGCCACACTGAGCACAGATGGCACAAGTTTGCCGCAGAAATCGGCCAAAGAAAATTGTGCCCATGGCCCAGGCGAGAGAAAAAGAGTTGGATGAGAGGGGAGATGTCTAGAATTTTCTAGGCATCGAAGTGCACTGGAGCATACTGGAGCCATATCTCACACAGCGGATCAATTGCTCTCCGTCAGCAACTTCGAATGTGAGGCAACACCCAACCACCACAACTTCACCAGCAAGGACGGCGAGATTTGGGGTCTGAAAATTTCAAAGCTGCAGACCGCAACAATATTCATTGCATGAATGTTATATCTCTTTTAAGATGTGTTAAGACTCTTCCTTAATCTTGAATGTTTGGACCCCAGTTTCCAGAATGCATTTATATGTAATAGACCAAAAGGGTTGAGCCGATTGAGCCGGAAAATGGGATTGATTCAGTCATTCGCTTAGTGCAAGAAACCAATCTCCAAGTTGGAGGAATCGATTGGAACAGAAGCCGTATCACTCCCAGCATGCCAAGCCAAAGCTTTGGCTCGAGCAAGATGAATGCGGCCACCGGCACATGGCAGCTACGGCGAGTGATCATCCGAAGCTGGGCTGCAACATTGGGACATCCGGGGAGAAACTGGTCTATTTCGCATTCTGATTGCTGTTCGTCACGTCGATGGCATTGCTCATTCCCGGTTGACGACGGCTCAGAGTGCGAGGCTACTCTGAGACTGGTGGGAGCAGCCTGGGTACTCGCTTCTATTTGCGCCATTTGCTACCCGTTTGGAAGGAGCCCAAGGGGCCCATCGGGATCATGGATTAACAATGGCTGACTACTAATTAATTATTATTTAATTGAGGGGAATTCACGAACAGTGACAGATTATATATACTACTTGTACTTGGTCATCTTTGGTCAACCATTATTAAAATGGAACCCTCCCTACTTGTATTATTGTAGTAAACTGAAGGGTTATAAATGCCGGGATCATGGCCATGTGTTGTCAGTGAGGCGTCAAGTTCTGCGCCAGGAGCGAAATCCTCAGGTCGTGGTGATCACTGAGCACTCCCTGCTGGATCACCCTGAGCTACAGGCAAACACAAGAGTTCAGGTTGCAAACCTTTCTGATGCACTCAGGGTGTAGTAATCAATGAAAAAAAGCAAAGACGTGGAAAGATAAACTTCACAGCTAACAATTCTAACACATCTAATTCGCAAGCAGGACGGTTGCTGATGACACACAGGGCATCCAGCGGGTTTCGCAGAAAGCTGCAAGCCGTAGGCTGAATGGGCCAGCGGCGAACGGTTCGAAATCTCTCTTCGCCGGATGCGACCTTGGCAAATTGAGGCCATGGATGATCATGGGCCATGCCCAAAGCCCAATAGTCGACATATATATAATATAATATAATATATAATTACATAACATGTATGTAATAACATATATTGCTTTTGACCCCACATCTGCCACAGCTTTCAAAGGGAATCAATTGGTTGAGGTCTTAGATTGTTTGTCCATGCCATTTGAAGCCTGGATGCCTGAAGGAACTGCTGAACCTACAGCGGAACTCGGAGTCCCCCAACCTGTACCTGCGCCATGGTGGCCCCCGGGTTTGGACGGAGCGCCGGAGTGTTCAGGGCCTGTGGCAACCTTCAGCCGAAGGGATGTTTAGGGTGTCCCAGCTGCAGAAAGTCTGGTGACATGTTATGGCAAACCGGATTGGAACTACTGTGGATGTGTGGCGTCAAGCCACTAAAGAAAGATTTTTTCTAGTCAGTTGGGGTAACTTAAGTTCAATCTATGAAAAGTTTGGCCTGGCATGGTGGACAGAGCTCTGAGTCTGCATGAGTCTGCCAATCGGGGCCAGGGCTGGACTCCTGAGAGTCCTAAACACCAAGCTGCTTCAGGATGGGCTATGGCTGTCCTTTTCTGGTTTGTGACCTTTTGCCCGAAGTTGTCATTAGTCAGTCTTGCACTATACCAGACCATGGAATCTAGGCCCTAGTAGTGAATAAACTACAAAAGCATAGAAAAGCTAGTTTGCACTCGCACTTCGTACTAGGACTTTGAACAATCCGGCAATGGAACAAGGAGCCGCTATTGCACGAAAATATGTCAGATAGATATTGCGTTCCTTGTCAGATGATGCACTTCATCTAGAATAGATTGAAGGCCATGGCAGCAATAGCAAGTGTTGGATCAGAGTGGAGTGAATATGAGTGAATGTGCTACGATGAGTCGATGATTTGATTAGCCTCTGATCAAACATTGCGATGGGAAATGCCGGCTTCTGTTGAACTCTCTGGTGAGAGAGAAAATGGAAAATGCCACTGTTTTCTGTGAAAATGAACGCTTTGGATAGATAATGATAGATAATGATAGGTGGATATATATTATTTATATTTATATACAAACGAATACAAACAAGATAACACTACACAGGGAAATTGCACTGCTGCAGGGCCACCATTTGCAGTTGAGCCATGCCAAGCTATGCACCTTCACTGTCCCGTTTGCGCTGTTGGTTTGGCCTTGCACTGCTGGCGCTGACAATTTCGAGAGGGCAGCTGTACCTTGACAACTGGTGGGATGCTGGAAGGCAGTGCGTCTTATAACTTGGGAAAGATTGGATACATGATACAGGCCTGGAGTTGTCATTAATTATATTAATTACTGAACATTGTGGATAATCAAATGAAAGCATTCCATCCTGTCGTGTTCCAGTTGCCCAACTGTGGTCATTTCACTGCAGGACGGTGCAACTGGAACGTTGGATGACACTATGATGACACATCACGTCGGTACCACTGTCAGCCCCTCCCACCCAAAGAAAGCACATTTTGGAGGCCTACATAAAGGAATGTGCTGCATCATTGTATGGTGCACGATGGCTGTCCCAACCTCTTTCAGATGTCAGGTTCGTTGGAAACTCCTTTGATCTCTGCAAAGATCAGAGACAAACCCGTCATTTGAGACGGCGTGGTCAGTCCTCAGACGATGCCTCGACATGGTCTGTGCGTGACTTGGTGGCTCAAGAGACCTTGTGATTTAGAGTGGGGGAAGGTAGTGGCTTCGTGACACAAAAATTTGGCAAGTTTGAATGTTGTTGAGTGAATAGGTCCTGAATAGGTGCAGTGATATACTGATAGACGTTGAGTTTCATGCCCTAAGAGCCCAAGAGCTGTTTTGACCTCTTCCAACATATGTCGTTCCAATTCAGCGCAATGCCACAGGTGACCTCAAGCAGTTCTTGGACGAATGTGGTCTTCGCCACTCTGATTGTTTTGAGAAGAAGGTCCGGGTTGGCAAACGAAATCAGACGAGTTTCAACAAAATTCCAAAGGTTGCCGAGGGATGCCCATAGGGATCATAGGGGATATATTACTTTTCATGTCCACGTCATGTGCTTGCAAGGGTGAGAGTTCCTGTGCCAGAACCCTTTGGACAGGAGATATATTCTAGTCGTTCAATTCAGGTGCAACTATGCTGTCCAAGCAGTTGGCAGGTCTAGAGAAACATATTGTCCAAGATGCCAGTTTCATGGCCTTCAGGCACATGATGCGGGGGCGCATATATATATATATATACATATATACACATTATAATATATATATATATTGAATTTGAACGAATTTGACATATTCACGGTGCATGCAGCCTTCAGCGTGTGATTTCAGAGGGGATTCTGCCGCCACTACAGGAGCTCGTGGACCGTGTTCAGGCTGCCTTGGCCAAGAGCAAGAATCGCGAGAGGAAGGCGGGAAAGCTGATTTAATGGAAGTGGATGTGCCTGCGGGTCATAGTGTCGGAGATGCACAACTGTGGTCAAAAGAATGTTGTTCCTGGTAACATTAAACCATCCAATGCCCATTTCTATGTTCATGTCTAGCTTGTCCTTGCAGTTTGCACTCGTTGGGGTCCGCTTTACCCAAGGGTGTGATGGTGATGATGGCGTGATAGTGCGACAAGTCTTTGCGATGCGAGCCGCACATCTTTCAGCAGCCTGTGCTTCGCTGGACAGGCTCGTGGGACATCGGATGAGGAGCTCAGCGCTATGTCGGCCAGGGAGTTAAAGGCAGCTCATCTCCATTCATATCCCAAATGTGTGCTTCCCGTTGACCAACACCATCCAACTCCTGACCCAGCGATCTTCTTCCATTAATTTGCATGGTGGAGTTTGCAACCTTTTTTCGGCAGCGCAGTTTCATTCAGATATATCCCAGGCCAAGATTGTTGAAGCGGGAGGCAGTGTGGCTGGATGCGTCTTCAAAGAAGACTATTTGGACCGCGCGCGGCAGATGTTTCTTACGGGGGGCTCAACAAGGGAGAGCAGCGGCAAGAAGAGCTACGAATAAAAAAGAGTGTGCAGGTGGACGTGTAATCCTGAAGATTCCTGAAGGGTACCAATAGCTTGCCATCGTCATGCCACCTGATTTCATGACAGTTTTCATATGTTTTCATGATGACATTGAAGAGGTCCCAAACTCAAAGGTCGGTCAATACATATCTGTAGCAGTGCCATGGTCGGCTTGACCAAGGCATTGAAATTTGGGCGTGAGACCTCCTGGACCGGACGGAAACATGAAGCTCTAAAGTGCCTGGATTGAGCAAGGCTTGTTGTGTCAGCCTCCAGGGGATGTGTTGAGGTGCGATACTGTAACACAGGAACTTACCTATATATATTATATATATAATAATGATAATAATAATATATCCATCTAATATTGTTGTACGTGGAAGTGATTCTCTGAGGTATTCCTCGCAAACCATCAAGCTTTGCAAGCAGCATGTGCTTGAGAAGCATGGACGTTGGGGTGATCAATCGCAACCAAAGGGCTTTGACCGGCATATCTTGGAGGCCTGGAGTCCGGTGTTGCCACCGCAACAGCTCCGGCAATAGAAAACATGGGACTGATGGGACCTTCCCAACTTTTTTTGAAGTCCTTTTCGGTGAAACCTTGGAGTTTCCGAGATTGCTCATTGGATTTGACTGAAAAATGGGTACCTCCTAAATCCATCCAAATCCATTGGTTTATCATGGTTTATCATGGTTTATCATGGTTCGGTTTATCAGTATTTGTCCTATTTGAATGTCGATTGGAGGATGTGCTGAATCAGCCCTTCCTACCAGATCCACGCGACTTGAATGAAGAATGAGGCAGCGCCGCAAAGAGCACGGGAAAGAAATCAACTTGCCTCAGAAACTGTTGGCCTGCGAAGGTTAGCTTTGACTAGTTTCACTTGACCATTTATGGTCACAGCAGATTCAAAATAAGCGGCCATCTCTGTGGCTGTTCTTGTGAGCATTTCCTTTCAGCAAGACTTTGCATGTCAATGTGGGCGTGTACACAGCATGCAGATTTTGTGTTTGGTGTCTAAATCGCTTGGATTTGCGCATTCCAGTCCTTGGTCAAAACATGTGTCAAAACCTCGAGCTATTGGGCTCAAGTTTCTTATCGAAGTACTGAGTTGCACAGCGGCGGGTTCTGTGTGACATGTCGGCTGCGGCGAAAGAAATCGCTCATGTCTTCAAATGGCACCGTGCTTTTGCCAAGCTGAAGGTTCCCACGAAGGAGGTGGAACCTTTGTCGCGCTACACCAACTTCACTTTGAACCACGTGTGGGAGAAGTTTGATTGCCAGACCGCCTTGCTCACCAAAGAGGCATTGCTTCCATTGGCAAAGCGCAATCCGGAGCTCTTTGATGCTGACCTTGACAACATGAACACGGTGCGTCTCTCATTGACGCAGCCAAAGAACAGCCCTTTGAGCAAATGAGGTGCCAACGTGAGGCTCCAGAGAAATGGAATGGATCAAAATGTGGCCTTTTGGCGCGTGAGTCAAGATGCCATGTGACTTTCTTCTGGGATGCAGGTCTTACCTGTGTCTTGATCAGCAGTAGGCCAAAGGTTGATTTTTGTGCACTAGTTGACGGACGATGACTTAATTGCAGCGCAATGGAGGAAAAAAACAACGCAGGCTAAAAGCAGGAAGAAGCTTTCTAAGACGGAAGTGCACGCTGTGCAGGGAGGTCATGTTAGCATATTTTGGCCTGACTATTAGCAGAGCTCAGAGTTGCCATGGCATGGCACTGCAATGTTCGTAAATCATCTTAAATCTTCATCCTTGTTTCTGAAAAAGAAGCATTTTGAGCATTTTGAGCAACTTTAAATACTATATAGCCTGGTTATGTCTGGTTTAGGAAAGAAAGTGGGCACACGTTCACTAAGTAGTATAAAACTAGCACAAAACCTGAGCCTGTTGGCTGCAGGACCCGTTTGCTGACAGTGTTTGTAGAGGCGCTGCCTGCATTGGCGGGTTTGGGCGGTTTTTTTGAGCTGCTTTGCCAATTGGTGCACCAAGAGAGATGATAGAAGAGTGAGCGTGCCATCAAGTCTCAGGATAGGCTTAGATGGAAGAAAAAGAGAGAGAGGATGCGAGAGGGAAAGAGTGAGAGAGAAACGAAGGTGCTGAAGCTGCTGCTGCAAAACAAAGCATAGCTATCATAACTATAACATCTATAACTGAAAAAGGCCGTTTCGGCTTTCCCAGCAGGGGTCTCAAGCCCTGTGGGAGATGTTTCATTGTAGCTGCTAAGGACAGGGCAAGGGAGCGGTCTGGGAATGCTGCATTTTTTATTGCCACATCTTTGCGCAAACTCAAAGCTCTTGATTCTCCTTGGTGCAGCAAGCAGCAAGGATGTTGTGCCAGCATGTGCTTCATTGCTGGGTCAGCCTCGGTGCGGTTGCTATGCTGAAACCGACATCCTGGTCCATCCTGTTAGTAGTCCTGATAGTTACTTGTAATTAGAAAATGCCTCGGCGTTTCTGTGCTAAGTTTTGGGCCTTCACAGGGGTGTGCCTGAAAATTGGGTATGCCAACTGGCCCCAAGTGGCCAGTTTAGTTGAGCATATCAGGTTTTCCCCAAAAGAAGCCAGAATGCAATCCGCGACAGGACAGAGAATGGCTAGGGCTCTCTATTTCCTTAGCTTCGTGGCCGTCGGCTCCTCAGTGGATAGCGGGATATCGCTGTGAACACGCCCAAATATTCATAACATTCCAGAATATTCCATGACTCTAATAACTATCGGATGAATATACCTTGCGAGTTGTTATTGACTGATATATTTTATATAATGCATGTAATTTAACTACAAGTTAAAATAAAAAATTGACCAGAGAGAAAATAGTGAGAAAACCTTTGCCTGCATATTGGTGTTTTGGATGTGTTTGATTTTGAGTATGTTTTGATGTAGGTGTGGTAGTGCATCGTCTGTACACTTCCCCCCACCACAGGCGCTCACCAAGTTGGGCAGGGCCACTCAAAGTGCCCTCGAGCTTCTCAGTGAAGAGGCAATCGATGCCACAGATATACGATGAGTCCGGGGGACAAAAGGGCCAAATAAGCACCCCTGTTTGGGATAAAGATTTTCTCAAGTGACAACTATTTTTGGGACGGATTAGTAAGGCACATGCATGTTGAATTGTTTTGAGTATAGTCAGTCTGTTTTGATGATTCAATATTTGGCAGTGTGGGCCAAAGTGTTCCAAGGGGCCTTGCTGAGCCTTGCAGGAGAACGAGTTCCATCAAAGAAGGCTAGACTTCGACAACTGGTGCAACCGAGAACTCGAGAACCAGGATGGATCGCTTTCACAGAGTCCAATCAAAATTCGAATCAAATGCTGTGGGTACCCCTGCACGGAGTTGTTTTGTACATCAATTCAAGTTCTTCTCTTTGCAACATTAACTCCAGACTGCCAGCTTGGACATTTACAACAATATGAGAGACCTTTGAAGATTACTCACCAATAGTGCAATTTGTCATTAACATACATTATATAAGTATATCACATTATATCAACATATATCAAGAATTTCACTAACATGTCAATGTTAGCAGAGGCCGTAAGGCCGGGCAGAGATAGCCATGACACCGGTCCGGCCACCTCAAGGAGAAGCAGCGGAAGGAGCTTGCGGAGCTCCAGGCTGAGGACCTGATGGAAGAAAGCGAGCAGTTTGAGGCGCCACTGTGCTCTAATCATCATCATTATATAATCACCATTAGTCACCATTAATCACCACTAGTCACCATTGATCACCATTACTCACCATTAATCACCATAGACCTTTGCCCATTCCCAACTCTTAGAACCAAACAGGCTTATTTGATGTTATTTAAGTCACCAGAGGATGAACGAAATTGAACGAACACTGGCCATACAAAGGGATTTTGAATTTAGACTTCCAGGATTTAGGGTTTATGGTTCTAGGGTTGTTGGGAATCCGGTTTTAAGGGCTTTGAGTTTGTTGTTTTGGAAAACCTAAAAACAACTCTGGCTCTACGCAGGGATTTGAACATGTCAAAGGATATGCTGGATCCATGGTGGACAAACATTTGGCGTGTACCTTTTAATAGTTTTTAGTCATCATGGTTCTTTATCACAGCTTTTATCATCATGTTTCATTTACAGAAGAGGACGTTGTGGAGGCCCCATTTTTACGGTGCTTTGACAAAGTCAGTAAAACGCATCTTTGATGAACATATTTATCTAATGTTACTTGAATTCTGGTTCTCTGTTTTACTTTTTGTGTGTTATTTGCCTTGTGCCTCAAGGAGGCAACCAGACATGCCATGCTGCTTGGACTTGACATTTCCTCATGTTGAGCCAATTCACATATTATTCCTTCAGATTTTTATGGATAGTTAAAGTTCCGGCTTCATCAGCTCAATGCAAAAGGCTGAGAAGGGTTGGGTCAGAATGTATGCCTCTAAGCCATTCTAAGCCCCGGAGCTGGTTTCCAGGAATGTGGGGGGGGCAGGAATGTGGGGGGGGTTCAAAAAAACAAGAAAACATAGACATAGATTTTTTTTGCTCCTCCTGCCCCTCAGACCCCTGATGACCCCTGGAAGCTAGCTCCAGCACACCAAAGGCACCGGGCCGGCACCGTAGTGCCAATCCGAATTGAACTCTAGGTGATCCGGTGCCTTTGGGGTGCCATGGGGTGCCGGAGCTAGCTTCTGGGGGAGGAGCAAAAAAATAAAGATATTTCAATATTTCTTGTTTTTCTTGTTTTTCTTGACCCCCTCCCTCCCCAGATCCCTGGAAACCAGCTCCGGGGCTTAGAGACACACATTCTGACCCAACCCTTCTCAGCCTCAGCCTTTTGCATTGAGCTGATGAAGCCAGAGCTTTGACTTTCCAAAAAGGCATTGATGTAATTATATGTTGCCAAGGATGTATCATGAATATATTCTGCCAATGGATAGGCCATTGCGTGATATTCCAGCATGTCATTCGCAGCAAGAAGACACACGATCAAGAATGATGTGAAGATAATGTCGTCCATATATGTTAAAAGCAGCTACACGCAGCATGCCAAGAAAAATGATGTGTAGATAATCGTGAAACAAATCTGCAATGTATATCACATATCTAGTTTATTGGTATGACCAATGTACTCTCATTGAAAGTACAGACAATATAGTCACTACAATATAGTCAAGTCCTCAACACTGGTGCCAGATACAGAGAAATAATATAATAACGGAGCCTTTTCTATGTTTCATTTGTGGCAATGCATGGCAAGTTGCAACGATCAATGATTATTCCTTTTGGTGGTTGGCAGCCATCAATCCGATCTATGTTTTCCAAGAATAGCTAGAACCACCTTTACCATGCTAGTTTAGCCAAGCCAGAATGCGTAAAATTCCAGTCGTTTTCCAATGAAAGTTTTGCGTGCATGTTGAATTTTTGCCTTAGCCTCGTTTGATTTTGTATTGTAGGTTTGCTCCTTGCCACAACTGTATGCAGACATCATTGACAACATTTATGTTTTAATTGCATTAGCCAAGGACTACCTCCATTGAATCTGAACAATGTGCTTGATCAGCGCATTTATTCGTAGGTGTTGCTATGGACAGTATCTTTCAATTTTCGTTCCATATGATCATGTATCTAGCAACCATTTTGCCAGCCTACTGTACAAACTAAGAACGGCAACTGCATACCTCAAAATTATACAAGGATATTCTCTACCATAGGCATGCGTGATTTGAACACAGCGATTGTGTGCAATGTTTGTGTGCAATGTTTGTGTGGGCTGTTTCATTGCACTGATTGTATTGGATATTCCACGCTAAGTAAAGAAATCTGCCCAAGGAAGTGGCAAACACCTGGCTATATGACAGGATAACTCGATGTGTTTTTTCTTTTGGGACCAAGGTTTTGGAAAGTGTGTGCTATGGATTAGGTTGAAACTAATGTATTTCATACAAATCTAGACTTATATTGTCAAACTCTACATATATGATGTTATATTCTATGGTTGGGTTGGGTACATTACAAGCATCCTTACATCCTTTAGCATGGCATGAACAGTAAACGAAATGATTTAGATTCTTACGAAGAATGATATGCTGCATGCATTGCCATGGTGGCTTGTAGCGACATGTGACAGGGATCTCATTGGTAGTTTCAGGCTTGACCCCAACCTACCCCCATTTTCCCCGATTAACTCTCTGAGTTTTTGAGGTGTTCTTCTAATTCCAAACAAAGTGACTTCCATTGAAGAGCTTGGGATTGGTATGCGTATCTTCACAGAGGATTTTTTGCAACATAATCTTACTGTAATTTTTCATTTGCTGGTGTAATTGTTACGATATGCCGCATGGTATTGGAAATGTTGTAATTCAATTTCCCTTGTGAGACGTATCCAGCTCACTCAATTAGAATACACAGTTCTTTTCGGAACAGAAGTTATTTACAGTGATATTTCAGGGAAAATATGCCTTGGAAGATATTTGTTTGTTTCAAGGTATGTATTGTCAAAGTGCTCTACATAAGAATACGCAATGTTTGCAACGGGTATGTTTGTATTTTAATGAAGAGAATGTAAGATTAAGGGATGCACCCTTATGTTCACCCTAACTATCTTATGTATACATGTGAAGGATTGTTCAGGGACAATCCTTCAATAAGTGAATCACTATTATTGTTGTTATTACTATTGTAAAGAAGCATTGGAAATACATATAAATATAACAGAAAACACACCCAAAAAAAAAGCATCGTAATCACAGCGTCCCACTCTCTTCATCTAATACCTGCAGTAAATGAGTTCAGAAACACTTAAAAACCCAATTTTGATTGGTAAACTATGGGTTGTCTATACCCTCTGGTAAACTAACATAACTAATTATGGAAAATCACAATTTTTAATGAGAAAATCCACTATAAATGGTCATTTTCCCATGATTTGTTGGGCCCCAAAACATCACTGCTGGAGGTCTCCGAGACACTGCTGGACGTGGCCCGGCAGCTGCAGCCGAACTCGGCCAACGCGCCGCCCTATCGGCAAAGGGCCAACGTGACGCTGACGGCGCTGCAGGCGGTGGAGAAGCTGGGTAAAACCGTGGGACATTAAAACATCATAAGTTGGGGTTAGTTCTATAGTCTATAGTCTATAGTTATGGTGAATAGATGGTGAATAATACATGCATATACATGCATTTTTTGAAATTAAACGTTGATGATTGGGTTTTGCCACATTAATAGACATGGAGGGAGGCATTCATGGGCTTGTGGTGGGATATATTAGTGGGATTGAGTGGAATATTAACGGGAGATATGGCAAAGCAAGATAATTGTGGATGCTTTGGGGCGCGTTTGCACATAATTGGGATTGGGGTACCCTAGAATCATCCGTGATGGATCCACAAGAAGAAATATGAATAAAACATAATAAAACAACGAATCGTGTTGCCACTGGCGCGTGGTTGTTCAAAATAGTTGTTAGTGCACGGCGCATGGTGAGGGTATATACGCAGTGGGTACAAGGTGAAAATCTGTTTTGAGTGTTCGAGTTGGGTGGTAGTTTCAAGTTTGAATCCTTCCTTCTCAATTTTGGGACAAACTGCTACTTAATAGGCCATGGATGGCCATGGTTTTAGACACAAGAAGACAGACTTGACCTGTACAGCACGACTCATGTCTGGTTGTGAAGATGATCTCAGTGGTTGGGGTTTCACTGGACAAGTTTGCAAGATTTGCAAGCTTTTGGACCTTTGGATGATATCTTTGGATATCTTTAAGTGACCTAGACTTGGGAAAGATAGGAAAGATACCGATGCTACTGTTTTTGGAGGGCTTTCCAGTGAAAAATCCTCCAAAATGTATCCGACCTTCTCAGGGAACTGGAGGCTATTTCAAGCACCGTCATCAGTGTCAGCTTAGGAGCGATTTAGCAGCTCGTGCACCACGCTTCTTCTTTGGCGGGACACGTGGGCTACAGGCGGTGCAGAAGCTTTTGAAAGAAACCAGGGACAAAGTGCAACTTGTTTTGCAGTGGGTGACATGGAGATATACCCTCTGGTGATCAACTGGGGCAATGGAAAATCACCAATTTTTGGATGAGTTTCCCATATTCAAAGGTGCATTTACAGGGGGTCCCAGCTAGCAATGTTTTGATTTCCAGATGGTACATATGGTACAATAGTTTGTCGGGCCTCTTTCTTATGCAACACGGAAGTACAACCTTGAAAAGCCTGGTTTAGTAATTAGTATTGGATCAATTCATTCTGGGGGAACATATAGGGGATTTGATATTGGGGGCATGGGATTACTAGATGTGGCATGATGTGGCTATCTTAGGGCTTTCCATCGTGGATTTTGTTGGGTTCCGGATCAACTATTTGGATCTATTTGGAAGTTGATGAGAAAGTCACCAGCTGACAATTGTTTATGCTCCCAGGCATGGGTTCTCTTTGGCCCAAACAGAGCGAGCGTCGCTGGAAGCCCGACTGGAGGTCCTGAAGGCCCCTGTCCACTGTAACAGATGTGGATAGATGTGGCATTTTGTTTTGTAAGTGGTCCTTTGGGAGCTTGTAAAGCATGGGCAGAAGTGCCAAACTATGATTTTGTTGCAAGATTTGAATGTACACATGTTTTCACATGTTATCACATGTTCAGTATGTTCAGTATGTTCAGTATGTTGTTCCTATGGAGTCGCCATGTTTCCAACTGTTTCCAACTGTTTCCAACTGTTTCCAACTGTTTCCAACTGTTTCCAACTGTTTCCAACTGTTTCCAACTGTTTCCAACTGTTTCCAACTGTTTCCAACTGTTTCCAACTGTTTCCAACTGTTTCCAAGTGTTTCCAACTGTTTCCAACTGTTTCCAACTGTTTCCAACTGTTTCCAAGTGTTTCCAACTGTTTCCAACTGTTTCCAACTGTTTCCAAGTGTTTCCAACTGTTTCCAACTGTTTCCAACTGTTTCCAACTGTTTCCAAGTGTTTCCAACTGTTTCCAACTGTTTCCAACTGTTTCCAACTGTTTCCAAGTGTTTCCAACTGTTTCCAACTGTTTCCAAGTGTTTCCAACTGTTTCCAACTGTTTCCAAGTGTTTCCAACTGTTTCCAACTGTTTCCAACTGTTTCCAAGTGTTTCCAACTGTTTCCAACTGTTTCCAACTGTTTCCAACTGTTTCCAACTGTTTCCAACTGTTTCCAACTGTTTCCAAGTGTTTCCAACTGTTTCCAACTGTTTCCAACTGTTTCCAACTGTTTCCAAGTGTTTCCAACTGTTTCCAACTGTTTCCAACAGTGCCAACTTCACAGGCAGAGGAGAAGAAAAGCAGTGAAGTCTTAGCTGCTCGCAGAGCCCAGGGCTTGGCAGCGCACAGTGGCCGTAAGGTGGGGATCCCATGATCCCGTCATCCCATGATCCCGTAAGGTGCCTATCAAAAGATTGCACTTCGATGGGGACAACAAAGTGCAAGGTCAATGACTTCTGGATTCAGTTTTTTAAAAAACAATAGATATCACCAACATATCACGAATCAATATCAGTCAATGATCAATGATCATTACATGACTACTGGCCTCATTTTTTCGTGAAATCAAGTGCATGGATGTAGATATTGATGACACTCCTCGATCCTCAGCTTACCAATCAATGAACTTAGCAATATTGTTGGTGATATATATATATACATATTCGAGTATATTCCCATATGTATATATATATATATGTGTGTGTGTAATTATTTATTTGTATATATTACTATCATTATTACATTATTGCTATCATTATATCATATATATGTATGTATGTATGTATGTATGTATGTATGTATGTATGTATGTATGTATGTATGTATGTATGTATGTATGTATGTATGTATGTATGTATGTATGTATGTATGTATGTGTGTATATTTGTGTAATTATCTGAGATTGCTATTATTATATATATATACAGAATATCCTATGTAAATATATGTATACACCCCGAGTATATCCCCGTCGGTGTCATCCACCCGGAGTGTTTTTCACTCTTCGCCAGGTCTTAGAGACCGCCCTGGCGCAGACCGAGGCATCCCTTTCGGAGGCTGCAGGACTCTGTGCCCAGCCATTGGTAGAGACCCGGATCGACCCTGATCCCTGGGATGGGGATGGCATGGGTCAAAACCTATGAATTTACCATCCATAGGTAAATATGGATTATTTACCTATGATGGTAATATGGTAATATGGTAATTTACCCTTACCATCCATCATATTACCATCATATTACCATCATATTACCATCATATTACCATCATATTACCATCATATTACCATCATATTACCATCATATTACCATCATATTACCATCATATTACCATCATATTACCATCATATTACCATCATATTACCATCATATTACCATATTTATCCATATTTGGGGGGAATCAACATCCATTAGCCAGCTATTTCAGGCCGCCTAGGGTACCAGGATTTTGACCCATGACCATGGTGGGGATAGTCCACTCGGTTATAATACTTAAATACGTATGGACCGTATGGTTTGCTGCTGCTGATGATTATTATCTATAGGAATCACATGGGATGAAATTGAGATATCATGAGTGTGTATATAGGTATATTATGATATATTAAATATATATAAAACCAACATCCTACTGAGTTAGGGGATTTCCAATTGTTTGCGATGCATCATGCAAAGATCATAAACGACTCTCGACGAACTATTTCCCCCCCAGGTTTGACAGTTGGAAAGTTCAAGATGGAACTCAATGACAGTCCTGCTCACAAGGCGGTCAAAGTGAAAGGGGTCAAACCGATCAACTGGCCCCAGTTTCTGAGGTGGCTTGGGCCGCACGGTGCTGAATCGAAGTGAGGCAACTGGGCAGATGTTGTCCAGGAAAGCTTTGGAACTGATTGGCATGGTGGAAGGGTCCCCAGCAGCTGGTGTTGCTTCAGCTGCTTCCCTTCCCCCGGTGAAACAATCTTCAGCAGCTCCCGGTGCAAGTGATCTTCTGGCAGTTTCCCAGCAGCTTCAGCTGCAACAGCAGCAAGTCCAGCAGCAGCTGGAAGAATTGAGGCAGATGAAGGCAGCTGCCCTGTCCTTGCAGAAGGCACCAGCAGAACGAAGCCAAGTGGAAGAGCATGAGGACTTAGATCACGTAGATCCACCCAGTGATCCACCAACCAGGCCACTCATAAGGAAGAAGTCCAAGGCGTCGATGTCCTTGGCTGCAGAAACAGCTGAAGCCTCCAAGAGTGAAGCAAATCATGGGAACATCGAAGCTGTGAAGATTCAAGAGGCCACAACCCCAGCCCCAAAGGCTGTTCCAGCTGCCAAAGCGTATGCCAAGTCGAAAGAAGTTGATGAAGATAGCAATCACTTGCAGGCACCTAAGGACTTTCCTGCCGCCCTGCGGGGTGGTTGGCAAGCCCTTTTGGCTAAGAAGCGCGCTGAAGGCTTCAAGAAGTCATCAGCAAAGGTGGAAGAGCACTCATCCATCATGGATTTGATGCAGACGCCCAAGACCTACACGGCCTGGTTAAGGGCTTAGTGATCACTGAGCTGGGAGTACAGCCATCATTGTTACTATTATAATAGGTTTCCAGACACAACGTGACACAACCGTTCTTTTCGCGAGTTTTTCCTAGTGGGTGGGAAGGAAAAGGAACTGATCTTGGCTGCTATGTTTGAGGCAACCTGACAAGGGTCCATCGCAACCTGCAGAGAAGGCAAAGGAGGACCTGTTAGCTGCTGAGAAAGCTTTCGACGACGATGACGAATCTGAGAAAAACATGTTCAGCAAGAAGTGGCTTATCTGATTTGGAGCAGTGTGATTGTCACTGTGTATGCCTGGCTCATTGTTTGACCTGACTTTTGTTCTTCCATTTTCATATTGTGATTTGTTTTTTTTTGGTGTGTGGCGTTTGGACTGGCTTTCCACCAACATAAACACAAGATCCCACAGGCACAGGGAAGCTCCCAAGAGGACTCCTGCACTCAGGAAATCCAAGCAGTCCTTCTTGCAGCTTGACGCAGATCTTGGTGGAGCAGATCCTTTGTCGCCTTCCTTTTTCCAGATCGGATCGTCCCAGGACCTCAGTAGCACATTTGCAGCTGCACATTCGGAGGCTGCCCGGATGGGAATTGCCTGAACCAGAGGGAGAACATTTAACATATTTAACATGGAGAGATATGGAGAGCTTTGGCACTCAAAACGGGAAAGGCAAGATGAAAAGATGATCCCGGTAGTTTCAGCTGGCCAAATTGAGATATTAACTATCACAAAGAGAGAGAGAGAGATAGGTTTGCAGATACGAGCTTGTTAGGAACGTAGGAGTTATTGCCACTATACTTTTCATATCTTTTCATTGTCAATGTCGTTGCGCTGCTTAGAAATCATGATGACTGCACACAGAGCATATTCATATTATAGGTGGCCATGCTGCTGGAGAAGTTTGCAGATCTCACCAACAGCAGTACGCTGCTGGAGCTTTCAAAATCGCAGCTTCAGACCAAGGACCCGAAATTGATACCCGAGAGAGTGTCATCAAGCATGGCTAGCTGGGAAATCCACGACAAATGGACATTGAAACGGGAATATCATCAAAGCAGATATAACATGATATAACCAGATGGGGAATTTCCCTGTTTGACTACCAGAAGATATCCTGTGGGGAAGAAGGGCTGCCATGGTTCAACAGCAACCAAGTCACAGAAAGTGCCCCATGTACCATACAAAATGGTATGACTCAGACCATTTCCATGGTGATAACACACATGGTGACTCGCATCATTTTTCGGAGGACTTTGAGATGCTGCTGGAAAAGCTGGCTGCAGAATCAGATGACGATCGATCCCAGCAGTTTTGCGCATCTGTGCTTAAGCTACTTGGCTTCCAGTGGCAGTCCACGGCGGGTGTTTGCATCCAACCAGCTCTGCATGGCTGATGCTGAAACATGACACATGCTGAAGCAAGAAGAAGTACTGCCAAGTAAATAGAATTAAGATCAAAGATGATCAAAGAAAAATTTAAAAAGGGCAACAATAAACTCATCATGGTAACACAAAATCTGAAATATTCACTTGATGCAGAGTCCGCAGCACCTCGATCAGGAAAGAGGCCAGCATTGAAGCCAAGCTGAAAGCAGAGCTCAAGGAGTACTATCAGCAAACTAAGGACCGGAGAACCTGTTCACGAATGAACATGGATCAAATCAACCAAATGTACGTATAGGCGTATAGGTGCATGCCAAATGTTCGTTAATGTTTGCTGATTTTTAGTGAGTGCTTCACATTTTTCTTCCCGCAACATGTTCAGATGATGCTCTCCAGGCGCGTCATGAAGCACAAGCACTCCGACGTGAGGTCGTGGCAAGGGAACATTTGGTGTCTGCAACCTGGCTAAAGACTGGAAGATACTGGAAGCTTGGGCCCAGATTGAGTCGTGACACTCCCCTTTTAGACCCTTTCTGCATGTTACAAGACTTGCACTGGCCTGGCTTGCGGGTGGCGGATAAAATGCTGAACAAATGCATGTTTCAGTGTTTGCCATTCGGAATTGAAATTTCCAGGGTCTTCAAGGAAACTATATAAAATGACTCAGAGGGTGATCCGTCGGTGCGCGGAAATTCTGCCCCATACTCAGGGCTTGAAGAGTTCATGAGTTCAGTGTAACTGAGGTGTTTGGCAACACATCGCAGCGATTCAAAGCCGTCCAAGGATTGCTTCAAAACAGTTTCACCAATGAAAACGGGCGGCATCTCGTTTGCATTTTAGGATCTCCCAGATGAGTCCCCAGCAATCAAAAGAAGAATTCCCCTTGAATATAAGTTGTTTGCAGTTTTTGGGAAGATCAGTGAAGAACAGGGTCGACATGGGTCAACAACCTCTTGGATGATGCTTGAAGTAGGTAAATGTATAGCAATTGGGTTTTAGCATGTTCTAACATGTTCTAACTACATCCCAATAGAATGCAATAACATTAATACGAATACAAATATAAGATCTACATATATATACCCATGCATTGAGTTTGGCAGGCTTGGGTGTGCATGTATCATCTTTAAGTGTTTCAATGAATGCTACCATTTTGGCTCAAGTAAACTTGAACCAAAATAGCATTCATTGCTGTTTTCTTTCTTGGTCTTGGTAAGGGGTGACCTTTCCAGACCTTGATTGGGTGGTTCAAACTATATACAAGGGGCGACCTTGTATGCAGCGCAAACTCCCAGGAATCGATATCCCGGCAGCCACTGAGGCGAAGATCCTTCATGCTGCTGCTTTCCTGGAGTTCAAGAGCCACGTGGAAAGGCTGGCGCGGCAGGGCTATGATGCTGCAGCATACACATGCTGGATGCATGGTATTGAAGTGTTGCATTCCCCCTACGTCATCACGACTGGGACAGATTCAGAGCTTTTCCCCCCCCCTGCCGAAGCTACCCTGTTGCCTTGATGACTGCCAGCGTTGCGCAGCTCATGTGGGGGGGTTCAAGTTCCCGTGGCTCGGCTTGTGGAACAGCCGTGGCGTTGTGCTGCCCGATGATGTGGCGCCTGCGGATGCTTGGGCGTACTACTACCAGCACCAGGACCCCATGGACCTGCTGCTGGTCGCTGCCTATACGAAGCACAAAGTGGCCGCTGACATCGTGCCCCAGGATCTCTACGGGTTGCAGCTCAGGTGCTCAGCGGGCGACGCTGGGCAACTGGGCTTGGGGGAGCTGTTCGATCAATGGAGGAGCTGGCTCAGATGCACAGGCCCTCACGAGCTCCTACCGGTCTTCCTCGAGCCGCGGCATTTCCCCAGAGCACCTAGGGGGCGACCCTGGGTGGCCTGGGGGAGAGAAGGCGCCAGGGCACATCGAGCGCTATGTGGATGGCTGGAATGCCAGGATGCAGGCATGCTTCAGCTGGGCACCGCCTGCACAGAGTGCGGAGACCCCACCAGGCGCGTGTGCTGGGCATGCTGCGTCGGGATGTGTAGTGACTGCTTCACCTGGCGTGAGCCATGCAGCACTTGTGGAGGACGTAAGAAGATGTTTGCTGCAGGTTGATTTTATGACAGAGGAGGCACCTCTGAAGTCACCGCAGCATCTTTTTGCTCTCCGCACCTTAGCAATCTTGTTAGGGTGCAGCGCCATGGCATCAGGCGGCAAAGGCTACTATGCAGCTCAAGCGGCAGCTTCGTCCTCGTCAGGGGGTGACCCTGAACCGGGATGGAGAGCAGCCGACTCCTTGATGATGATAGCTGCACAGCGTGCGCGTCAATGGAGGGAGAACGAAGGCCTCCTGGACGACAACGACTTCGCCTATGCCTACACCGACTACGATCAAGTCGTTGGACTAGCTGGCCATCACGTAGCGGATGACTGGCTGCAGACAAGAGCAAGGGTGGAAGAGCACCTCCTTGCTGCTGGGGCCAAAGTCGTGGAGGACAACCCCAAGGGTTCCGTCACTCTGCGCCCTGTGCGCAAGACAATCTACAAGAAAAAGCCCAAGGCCGTCAACGTCACCAAGAACCTGGATGAGGCCGTCCAAAAGCGGGTGAACGGCTTGGTGTCGATGTTTGTCGGAATGGGCGCATACAAACCAGCTGGCATCTTGACAGACACCCTCAAGGCCGAATGGAAACAAACGTGCAAGAGGATCGCCGAGAAGAAGGTGAAGGACGCGGAGAAGGCGACCATTGACCGAGTGGTCAACACCTGGTTGGAGCTGAGGGCCTTCTTGGAGAGTCGGGGGCGACCCGCTCCTCCTGGAATGGTCGACCTGGATCAGTTCCTCAACCACACCCAGGCGCCAGCACGAGCACTCCAAGCCTTGAAATGGATGAACAAGAATGCCGACCAAGACATGGAGCTGGGAAACTTGCAAGTGCCTACAACACCCAGGGCGACTGGGCAGCGTGGGCAAGCACCGGTGGTGGAGCCGCCATTAGTGCAGGCCTTGGAGGACCGCATCACGGAGTTGCACGCGGTCGGCGATGAGAGGTGGTCAGTTCTTCTGGCTCCTTGGATCATGTCGTTTGGCTGTTTGAGGTATGCGCACATCGCGCGGTCAGAACCTCGGCGCCTCACCGCTGCATTCCTCCATTGCAGGTGCCCTAAGGGAAAACAAAAGCATGCCCGCGAAGGTTTCGACTTTGCGGTGCCGGCCACATTCGCCAACGGCTTCTTTTGGGCCAAGGAAGTGCTGGAGGCATACAGGACGCTGGCACCAGCAAGGCAGAGACTTGCAGGCCTTTGTTTTTCGGACGAAGGGCGCCCATGGACGATCCTAGAAGTGCAAGAGACGATGCAACAGGAAATGTCCGTGTTCCTCGACAATCCAGAAGATCTGACCACCTACAGCTGGAGGAGGCTTGCACCCACGGTGGCCCAGTTGTTAGGATGCAGGCCTGAAGAAATGGCAGCCCTGGGCGACTGGCAAAACAAGAGTGAGCAACCAGAGGTGGGGGCGATGGCATTTCACTATTCTTCGGCAAAATACGCCGCGTCGGTCAAGGTGAAATCCCTGATCTGGGGCGCTACGGCCAAGCTCGCTAGCAACCTGCTGTGGGAGGCGATCCCGCAGGCAGAGCTAGATGCAGCCCGAGCTCATGGCCTGACTGAAGCTGACAGGTTGCTGCGACAAGACCGCCAACCTATTTGGGCCTCTGCACACAGCTTCCAGGACGTGAAGAAGAGGCTCAAGTTGTCACAGCAGTTTGTTGAAGCGGCACAGCAAGCCCGGCAAGAGGCCGAAGCCGCACCGGCACCTCAGATGCCTGATCAACTCAATGGCAAGGTGCTGACGGCCACTTTGAAGAATGGTAAGGCCATTTGCCCGGAGTTCCAGACGGACGAGTGCCCGAATCCGGCAGACTCCTGCCCCTTCGGAGTGCACTTGTGTGCCATCCTACAAAAGTCAGGACGGGCATGTGGTGGCAAGCACGGCGCAGGCGTCTGCAACATCAAGCGGGCGGTGTTGGCCGCAACAGCAGTGCCAGCGGCACCCAAGCCATCGGCCACCTTGGTGCCGGCAGCCGTGGGGGAGAAGGCCACTTTTGGCCGGAAGAGGACCGCGGCGAGCGGTGCCACTGACGACGAGATGGCCGAGGTGATGCGCGCAGCTGTCAAGAAAGCCCGAGGTCAGGCTGCACCCAAGACTCCGCCCAAGGCGCCAGCCATCGCAGCCCCCAAGACACCTCCGAAGGCTGCAGCCACTACACCTAAGCCACCGGCCACAGCTGCGAAGTCCAGGGCTACAACCACAACGCCGAAGCGCTTGGCCGCTCCTGGGAAGCCACAGATTAAGGCCATGCCAAAGAAAGGCCGTGGCAAGGCAGCAGGAGACACCTTGGACCTCCACTTGGAGCGGTTGGGTGTGGGCTCAGGGACAGCCCAGGCCCCGACTTGCATCTGGACATCCCGGAAGGGTGGTGGCATCTACCTGGCAGGACTTCCAATGAGGCAGACGGTGGACAAGTTCCCCAAGACAGCGTTGCAGATCTGCTGCTTCCCGAATGGTCCTGAGAGCCGGGGGGGGTGACCCTCCCGGGAGCTCAGTTGATGACCTTCGCGGCGGCATACAGCCAGGAACGCAACGAACAGTGGACAGACGTGTGGCCGGCCGTCAAGAACACTGTTTGGCACGGCGACAACGTCGTGGTGCACTGCATCAAGGGGCGACACCGGGGTGCTTTCTTAGGCATCCTCTGCCGTGCATTGCTGGCCGGCGAGTCCATTGAGGATGCCAACCACTACGTGGAGAGCCGCAGGGATACAGAGCTGAACAAGGTCATTCGCGACCAAGGCATGCGGAAGTGGCTGCACAAGACCTTCCAGGACACCGCGGTGGGAACACAGCACCCCGAGCCGCAGGGATATGCAGCTACGGAGAGGTCCAGCACCCATGTCACGGTCGAGGACGGCATCACCTTGTGCCAGCACAAGCAGGCTGATGGGAAGGCGAAGCGCCTGGTGAACCCATACATGTCCACGGACGTCTTTGAAGCTCTGGCATGGGAGCGCCCCTGGTGTGACCAGTGCCTCCGTCGAGCGCCAGCGTCATGGTGGCCGCCTGCCTAGCCGAATTTTTGGCCTTTGCGCTGATCAGCAGCACTGGCCCGTTCCGGCCATGGAGAGCCGAATTCATCAGCTCGGGGCTTGGATAAGACCTTCAATCCAGCCTGCATGGCCGCCCCCAGCAGTAACATCATGCGCGAGAGGAAAATAGTAGAGCCAGGTGACTTTCAGTGGGGTGCCCACTGAGCAAGTGCCGTGCCCTCATGTCTTTTCGTTGTGTTTTTCAAGTTTTTCCTTTTATGACAACGCACAAGACCATCTGGGAGGGGGACCTCAGATAGTCTAGTGTACCATAGCTCTGTGGCGGCATGAAGGTGATGTCATGTGAGGTCGCAACATAGCTGTGCGTTGTACACATGTCCAGATTTCACATCAGTGTATGTCAGGGTCCATTTATTTCATGCCACGCCAGGCTGTTCCAGCATAACGCACGGGGGAGACCCGAGGCGCAGTTTTCAGTCAAAGGGAGGGGATCCCTGGGCCTTAGCTAGAGGGGTGTCCTCGAGAATAGGCCATGGAGACTGATAAAGT